TCTCTTCTTTTGCGCCATCTTGTCGCGCAATTTCGGCAGTAGTTATCTTTTAGGCGGTGTTTACAATCACGACGTAGATGGCCTTTTTCGCCACAAATCCAGCATTGGGGTACACCATGCTGTTGGGGTTCGCGTTTCACAATCACCTTCTGGCAAGAGCATTCTTCATGTACTTGGCGTAGACGTACGTCACTTTTTGATGCATGCTTTGCCGATTCAAAAGTGAGACTGTGCGCAACGGCATCCTTGAGTTTTCGTTTATCTGACAAGAGAAGGGATTGCTTGAGTTCCGAATCACGAAGGGCTTTGATAAACGTATCCAGGGCAGTTTCGTCTCTGTGCTCGGGGTCTGATGTTGGATACGACAGCAATGTCAACCGTTCGATATCTTGTGCCAGCTGCTGAATGGATTCACCAGATCGTTGCGTTCTGTTTCTAAGTTGAGACCGATAAATCTGCTTCATGTGTTCTTCACCATAACGTAAATCCAACGCGCTAACCAGAACTTCATAGTTGAAGTGGTTCTCCGCCGGAATCGTCTGAAGAACCTCTGCTGCTGAACCTCGCAGGGCCAGTATCAGTGCTGTTGCTCGTTCTTTTCCGTTCCAACAGTTACTAGTTGCCGCTGCTTCGAACTGGGTTTTATAAACGTTCCAGGATATCTCTCCGTCAAATGCTGGTACCTTCAAAGTTCTTCCAGATGCGTGATCTAACGGCATGGCCATTTTTTTGGATTGCTCCAATTCTCGCTTCAATTTGTCTATCTTGTGATCTACCTCAACGGTCTGACGATCAAGTTTCTGTTCGATCATTTCTATTCTTGTTGACTGTTCTTCAATCTGTTCTGCCACTTCCAATTTTACGTGTTTTAGCTGGTCCTTGATCTGTTTTAACTCCTCTGTCTGTCGTTCGGACTGTTCCTTGATCTGTTGTTTTAACTCTTCTGTCTGTCGTTCGGACTGTCGTTCGGACTGTTCTTTGATCTGTTTTAACTTCTCTGTCTGTCGTTCGGACTGTCGTTCAGACTGTTCTTTGATCTGTTTTATTTCAGTTGACATACTAAGCAGAAGTTCCATCATTTTGGCGGTTGTAAACGTGCCTGTGCTAATTTCATTGTCTTCGTCAGCACCATCAAACTTGAATTCGTCTGGGTTCTTACCTTCGTCAATGAGAGCTTCTCTCAGACGTGCAACTAGTACTTCTTTGTTGCCACTTGTGACAAGGCTTCGTTTCTGTAGTTCTTCTCGTAGTTGAACTACGTTCAACCCACACAGTTTTGACATCGTGTTCTTTTTCTACGAGTAGTAATTCGCTGGTCGAAGATCCCACTTCTGACACCAATGTTATAATACTCGCTGTCGTAACCGGTTTACGATGCGACGGGTTCAAATCTTCGATTGAATAAAATACTCCAAACAGTTATTAAACTTTATTTACAGAAGAAATCAACTATTATTAGTTATTAAACTTTATTTACAGAAGAAATCAACTATTATTAGTTATTAAACTTTATTTACAGAAGAAATCAACTAATCGTTTATTTCCAGTAAATTCGCACTAACGCAACAATTAACTTTTAAATCTTTCAAAATCTATCGCTATGACAACGTCAACAAACAATTCAAATATCGCTTTAAATAATTCACCGAATCGCTATTCACAAAATCACGAATTTCACTAATCACGAATATCACTAATCACGAATATCACTAATCACGAATATCACTAATCACGAATATCTCAATCACGAATATCACCAATCACAAATATCTTGCGACGTGCGCTTATATACTCTTCGCAAGCGTCGTTTCTAGATTCTTCCCGATGGTCCGATTCCAGCATACTCTAGAACGTTCCAGTCACTAGAACATTCTAGAATACGCTAGAATCTAGTGCGTTCGGTAGCACGGTTATAACAATATGTTTGTAGTTCGTAAAAATTAAGGTCTATTACCAAACCACACACACACACATACACACACCACACACACACACACACACACACACACACACACACACACACACACACACACACACACACACATATATATATATAATATTACATTGCTGTAATCTTAAACGCTCGTTACTACAGACAACAACGTTATAACTCAAAGATCCTTATTTCCTACACTAGTGATGTAGCTTCAAAGGTTGAAGGTATAGATTTCCGATAGATGAACACAAAGGCTTCAAACGCAAACTTGGTTCAACGTTTGAATGCTAACAGTAATAGAAACACTAAATTAATCCAACTAACTACATAAAGCACATTTATGACTTCTCTTCAGACCTCGCCGCTAACATCAACTTCGCTATTAGCAACCTCTTATGTAGCCTCTCTACAGTAGATTTTTACGTACATCGATGGCATGAAAAGATTTTTTGGTTTATAATCAATGACAAATAGCGAAGATAACAAATATAACAAGATAACAACAATTCATTATATGGTGTAATTCCAGATAGATATATAACAATATTTGTTTGTTTATGTGATATATTTTGTTTGCTGCATATATGAAATTTAGTGATATATAAAACATATATTATGCAAATCTGAATAAACATTCATTTTATTAAACATGTTTATATATTCACATGCTTACAACTACAACTATAGTAATTACAATGTATGGCATTGTTCAGACATCATGCCTGTATAAAAGCCTGTCTACATGCAAGCAATTTCACATTTAGATGTTCGATGAAGCCGCTCCCTGCGTGCCGTTTCTAAATATTGCATTGTAATTGATATTTTTAATACCATCGTTTTGTTAGTAGTTATTTTAAGCAACAATCCTATACAATACAATACATCATTCATAAGCTTGCAACACAACATATGTTTGCTTGTATGACTGGTGCACTTATATAGAAGAAGCTCTACGTACATACATACATGTCGTGTTGTATCTTGTATGGATTGTTGCAATAAGTATAAGAAGGTTTATTTATTAAATCTCACGTGACGGTGTGTTTACGTTTTCTGACATAAACTTAAAGCATGTAATTTAGTGTCTTTTTAATTTAAATGACCAGCTGACTGCATAGAAGAATGACGAGATAAAATAATGTAACTCTATTTTTTTATGAAAACATTTTAATTAACGCTATTTATTAATTAAGAACTAAAATTATGTGACAATGTGCTTTCTAATTGAAGAAATAGTTCTAGAAATATTTTAGATGAAATTTTTTTTTTAAAAAGTACCGTGGAAAAGAAAAAGTTGAAGCATGCATAGCGCGCAATAAATGACTATTAATTAATATGAAATATTTGTTTACGTTACAAACGGCCTACTTTCAGCAATTAATACTACTCGGTTTTCTTCTACTAACTCCTGTACTAACTTTCTACACAAATAAATGGGCAGTGGAAATTGAGGGTGGTCCAGAAGTCGCTAGGAAATTGGCGGAAAAGCATGGATATGTCTGCTTGGGTCAAGTAGGTTCAGTTTGGTTTCATATATTTTTTATTTTAAGAAATATAGTTATGTGTATAATTTATAATAATTATTTTATTTAATAAATTTTTTCATTTCATTGTATGGTTTTGTTTGGCTTTACTTTACTACTTTTACTTCAATCTTTAATTTAATTTAATGCTCTCTAATCCTAATAGTCTAATTTCTAAAAAAGTAATAGAGTTGATTTTATTTTAATTTAAAATACTAATAAATATAAATAATTAATAGTCTAATAATAAATTTTTTCAAAAATTAATAAAAATGTAAAAAGAGAACAAAATTTCTCTAATAAACTTTATTAGTATTTATAAAAATATTTTATAAATAAACTGAAAAACTAAAGTATAAAATAAAAGTATAATAAATAAATTGAAGTATAGCAAATTAAGAAAGTACTGATGAAGTCTATTAATTCTATCAAAAATCAAATAGTTATTTATGATGATGGATTTTCACATGCATACTAAATTATAAAAATTAATAATCATAACAATAATCTTATCATTGATAATGCATTCATGCATTAATCTCTAATATGTAGTGTTAATTTTGTCTTTATATAATATATAATTTATTATAAATATTTATAAGAAGATGGGTAGAAGAATAATTGTATCTCCCTATTTGTTGACTTGTGGCTGAATGGAATATAATGTAAAATTGTAGACATGTGTTAATTCTAGGTGTTAATTTTAAATCATTGAGATGTATATTATTATTATTTTACTGTATAATTTTTTATTGATTTTTAATTAGTAATGTAATTAAATACTGAAAATTTTAACAATAAGTTTTAATTAAAAAAATTTGTTAAAAATATCCCAAACACTGACTGGCATTTTCAATTTAAATAAATTTGAAAATGTTTTGATCATGGCTAATTCAGTGCTGTCTGTTATTTAAGTTAAGCAAATTATAAAACATAATAAGCATGTATATTATACATGCTTATTATGTTTATTTATATTATTTATGTTTATTTATTTTGTTTATCTATGTATATCATGCTTATTTATACATTGTATAAATATATATACAATAATATTTAATTTTTCAAATATTCTCTGTGAAATACATTTTTTAAATTTTTCCAATACAATATATTTATATAATAAATTTTTTCAAATATAATTATTTTGATAGATTTAGTTTTTGTTATAATGTTATTATATGTTTAACATGTTTAGTGTTATACATTTATTTGTGACTGATTGACAACTTGATAGTTCACTTATTATTTACCAGTTATATAGACTATGGAGCACAAAAAAGCAAACAAATCTAATGCTACTTGAGCCAGAGTGACTATCTATGTATGACCTTTAAATTTTAAAGTTTAATGCTGTGCACTGTATTTGGGATTTTTATCAGCAGTTTAACAAATCAATTGACTGATATTTTTCTTAAGATTCAAACAATGAATGAATGAATGAATGAATGAATGAAAGAATGGATGGATGGATGTATGTATGTATGGATGAATGAATGAATGAATGAATGAATGAATGAATGAATGAATGAATGAATGAATGAACAAGGCTTTTTATAAGCTCTACAAAAATAATATTTGTTTTTATATTTCAAGTGACAATAGTTAAATTCAGGCTGTACAGAAGGGATTTAAACATTTGATCAGTCTATCTTAAGTTATTTTTAATTCAACAGTAGACACATAATCATTGACTTTCAGATATTTAGTCCTGACTAGAATAAAAAACTTTTAATTAATGTATTTTTTTTATATCAAGCAAAAGCATTTTAATTCTTCATTTAATTGTTTTGCTTGCAATAGTCTGGATAGCTACAACTAGAAATGTGATATAACCATAGTGACATTCAGAAATATCAGGATAGACATCATCTAAGTCTGATTTATAATTCAGCTAAAAATATTATTTTTTTTTTTTATGTAATTTGCATATTTTATGGAAAAGCATATGAGGTTATTAGCATTTAAAAATATTGTGGAAAGTTTTTAACTGTAAAGCTCATATTATTTTCTGCATGATTGTATTACAGACTGCACTTCAATCAAGCTGATTGCAGTTACCTTTTTACTTATTTTTATTCTCCAATGCTTCAAAAAGTATTGGAGGATATATATATATTTCTATTTTTAAACCACAAAACACCAACAACATCAATCATGTCAATAACAAAATGCAGCTATTGCAATATGTACTATAGCAAAAGCATTAAAGTGGAGATGACATTACAACTGTTACATCAATAAATAACATAATAATTTCTTTAATAATGATAGTTATAGTTATTTTTAGTACTGCTAATAAAACCAATAAAATTATAACATCTACAATACTAGTAGCTCTAGATTGGGTTTGCAGATTATCTACTCATTAAACTGTGATTTAAAAATTCCAAGCAAAATTTGTATTCATAAAACACCATTGTTAAGTCTGTTGAAGTAGATTTTGCAGTCAACATTTTTATCAGTTCCTGTGGATGTGTTTGCTTCTGGAGGAACATTTTTAAAACACACGAACTGCATGCTTTGTATGTAATTCTGTGAGTTTCAACATTTAAATGTGGTTGCCATGGACACATACACAGAAAAAAACACACTCAAATATAAGCATACACAAATGTAATTATTTTATAATATCATCTTTTATATTTGTTATTATTTGAATTGAATATACTGATCTGGAGGTGAATTCATTGAAAAAATATTGTCTCATAAGTTATTTGATTAATTGATATTAATAATAATTATTTTGGGTTTCATTTATTTCATTTGGGTTGTTCCAGTTTAATTTTTGCATTTTTTTTTTCATCTTTTCAATTTTTAATAAAATTTACACACAAACCGCACACACACACACACACACACAAACACACACAAACACGAAACACGAATACACTCACTCACGTACATACAAGCAGATGTATACACAGATGTACCATACAAACATACACAATTGTGTATACATGTATACAGTACATGTCCCAACATAACACGCATACATATTCACACAGTTTAAATTTCATTATCCATCCATGCAGTCTGCTGGCTGGCTGACACACTTAACCCTATGGTGGTTAGGTTATTAACAGTGATGAACTATCATTATGTTGAGGCAATCAAGCTAATAATGAAAAATGGTGTTATACTGAATTCTCTTATGTTGTTGTTAGTGCTGTTGTTGTATCATCCTTTTTTAAATATTTATTTTACTATTGTATTGTTGTTGTCGTTGTTGATCATTTCTATTGGCAATTTTACATTTTTGGCTTATCTGCAGAGATGTTTGTTTATGGTGTGTTTGAGTTTTTGCATTTTGTGCTAAATTTTGTTCCTTACCTGTGGAATTTTTTATAATGGAATTGGGAAAAAAGTTGTAAATATTACACTCAGTTAATATTTTTCGTTCTTTCATTTGTTCATTTTTGTTTGAATCTTTTTTTATATATAAAATTTGTTCAATTTTTCTCACTAAATTTTTTTATTTCATTAAAAAGTATTTTGTTCCTAAAATTAATCTGAACAATAGAAGGAAAATAGATAAAAAATTGTAATTAGTAATAGATCCCAATTTACAATCTGCAGTTCAATTTACACTAATTATTCAGCAGCTGTAAGAGAATTTTTAGTGCCTACAACATTGTAAGACATTTTCAGTACATTTTAGTTTATTTTGTAATCAATAAATTATGAATGGTTCGACAAATTATTTTGTGGTTTTTTCTATGTTGCAGATTCCTTTATAAATAATTCAACAAAGTAGATTAAAAAAATTTTTTTTTGCTTACAGCCGAAACTTTTATAAATATTTTTTGGTTTTTGGTATTTAAAAATTTTCATTTGGAATTTATTAGCATAATTTAGACCATGTTGTTAAATTTGTTTCATGAACTGTTGTTATTATGATCATCAAATGAATCAACATTGATGAAATTTATTGAATAGAGCAAATGCATGAGGCATGAAATTCTGCCTGGCCTGACAGGGCCGAATCATTCATCAAATTTACATTTTATTCAGTTCACTTGTCTATGGTTACTTATCTTTATTAAATGCTCTCATGAAAATAAGTTTTAATAGTTGAAAATTATTTGATAAAAATGCATTTAGCTACATAGAAATTTCAACCCTTGCTAAATAACATTATTAATAACCCCTGCTATATAACATGCGACAGAGCAACGCCTTGTAGCAACGCAACAATCGTTAGCTCTGTTCATTGGTCCATTCAGTTTCGTTGATGTGGCAATTTCAAGCCAGCAGCCTCCTTGCTGCTCACAGAGCCCACCCTACCATCAAAATTCAACAATATTTATTTCAGTACACAAATTTGATTCTTGTTATTTTTTTAAAACTTTTTGTAATAACTTGTATGAATTTTATTAATTAACGTCGTTTAATGCAAAATTTTTTATTAAAAATAACCGACATTATATTTGCACCAACCTAATAGGCAAAACATTACAATGTCTTCATAATGTGCCTGAGATGTCATGTTAGATTCGAAATAGCACGCATGCATGTGCCTGATGAATTAATTTGAAGATGTCCCACCAGTTTTGAAAGCATTCCAACGTTTGACTGACATGATGATGTTTTTCTAATTTTCATTGTTCTCCACGGTATAACCAGTTTTAATTCTCCTGATGCACCTACCTACTCCAACTTTCCGTCAACCCTGATATGATTGTTATGATTTTGCTATCTTTTATTTGTGATTGTTTTTAATGGATATGTTATGCGTTGTTACAATTTGCAGAGAGAACAGTTTTTTGATTATTTTTTTTTATAAAAAGTTAATTCATAAATTATTAGTGATATTGTTTTTAATTAAAAATTAATCTTTTACGCTACCATATTATGTTTCAACAAATTTAAGTGTCAATGTGAGGAGATATTCGAAACCTATTAATTTGAGAACATCTCAGGAGCCGGTTTATAATTGCAATTATTTCAATGAATTTTAATTTAAAATTACTAACGTTTGATAAATTTTTGATTGGATCTGCAGATTAAGTTTCAAAAATTGATTGAAATTTAATTCATGATAGATTTGTTAATAATTTTATTGTCATTCAATTAAAAGTTGATTTGCTAGTATTCACAATTCAATTTAATTTTTTAAATGTAAAAAATTTGAAGGTAGGAACTCTGGAGAACTATTACCTGTTTGAAAGCAGGAGGTTCAAGAAAAGATCTGTTCGTCAATCTCAACATCGGCTGCAGGCTCTCGGCCGTGATCCTCAGGTTTTTGTTTTTTTTTTAAATTTTTCAAATTTTTTTTGTCAACTTTTTTATATGTTTAATTTCTAGATTTTCAAGTTGGAAAAGCGTATTGTTTTTTATTGTGTGATTAACATTTGCTGAGGGGGTTAATAGACAGGACGGTCTTATCGCCTGTCACATGTTTTTAAAAACAGTGTTTTTGGTTGAGTTGGTCTGTAAAGTCTATTTCTAAATATTCAACTCGGAAATATGAGTTTTCATTGAATCAACCACTCAAAAACTTTTGTCCTAAACACCATTGAAATTTCATCATATTGCTTTTCAATGTAAGGTATTGACTCTTTCTCACATGAAATATCTTCATATGCATAATTTAAGTCAAATTAGTGAGCACATCAACTATTTTAACATTAAAAGGAAAATTTCCAACTTTCAATTTTGCATACCAGGTCTTACTCATATTTAGTTTCTGTTTCATGTTTTTGATGTTTCTATTTAATTGTATGGCTTATTATATGGGTTTTTCATAAATTTGTCTAATTTCAAGTAAAAACCATTAAGCATGTATAGCCTTTATACATTTTTACACGCACGCACGCGCGCACATGCACATAGGCAATGCAAGTTATAAAATCAACTGTTTGCTTACAATGCAAGTGTTTGATATTAAACAAATTTATATGTTTATTTAGCTAAGTAGAGCTTATTCATGTTTGGGGAATAGGTGAAAAGGTTGCAATGAAACAAATGTTTAATTGTTTTAAATGGTGATCTACTGACTCTTATTATTATCATCGAATCATCAAGTATTTCTCTACTGTTTTTTCTAGCACTTTTTCATAAAACTGTGTGGTGAACGAAAATAAATATTTAAAAATTTATATTCATGACTAAGTAGATAGCCAAACTGCATTCAATCATTTGTTCTACGTGTGCGCGCGCCTGTGTGCATGCGTCTATTCGCGTTTTGTGCCTAAGTGTGCGCGTGTGTTGGTGCGTACATGCATGTGGCTGTGGCTTGTTGTGTGTTGGCATGGCAACACTCAACTCAATATATTATTCTCGACTGACAGGTGTTTCATTCAGTTAACTTCAGCCATCACTGGATGGAAATTCGTTCTGGAAGCTTGTAAACTTACATTGAGTTGTACGAATGTTTGAATTTGTACTTGCTTTTAATTATCATCACTGTTCATTTTTTATTTGTATGAAATCCACAGCAGTGTTTAATTATTTTTCAATAGAAGTTAACAGTTAGCATTCTTGTTCGTTAAACAAACAATAGATGTGTTTTCCATTTAAATTTCTAATTATTATTCAAGATAATATTTCTAAGCTTTTTAATTAAATATTTAAAAACATTAAAACGTTTTTTTTCAACTTATTTCAATTGACTTTTCTATGCTAGCCTCCGGCACTTGAGTATTTCTTTAATTCATATTTAATGTCGTTTATTTATTTTACCAGAACACTTTTATTATGTTTAGTGTTTGTGTTTTAATTTACAGAAAATTAATAGATATGAGTAGAGATTTTCAAAATTGTAACAAAATGTTACATTGTGGAATACATTGTCGTCGGCTTCAATGTCCCAGTTAAAAATGTTGGCATTCTTCAACGTTAGAATGAACTATCTACAAATTTGATGAGATGGCACGTAAAATCTTCAGACCAAAAACACATGTTTAGATAAATTTGAGGTTATTAAAGGAGAAATAACCTAAATTATTAAAGGAGAAATAACATAAGTTTTATTCATTCCTTGATTTAAACAATTTAGCGCAACCTATCTATCTCATGTTATAACATGATCGTTCTTAATTACCCTAACATACTATGGTGAACATGTCTATGCAAGCATGGCTCTCATTTAAGACTAACAAACTTAATGAATTTTGTTTTTAGATGTACAGTAGTTTGTATTTCTTGCTTTCAGTCAATTTAGCGAAACTGAAAGACCGTTTGGCTGTGTTCTTTCTAGATGATTTTACATTGTTGAAAGACGTTTGTTTTTTTTGAGGAAGATCGAACCAACAGGTGACGGATAAACCGAACGTAGCAGGGATTCCATTGATTTGGTGCAGAGAAAATTCCTCAAATGATGTTATTGATTAACGCGTTCTTGCTAGAAATGTGCATTTGTTTGTTTGCATGGCTTCTGAAATAGTTTATTAGTTGTTTTCATAGCATTCTTAATCTATTTTCATGCCCGCAAATTTGCACACGCCTGCCTGTTTGCCGATGCTGGTTGATGGTGATGAATGATGAAGGAACGCACTGTTTTTTCATCTCCAAAATGACGATGATCTCATTAACGGTTCTTGAGCTAATGGAAACATGGCAGTCAAATTATTGTATACACGTGCATTCATACACGCACACATGCACAGCATACCTACCACTTTAACACCCACACGTTACATGAACGCACACACACACACACTGAACGCACGCACACACACACACACACACATTCACACACACACACGAACATTAATACAAACATTTCATTGTTATTTTTATTGAAGAAATCTAATAAGTTTAAACAAATAAATAAATTTACTTGGTCTATAATAATAACCAACCATCATGATGCTGATATTTTTTGCTGCAAAATTTATTGATGTTTTTGTTTCCATCGTGCTGAACTTTACTTCAATTAACCCATGTTGGTTCAACATCTGCAGAGTTGAATGCAAATTTGTTGGTTTTCACCAATTATGGTGGAATATGATCAGAGGATAATTTTTCCTATCATGCATCATTACGTCATTAATCTTTTTGTAATTGCAGCGCGTAACTCCAACATGCTGGTTGGTTGAAACATGCAGTTGATATCATCTGGAAGGAAGTCGTAAACAAAATAAATTTAAATTTTCAAAACCCACCCTTAAAAGACGAGATAAGACTTTTACATTGCATTCGTTCACAGGATATAGTCTGTAAATCAATATACATACATCTATAGAGATTGATTTAATGTGAAGATTTCCTTTTTACTGTTCCTCACTAATTCATGGGTTACTATTATTATCTGTTCACCATTGGTACTTGCGTCACAGCATGTCTAGGAAAACCATCTCGTTCTAATAATGTTGCTCGTTGCTCCATGAGAAGAAAGATTAGGATTAGATTTTGTTTGTTTAGGTTCTGTAGATTCTGGTTTGTATTTATCTACAATTATTATTATTGTTATTTTATTTTATTTTTCATTGTTAAATTTTACTTTATAAATGAAAGGTTACGATCACATCAGTCGTAGTTTGATGCATTGTTCAACAGTTGAACAGTTCTTATCTCGCCATAATATATGTTGAACAGTAATTGAACTAACATAATATAATACATTATATATACATGTATATAAATGTTAATTTTATTTATTCATTGTACAACTTAACCATTGAAAACTGCTTAATCATTGAAATCATTGAGCACTGAAGTAATCAAACTTTACAAATTACGCGCAATGATTAATTGCCACTGATACTAAGCATATACATATAATGTACAACGTGGTTATTGAGTTTAATGCAAAAACATTTTATTGCTTGTCATCACTATTTTTAATAATTTTCTCTCGATTAATTCTCAGAAGTGCACGCACGCACACACACCTACGCACACACACACACACACACGCATGTGAATTGTACACTCAATTCAGTGTATCTCACACATGCATGTGATAGATGGAGATTTCTATGCATTCGAAGCCAATAGCTGTTGAAGCAGGCCAGGCGCTTTAACCTTTACACCATATCGCCGCATAATATTATTTTTTCACATATAAAAACTCAACATAGTGAGGAACATCGCCATCGAAAGATGCATACACAACGATGACGTCATTATTGATCTGCAGCCACAACTTGTCATTATTTTTCAAAGGTTATTGATTAGCACCGCTCAAAATTCATGTCCAAGTTATCGTTCATCGTTTTTTAAGGCTAGTTAGTTGGTTGTAATGGCGGTTGTTGTTGTTGTTTACGTAATTATGTTGATGATGAAAGAAGTGGCGACTGTTTTTATAAATGGGATTGCTCAATAATGGATGCGTTATTTACTGCATGCCTCCGATTCTCTACTGTCCTTAATATGGGTGGGTGTGAACCTGAGCAGGATTTCCGGCGGAGGATGGTGCTCGCTCCAACATTTTCTAACTTAGTGAGGTAAAATGATAATATAATGTGCTAAGAATGGCGACGATGATAAGGTGATAAAGATGATGATAATGATGGTTAAAACTGTGATAAAGTAAAACTATTACAATGATGATGATGATGTGGTGATGATGAAAATGATGGTCAGTGGCAACAACATTGCAAAGTCTTAGAAAAGATATTTTGTTTGAAATTGTAAACATCAAGTTAAATCTTTTACTTTTTTTAATGTTATTTCATGCACTATGCAAATATGAATTCGTTAGGTTTATGAATGAACGAAGAGGTGCGGGCGTGCATTATTAATGTTATTTGTTGTTCGTTTCATGTTTGTTGTTCTGAAAACATTGTTGAAAAATGTACCGTGTTTTATGTTGCTACGGAGGGTGAAGTCATTTTAAATGGGGAATCAATGCAGTAAACATCCCGCTCATCATAATTGACTACCTTGAACTTTTTTTTATTGATCAACTAACTACTTGCCATTTAGTTGCAAATCTGCATCCACTTGTTATGTTTTGTTATATATTCTATGTTATATTCTTTCATCTGACGAACTGTATGATTCAACTTACTTTTTAATTTAAACATTTCATTGTTTTTAGATGCAAGTTTTAAACGGCAGAGGTCAACATGTGATGAATAATAATGCTTGCAGCTGTCAGGTCATTAATATTCCTATCATTCCTCACGTGGCAGCAACAAAAACATAAGAGGATGGCCGCCAAGTCGAAAACTGATTCCGTATTCTAAATTAAGTGTTTAATACGCAGACGAAAATGAAATTGAATTCATCTGTGTTGTGTTAATATTCATCTTAAGAGGATATAATCACACCATGTCAACTCACACTTTTGGTCCATTCGTTAAAATTATTTCCATTCAGACATCACTAAAAGGTATAAAAACTTGAGCAACACAAAAGCATTATTATAGTTAATATCGCAGCAACAACATAAGTACCTATACAACGTAACTAGTCTGAATCGCAACAACACAACAACAGCACTGCAACCAACAACACTCCTGTATTATACATCATAATTTAAAAGTTCGCCCACAGTCTAGCACATCAACACCAACCACACGTTTTTATTTAAAACACAACTTTCAACACAGATAGACCATTGTTAGGATTCATTTAATACAGACTTCAATGAACAATGCATGTGCAACACTTTCACATCAACTTCATCACATTCACTACTATCACTAATCTCATGTTAATTACTAAGAAATGATTACTTCAAATACACTTCATCCTTTTCACACCAGATTACATGCCGCAAAACTACTCATTATTTCTATTTTGATCCACGTATAAGTTTTAAATGGTTGCGCTAAATGGCTGATATGTGAGTGATTCGTTATAAAAAAATATTTGCATGTTGTTGTTGTTGTTGTTGTTGTTGTTGTCGCTAAGGTTTTCAAATTCTATTGATGATTTTGATCCCATTTGTTTCTTAAATTGACTGATGCTTCATGTTTGATTAGTTTTACATTTGTCTTGCTGAATTAAATTTCGGAATTTTTAGCTGCTGTTTTAGATATTATTAACACGTTCAAAAGCCGCTAGCAAATAATTTTTATTCAAAACTTTTTTTCTTCTTTTGGGAACTGTCATCCAGATGATATATAGATTGTTGACGGGCTTGTTAGATGGATAATGAACAATTCCTCATTATTTATTTACTATTAAGCGTCAATAAATTTTTATTGAAATTTTATTTTCTTTTTTCTCACCCCATTCATCATCGTCACTGCTGCTGTTTCATGTTGAAGCCTTTTGAAGAACTCCAGCGAATTGTCAATGCGTTTGATATTTAATCATCTTCGTATCTCGTGAGTCACTAATCCTTTGAAGATTAACAAACTGCAATTACACTAACGATTATCTACCTTTATAGTAGATAATAATGATGTTATATAAATAAAAACTATGATGTTATAATTACTGCCAGGCTAATTATGTATCAGTGTCATTTTAATGATTTCCAGCATTTTTATAATAATAAATTAGATTATTTACTTGAGATTTTTTTTCTCTTTATTCTATAATCTTTCTTAATGTGTTGTTTTTGCAATACACAATGACATTTATGACTGCAATCCAATAACCACTTGTGATAAGGTGGCTGTGTTTGTTTAGCAATTTATAACTGCTCAGATGAGATGGGAGAGTAATTATAACTACTACCTGACTGCTGATTACTTATGTATTTCGCATCTTGCATTAAAAGTTAATTGCATATGCAGACATGTCTCTTAACTGTTAGTTCTCAAACAATAAATTTTTTTTTCATTTCAGATAAAATGGGTTGAGCAGCAGGAAGGTCTTAGAAGGTACCCCAGGTCATTCCTACCAAAGAAGATGAAGTTTTCTGACCCTTTGTGGCCCAACATGTGGTTTATGGTCAGTCATTATGTCTGTTCTATCTATATCTTAATTCTCTGGTCACTTTTTTAATGATATTTCATTAGTTTAAAATATTTTGAACTAATGCCATTAGTGTTGCATGCTATGATTTGTTTGTGGCATTCATTATTTATTTGTTATCGTACATGTATGGCCGTTGAATAATTTTATTTTATTTTCTTCTATTACAACTGAGCATGTGGTCTGTATAAAGAAAAATGCTCAACAGAGTCATGCGTGCGCATGCCAGCAGAACATCAATGGGCTTATTGTTATTGTTATTTGTAATAAGAAATCTTGATGATTTAATGCGACAAACAACGTTAAAGTTGAAGTCACAAAGTTGCAAATTTTTTTGATCTTATCGCCGTTGGGGTAATTATTGTTAAAAGAAATGTTGTTGTTATTATTAATGATCATTGGCACTAGAGAGATTGTAATGGGAATTGATGGTGTTGTATTTGATTTTGCTTTACTTGAGGTTATGGTAACTGATGCTGTGGCACTTGAGGCTGTGGCACTTGAGGCTGTAGCACTTGAGGCTGAGGTACTTGACGCTGTGGCACTTGAGGCTGTGGTACTTGACGCCGCGGTACTTGACGCCGTAGTATTTGACGCTGCGGTACTTGCAGTTATATTTGTTGTATTTATGTCTTGGAATATGTTCTTGGAATATGTAACTACTGTTTAGTTATTGAAATGGATATTTTCATGATCCTGTTTTGATTTAATTTTATTATTTTAATTTTCATCTGTTTAGCAATGTTTTCAATTGAGAACCCAAATTTTAATCAAACTTGAAAAAATCTGGGCATGATCTGAGCCTTCAGATTACATGAAATCCAATTAATTTCATGCTCATGCTCAAGCTAGTTTTTCTGTTCTGACTGATATTTTTATTGTTATTGTTATGTTTACTGTTTTCTGTTTTGTTGTTTTATCATTGAATATATATCTGTGTGTATGTGTGCGTGCGTGTGTGTGTGTGTGTGTGTGTGTGTGTGGGTTTTTTCTGTCTCTGGGGGAGTTGGCTAGGTTGTATATGCGTTATTTGTTGCGTGTGTATGTGTGTATGTTTATGCATTTGATTTTATGCGATGCAGATTCTTGTAAAAATATGATTAGCCATGTAACATTTTGATACATTGGCGATACAATATGGTCAGTGGCGGATCTAGACAACTTTGACAAGGGGGGGGGGCAAAATATTGAAAGTGTTTAAAGTTTGACGGGAGGGGGCCAAAATTTTCACGTGGGGGCCAAGATTTGTGGTAGTCTGGCTGACGACTTTTTTGGCTGATTTTATACATAAAACGGTCTTTTTTCTGTTTTCTGACTTTTATTAAAAAACTGCTCACAACGGGGGTGAGAAGTGGCCTCCTGGCTCCTCCCCCTAGATCCACCACTGATTATGGTATATTAATACATTGTGATAGAGCATTTTAATATCATGTGATGATGTTTGTGTATGGCCTATTGATACATGTATACCTGTCTCACTAGTTAAATTAATTAATTCTTCATCTACTGTTTTCTCTGGATTCAATCAATGTTGTTTAAAAATCAATTAAAAAATTTATAATTTAGTTTTAGGCAACTCTGGTACACTCAAAGCAAATTATATTTTTAGATGAAATTTATTTTTTCAAATCAAATTTATTTCTTCAATTTTTATAACTACAAGTCACAATCAATCAATCAATCTTTGTTTTGCGTCCAGAGACCCGGTTCCCCGAGGTAGGACGTTGTTTTCTTTGCCATCAACTTTTTGCGCCAAATTAGACGATCAGTTGTATTCATTTCATTTAAATTTAGAGCTTTCATGTCTTGCTCGATTGTTTGCGACCAGGACTTCTTTGGACGGCATTTGGGACGTGTACCAGGTACTTCAAAATCTGCAAGAGAAGTTATGGCACTGTTTCCACTTCGTTTGACATGACCAAACCACCGCAGACGGTGTTGCCGGCATTCGTCCTTTATATCATCTAAACCAGCACGACGAATTAACTTTTGCTTTGCTTTGGATATTTCTGACACTTCCTTTTGTACAAGTTTATTAAAATCTTTCTAACGTTGTCCTCGTTTTCCAATCATTGTTAGATGAATATGTACGTTCCTCAAAATATGTATATTATCATGGCTTATAGAAATTTAGTAGCATTCAGAATGTTCCAAGGTGGAATGGTGGGACATTTGGGGTAAATAACCAGTTTCACTTTCATTTTCACTATCCATCTTTTTTATTCATGACTCTCTGCTAACAAGATAATAGAATAATAATAGTTAATAGCCATGCTCTTATTATCCAGTTGATACTTTGATGGTTTTCAAGAGCTATAACCATATACTGGACATCTATTTACATTTTATGATTTTATGATCTTCCTTTAAGTCTAAACATTATATATATATATATATATATATATATATATATATATATATATATATTAATATACAGTTAAAGTCCGACCCATAACGGTTAGAGACTATAAACGAGGATCGATAAATAATATATATATATATATATATAATATATATATATATATATATATATATTACGTACGTATATTAATATATCATATATGCTTCATCATATTATTTTATGTTTCATACTCTCAAAAAATTTACAATTTATGCACATTCATATGCATATATAATTAATTTATACCTGCGTATTTTCATATGAAGTGCGCATGAGCGTTTGATATTAAATAATAATATATCATATTGTTGCAAATTTTTGTACTTTTAAAATGCAACTTTTATCTCTCTCTCTCTCTCTCTCTCTCTCTCTCTCTCTCTCTCTCTCTTTCTCTTTTTTATACACACTCACACATACACACACACTTACACAAACACACACATGCACACTTACATAAACGTGGGTTGTTTTTTTTAAATGTTTTAAAATACGTGCTTTCAGTGGGGTTTGCAAATATTTGATATGCCGTGCTATGCCGTGTTATGCCGCGAATGCTAGTACGCAGTTTAGGTGTAAAAAGTTATGAACAGGTAAGAATTAATTGCTATGGTATATTCGTGCGTATACAATATTATATATTGAATTGAAAGAATAATTTATTTAGCAAAATGCACGGGAGATGAAGATGCAATGTATGTACTGACCACCTTAACCAAAATTGTGAAATGAAACAGAGCAAGCAAATGATAAATCAAAATATAACAAATAATTTCATTTAAATACAAGAGAAATAAAATTAAGTTGAACAAAAATTTAACAAAATCTAAATAGAAGTTAACTTAGCTAATAAGATTAATCAGCGAGTGTTAAAATAGTTAGAGTGGGCAGATGAATCGATTTTTTGAAAGGACCATACGAGGGAGAGTTCCTCACACTCACCGGCAAGGTATCCCAGAGCCGCATTGAATATGACAAGGCAGAGTTAAGAAATAAATTATATCTAGGAAGGTTAGATTAGGAAGGTAAAAATTGGGATTATGTAAATAAAGCCAGTTCATTATAAAAAGATTGACAGTAACCCAATCTATATATTTTGAAAAACATGAGCAATAAATAACTAGTGTACAATTGATAAATATAAATATTCACTAGATGCAAATAGATGGTAACGTAGTCAAATCTGAATAATTTGAAGAGAATGCGAGGGTCAAAACATGAAGATTAGATTTCGGAGCTGAACCCCATTTAGAAATATAATAAGTCATATAAGGTAGAATGAATGAGTGGTAGAGAGTGATTAAGATGAGTCTTGGAAAGTTAAATCTCAAACGATAGATAAGGCCTAAATTTTTTGTTAATTTACATGAAATATTTTTAATGTGAGAAAACCAAGATAAATTTGAGGAAATAATAATACCCAAAAATTTACAAGAGTCAACCCTTTTAACAGGGTTTCAGGGTTTTTTAATTTAATAAAATTACAGGAGAAACGACATCAATTCTAATTTTAGGACCAAATAGTATATACATACATATAAATATGTATGTATATATACATTGTATATATATATATATATATATATACAATGTGTATATATGAGGATAGTATGTATGCACACACACATTCGTACACAATTGTGTCTAATAGGTAATATGAAACAAGCTTCTTTCAAGCTCCCATAGCCAGCAGTCCCCTGTTACTTATCACTGTTATCTTAAACAAGTTCTTGTTATCATATTGGTTCATGTTGGTATGCTTGACATTGAGACACTGTTTAATTTATTGATTGTGCTGTTATTTGTTACCAAGCAGTTAGTCTTATTGTATTGTTCATGCGCGTGTCAAGGTCTTTAAAGTTTAGTTTAGTAGCTGGATCGCGTTTTGTAATGTAATGTTGCAAACGGGTGTGTGATTGTTTTCTTCCCCGCAGAGGCATACTGTGTTGCTCTTTTGGCCTCCTAGTGTTACATTACGCAATCTTTAAATCACTTAAAAGGAAGGATTGTGATCTCTTAATTGATTTTATTTCAGAACTTTTAAATCATTTTTTTGTATTACACAGATTTATTTCATTGAGTTAATTTATATTTATTTCCTCATCTATCTAACTCTATCTAACTGTCTGCTTATGTCTGGTTCAATTTAGTTTATGACGATGCTGACAGCGCTTAAGCATCTATAATTCTTTTTTTCTTTTGCTTGTTATGTTCATTTCATATGGCTTTTATTAAAGGCCATTGAAATCAAAAATTTCTTGCTTCATATTATTTATATAGTTAAAGTTAATTTTTAATTTAGTTATTGCAATTGAAAACTCACAACTTTTTTTATAGAATGTGTTGAAAAGTTCATCTTGATTTTCATAAGTTGAACATTGAGTAACGCAAGATAACGCTTGTATGATAACCACTGAATACCCTGGCATTTGAAGAAGGCGCCGTGCAAAGTATTATCAATTAAATGGACAGTTGGATGCCTGAGGCTTTAAAAATGCAATTACATGTAAAAAGTTGTTTGCGTGAAGAGGAATGAAATGCTACTGCTAACGTTTTCAAATTATTTTCCTGTCTAGGAGATGAAACAACTGAACAAAATAAATTGCAATATTTAAAATGGTACGAAGGGTTTCAAAAATTGAAAGGATTTATAAATTAATAGGTGTTTCAAGAGTGTAAAACGTTTCAACTTACAATTCATTTACTTCTTAAAATTACTCATTATAACGAGTAATTTTAATCTATCACACAACTGATAATTTTTATTTATTAACTTCAAAGTTTGTATTATTTGAAATTAATTCACGTGCTTTAGTTATCCTATTGTATCATTTTATGATAAATTCAAACAATTTAATTGTTTACCTTTAAACGATAAGCTTTTATTGCACTTGAGATATGTTTTAGTGCATTTATTTAATCAATGAATCATTTCAGTCACTTATTCATAATTTTTATCATATTGGCATTTAATTTATTTTATGTTTTCTTTATATTTTATTATTTAATTTGTTGTTTTATATATCCTCTGTAAAAATCACAACACAAGGTTACTTGAAGAGCAATGCTTGCTTGATTGTTTACATGAAAATGTTTTTTTAATTCAACAAAACCTTTTTTCATTTTTTAACTCATTTATTTATGTTTTATATTTTTTAATGAATTTTTAACAATTAATGTTGCAATTCGCTAGTTACTATTTTACGTTTTTGAAATTTTTAAATAAAACTCTCCTGAAAAAAATTATGCCTTCTTTGGGTTCTATCCCAGCGTGGTTGCTTTGTATTGTTTATTTGTTTGTTTATTGATTGATTTGTTTGTTTATTTATTTAATTAGTTATCTGTTTTGTATCTGATGTTGCAACAGTTGTATCATTTAGAAATAGTTAAGAACGTTTGTTTCGGCTGCATTTATTCTAGTAATGAATGGCTGCCGACTTATGTTCCATTACATTTCCGTTAAAATTTAGTGACGTATTAAAAGCCTTCCACAGCATTCCAGAATGAATGCATTTTATATCTTCTACCACATTCACTCTTCCTAAATATATTTCTTCTAACAAATGATTTGTCCTGAAAGTGATTTGCTACAAAATTACATTTGAAAATCTCCCCGAACTTGACATAGAACATTCAAAGTGTTAACAGTGAAAGTTCTTTCATTGTGCCTGTTCACTCTTATCTGTTACTGCCGGTGATGTGTATTTATGGGGTACAATACAACAAAAACAGATAAAAAATGACGCAACGAATGCATAAATACAACAACGCATGCACTTAATATAACAACAAATACAAAATTACAGCAACAAATGCCATAATATCACGACGCATACAAAAATGCAACATCAAAATTTACTAAATATAACTCGTGGTTCGTAATCGCGAATTCAATTTTTATTATATTGCATTCAATGATTGACATACGTGATAATTGGAGTTGATTCATGTTTAATGCTAGGTTCCTTTACATTCCATGCTAATGTTTCCCACAATCTGAGTTTCTCGTTCCAACTGATCCGATACGACTTACGTCAAATGTTTTATTTGGATTGTTGCCTTAAATAAATTTCCTCGTATTTACTTTGGAAAATCTTATTCCGTTGTGTTTCGTTTAGAAACTTATTGTTTGACTATATTTTAAAATTTCATCAGAAATGTTGAACCATGTTGGATTGTGTGTGATGACTCATCATGCATTTTAAGGTTTCAAATGATAGATGGAGATGTGCAGTGGAATATCGTCATTGAAGATTACGCTAATCATGTTGAACCTTTGGGAATGGAGATTGAGAGGTCATTAAGGAAAACTTAAAGCCAAGTAAGACTAACTTTAAGGACGTGTATTGTATAGGCACTTGTCAGTCTTGAAACGACGATTAAAACGCGAGGAAGTCGCAACCCACACACGCGCGTACACGCATTGCAAACACACACACGCGCGTACACGCATTGCAAACACACACACGCACGCAAGTTCATTTGTAGTAACTTCCAAGTTAAATCTAACTCAACTAGCTGGTGTAATTCTAGTTTTTTGTTTTCAATGAGTTCTTGAGAAGAACTAGATTTTTAAATATGGGCACTTATTTTATTTCTGGTTTATTTTTATGCTTTTTTCACTTTTTATGTATGAACGTAAAATTATACCAAATATTTTGTTGTAAATAATGTGTGAAGGCGCTTAACGTAGAACAACACAGCTCGGGAAGTGGGAACATAACTGGGAGGTCTTTCTTACTTGGCATTTGAACTCTGATAATTTCGTGAAGAACTTATTTTTTTAAAGAAAATGCATTCTCGTATATTTATAAACAAGATTTTTGTGAAGTGCAAAAGTATTTGTTTCCAAAAATGTCTTAAAAAGTTTAAAGATGTGTTTTCTTATGAGGAGAATATTTCTTTCTTAACACTTACAAGAGGTTAATGATCTGTTATATAGTAATTGAACTATAATCAAGCAGTCCTCCATCAAGTCATCAGCACATCATGTGCCGATCATCTCTCACTGAGATGCCTTCAACTTTCTTACACATGTATTTTGCATTTCCATCTGCATGCCTGTATATTTTTCTTTCCATGGGAACATTTTGTTTATTTTCATGCTTTATTATTCTTCTGTCATGTGATCAATTTGAGTATCAATTTACACAATAACTGTCGGCTGTATTGATTTCATGTGTTTTTATGTGGCATGTTGTTGTTGTTGTTATTGTTAGTGTTGTTGTTGTTAGTGTTAAAATAAAACACAAATATCACCTTCCAGATGAAATTTAATAATAAAAATAGTATTGTTATTATTATTTTGACATTTTATCACGATTAGACCTAAAAATATTTTCGCTTTGGAACTCTCTTCTGAACAAATTTATATTTGAAATGGAGATATACTTCAGTATTTGTTCATCTGATGCATTATTATGCAAGGAATGTTGCACAATTTTTCTTCAAGATGATATACAAGATACAACAACAACGACAACAACATCTTTTTCTCTCCTTCTTTTCTTCTTGGCAGTTGAAATTTTAGCATGCAGTTTCTTTTGCACCGAATTAACATCTGTTACTCTGTACAACACAATTTCCATAATCTCTTTTAGAATTATCATTCCTGCTCTTATTGTATTGTTGTGTTAATGCTCTGAGTGTGTTATGTCTTTCTGTGGTGATAAGTGGTTGGGTGTTTTATAATTATAAATAATTAAATTGATAAAAATTTATATTTAGGTGTGATTGTTTACTTTACTTAATAGATAGTTTGATGAGGTCACACCATTTAAAGAATGCATTTGCACTGTTTTGATATCATACAGATCAGTTAGACAACAGCAGTCGGAGAGTTCATTTTTTTCAGTAGATCATCTATTACGTTGAATGCTTCATTACATTAGTTTTATAAGATGGAAATCAATCATTTAGGAATAATTTAAATTATTTTACGTTATTTTATGCTATTTTTTGAAGGCTTGCTCTCTATAATTCTTGAGTTCAGAATTTTTCATTAAATATACACTATGGATACATGAAGAGACTATGTAAGACAGTAAGAGTTGATCATAATTCTGAATTAACATTTAACGATCATTAACATTAACAGCAGTAAACATTAACACGTACAGAATCGCAATGGATACACGATGAATGTGGTGGAGGCCTGGAAGCGTGGCTACACAGGGGAGGGGGTGGTCATTGCCGTCATCGACGATGGGCTGGAGCACAACCACACCGACCTGGCCGCCAACTATGTGAGTCGCCTGTGTGGACAATGAGGATGATGTGAGATGATGGTGATTTTGAGGTTGAGTTGACGATGTGGTGCATGATTGGTGCATGATTCTGGTGATGATTGGTGCATGATTGGTGCATGATTCTGGTGATGATTATGACGGTGATGATGGTGATGTGAGATGATAATGATGATTATGATGGTGTGAGATGATGATGATTACGATGATGATGATGATTTTATTTAGCATGATTAGTTATTGTCGATGTTTAACTGACAGATGAATGAATTTATGTAGGGAGTTTTAGTTTTGAAAATGTTTTATAATACACAATAAAGCACCATTAAGGAAATTGTAATAAAAAATTCCGTAACGGGGAAGACGTTGATGATTTAAAATATTGATGAAATATTTATGGAATGAACTGAAACGCAGTCACTCATTTGACCTCTCATCTGACTGATAACTCTCTGGTGATCTATTGTTGTGATGATGACGAAGAAGAAGAACATGATGACGATAATGATGATGATAATGGTGATGATAACAATTAGAATGGTGGTGATGATGATAATGATGGTGATGATGTCGATGATGATGGTAATGATGACGATGATAATGATGATGACGATAATGATAATGATGATGATGATGGTGATGATGGAAAAAACAAATTTGAGGGCAGTTGCAGTAAAATAGATTGACGATTATATACTGTTGTTTTTATCGGTGTTACAAATAAAATAATGTATATCATGATAAGAGCAATGAAGGGCCAATATTGCTGATAACAGTTCTGCTACTGAAAGAAATTTTTTAGTTCTGGAAATAAAATTTTAATTATTTAAGTGTAAAAAAAATGTTGTGAGCTTCATTTATTGAATCTAAATACAAAATAGGAAGTGGACATTACATAAAAATATGTTATTCGTTTCTGTTGAAGTTGATGTAAAGATAAATACATGTATTGGTGTATGCAAGGCGTTTGGTGAATGTCTGCTGTGAATATTGTTTCAGTATTGGACTGGTGTGAGACAGTTAGGATTTTGAGAGTGTATAAAATGGAAAGGCAGAAGTCAAATAAAATTTTTCAAGGAATAATAAATATATTAACATTGCATTCAACCCACAAAGGCTTGAATAATAAATATATTAACATTGCATTCAACCCACAAAGACTTGAATAATAAATATATTAACATTGCATTCAACCCACAAAGGCTTGAATAATAAATATATTAACATTGCATTCAACCCACAAAGGCTTGAATAATAAATATATTAACATTGCATTCAACCCACAAAGGCTTGAATAATAAATATATTAACATTGCATTCAACCCACAAAGGCTTGAATAATAAATATATTAACATTGCATTCAACCCACAAAGGCTTGAATAATAAATATATTAACATTGCATTCAACCCACAAAGGCTTGAATAATAAATATATTAACATTGCATTCAACCCACAAAGGCTTGAATAATAAATATATTAACATTGCATTCAACCCACAAAGGCTTGAATAATAAATATATTAACATTAGTAATAAATTTAGTAAAAATATTCGGATTAGGTTTTCATTTTATATTTTTTGTTATATACATAAAAGAAGTTGTATCCTGAATGAAGCTGGGTCATTTTTTAAGGAATCTATATTTTTATCAATAACGTTATTATTTGCATTATCATTGACGTGACAGCCATGAGTATGTAATTTATGTTAGCAATATTTTTTATATGACCGAAGATTGATTCATTAGGGTTAGCTATTTTCGTTGAAGGTTTGGCTGGTTTTTTTTTACTCATGACAGCGTTATTAGTTACGTGTTTTTTTTTAAAGTTTGGCGATATAACTTGCTTTTGTTGTTTTTGAAAATTTCATAAGTAGAACATTTGATAAAATTCGGTTAAAAATTTATTTGATTTATTTATGAATCAAAGGAAATTTTCTTTCTGATGATAAGAAATGAAGCATTGCTCAGGAAAAAAAATCCCATTTTTATACCAAAGAGAAAATTTTATTGCCGCGCTGTCTTGTAGCGTTTGGTTTTTGTTATTTATAACAGCAAATGTTTTGTCTTTGTCATTCAACCCCTAGTACTTAAATAAACATAAAAATTGAGAAATAATTAGGAAAGAAAAAGTAAATTTTTATGGCCAGTAACCGTGAAACGCTCTTTTTAATTAACCGGATACCCAATTGTTAACCATTTTTTGGATGTCATTTTATTATTTGTTTAAAAAAATTATAAAATTTTTGGAATTTCGTTTGAGTCAAAAATATCTTAATCCCGCAATTACATTTAACTCCTGTCTAGACTCCTTTTTCATTTTTTCTTTTTACATCCAATAATAATCACCTGTCTCGTGCTAAATCAATAGTTGAACATGTAGGTAGGATGTCACAAACGGGATATACATGCATGTACGCAGGTATGTAAAACATGCGTGTATGCAAGACAAGTTGTATGTATGAAAACTTGCTTCTACAACTTGTGTGCAACATTATGCTTATAATCCAAACGCCAACCACACCACTTCCAAATGTTTCCTGGATACTGTCTTTGATCATGTTTATTTTTTTCAGTGTTTCTTTCATTACTACCTTTTTATTCACGTACATTTATTAAAATGATGTGCCATTCCATTTTAGTCTCTAAATAGAAGTGTTGTTTCTATACATTAATGTCTAACCGTGATGGAAAAAATAGCGTTAGATTTTGCTTAAGATTTTTACTTCACGTTTTTGTAGCATTTATATATTATAAAATAACTTTTGTATGTAAAAGTTCCTTTGCAACAATTTGTTGATAGAGAAGAAATTCCTCAATTGAATTTTAATTTTAAAACATTTTTCAATATTCAAGTTTATACCCATTTATTTTGTGTGTCAATTTGAAAGATAAAACATTTTCATAATATGCAACATATTTATTGTATTCAACATAATTAATTATTCGACATAGTTATACCATTTTTACTACATCTTCTAGGCAGGCAGTAGTAATTTAAAGACAAAGTTATTATTTAATGTTTAAATAAATAATTTGAATTCAAGTGGTTAAAATTTACAAGTGACCATTTGCTCGTTTCAAAATCATTTCAAATTCCCCTCAAATTCATTTTTGAAATTTATTACTGAACATAATTGAAACAATCTAAAATTTGTATAATTTCCTTGAATGATTTTTTCAAAGTAAACCATGGCAGAACAAACAGGATATTTTGACATTTGAATTGTTTTCAATTATATGTGATGCTCTGTTAATGTACAAAGAGTTCTTATCTTATCATCAGCCATTTCGTTGATAGTTTTGGGTATTATTGTTCAGGTTTTTTCCCACGCTACATGTGCAATAATAAGACTGGAAGGAATCCGTGAAATTGTTATGAATGTTAAATAATTCTTTGATTTATGGCTCTATTTCAATTTTAGCGGCTTCATATAAATTTTGTTAAGATGTAAAAAATTTAATTACGTTTGCTGGGATTGATTGAATGCATTTATCGTAATAAAATATGCAGATTAAAAATTAAAACTCGAAACCGTTGTTTACTGATTATGCAAATTTGATTAGGAAGTCTGGCTGTGTAATTGTGAGAAAATATATTCTTTACAAGTTTAAAATCTATTTTTAAGATTTATAAAAGTAATTAATTTTATTGTCAATTTTCACTATCAATAAATCATTTTATGAACAGCATAAGTAAATTAGACAAGCCATAATGCATTTCAGCTTTATGTTTTGGTTGGTCTGTTTGATCCTTGCTTGTGCGCATACAATTTAAAAAATGTATAACCAAAAATTAAATTAACAAATCTCTCAATTAACATTTTTGTCAATAGTTCACTCATTATACAACTTGTTCGAGATGAATTTTTATTGCTAAAATTTAATTTTGATTGGTTGTTGGTATCAAAGAGCTTAATATGTGTATTGTGTATGGTATGTTAAACATGTCAATTTGATATTTTCAGAACAAAGAAGCAAGTTACGATGTGATAGATGACGATGAGGACCCCATGCCCGACTACAAGAACAAGGAGTTACGAAAGTGAGATGGGGGTTCAAATTCATGTCTGGCTGTTTGGGAATTCATTGTCGTTATGTTGATTATTCGTACGATGATTAATTATATTTTTGAGATTTTTTGAAATTTATACGTGGCTGGTGTATTTGAAAATTTAAAACTGTTAAAAAAAACAAACTTGAAATGAGTTATTTAAATGTGAACTGAATGCTGGCAGCAAACTTAGAAAAAAATTTGTCATAAAAAAAGATGACTGAGAATTGCCAGTTCAAATAAAATTTGATTAATTTTATTGATTAAAGAATGTCAAAATTAATTCAATATATTAATTGTTTAGATTCTAGCTGTATTGCTATATTTTTGAAAAGTTGTTTTTATTTATTATATTATATTATATTTGTTGGCTGGAATAATCTAAAATCTGGTTGATTCCAATCCATCTGTCCCGTTGATGCGGTTTGCATTTAGTTCATTGAAATATGCCTTTAAATAATTTTAATGTCTCGATAATGATGCAGTAAATCATCAATCTACTCGCGTTTGTCCCCAATTCTGAGTTGTTCCAAGTCAACATCCTCTAAATTTCCTGTACGTTCAGTCCAGTTTTGTTGAAATGATTCCAGATTATATTTTATTTGGTCGGAAGTTTATTTACACAATGGTTTGTTTTGCACTCTACTAGCATCTGTTTAACAAATGTAAGTTATCACAGTCGCACAGCAACAATTTTTTTAACATCTGCGCTTCGGTCTCTTCGAGATATTTCACATTTTTGTAATATCAGCATTAGATAAGACAGATTATTTTAACACGAGCATTACACAGATTCATTTTTATTTATATAAATATCATATGGAATTTCCATCTGTTTTTCCTTGTGGAAATGAACAGTTCACCGTACTGACAATTCAATAGCGCCATAAAAGCATAATACAACATAGCACATCTTATTAGCTTGCATGCACTTTGTTTTGCAAGACTCTTTCATCAGATTTTAACGCTTAAAGTCAAACTGAGTTTTTAAGAGTTGAAGATCATAGGTTGTAATGCTGTAACGTTGTAATGTCGTGATGCCTGGGATGGCGTGTAAAGGTAAAAACACGCATACAGTCACGCGTGCACACACACACACACACAGAGAGAAAGAGAGACACGTATACATATAAATATACTTTTATTCATCGTTTTCATCATTTTTACGTATTCTACAAAATGGATTTTAGTATTTTGATGTCGTCATATTTAGCTTTTTGTTAAACCAGTGGCATTTTTTAATTATTAAAATTAAGATTACTAACTCTTTGATTATGTGATTAGTGATTAGGAACATTTTATAAGGTAGTTTTCATCAAATACAAATATTTCGGGAATTGATATTTCTCAGCAGAAAACCAATTATAAAATTTTAACACCAAAGCGATTTATTATTGACCAAAGTTTGTAAGCAGTTCACTGATATGTTCACAAACAAACAAAAGATATTCATGAGACATCAAGACAACTTTGGACTATGCGTGTATACTCTTCACTTCAGAGTAAGTTAACGTTTAATAATTAGTGTTTCATATTCATTCTTACTTATGTATACATAAGAGTCACTTGTCGCTTAAGAAGGAAGACGGAGACTTCCGACAAATGTCTGATTGAACATGAGTATCTTGGCGTTCATCTTAATTTTATATTTGTTCCATGTGATAGTCCAAAGTCCACTTAGGCTCTTTGTATGTTATGTTGTTATATATGTCAAGTGGCCTGGAAGTAGTTGTCCTATTGGTGCAAAAGATATCAATCGCCACTGTCTTAAAAACAATTTGCAAGCGATTCTACATTTCTCAAATTCGCGTATTAAAGAACAGCTCCTCAAAATGTTTTACAATAATATGCTCTAAAGTTAATGTCATAATTTGTTAATTTTACTGATTTAATCTCCTGCGTTGAAAGTCCAGATCTTGTTTTTTAATAGCTCCAGCAGACTGGTTGATCAGGCTGAAAACAGAATGCTTAGTTTGCGCGACAAGAATGTTAATCTCCACAATTAATTTTGAATAGGACTCGCTCAGATTAACACAAGCATGCAAATACTCGTTCCCTGTTATGTGCATACGAGAATTGTTTCACTTTGAAATTTAAAGTGAATAATGTTCGTTTGGATATTTTTGTGTGCGGAATAAATATTTGTTTTCTTTCCATCAATATATAAGTTCTCTGCTTTTTACACTAAAAATTTTTTATTAACGCTTTTTTTTCTGTGCAATTCTTTAAATAAATACGATTTTTTTCTTCTTTTTGATTTAAAGGACATCCATTCAAATACGACCTTACTTTTAAAAGGAGTAAAAAATTAAGTAATTATTATAGCTAACAGAGAATACAAAATGAGATTTGGTATGGAAATTTTTAAAAATGAACTAAAGTTGGATTGAGAATGTGAAAGAGGCTATCATGAATGGATGTGCAAGCATGCATCGTTTCGCACAGGCAGCATTCAAACCAGGTCACTACGCATCAAAAATAACACTAGAGGCCGCATTCCTATCCCACACATACACACACACACACACACACGTATATTGTGCATTTGCACATTTTTTCTTTCTAAGCGTTAGAAGTTCAAATATATTAACATTATTCTACTATTATTTTACTATTCACTATTTAAATTTATTTCTGTCTTATGTGTTTGAATAAATTTAAAATTTGCATAGGAAATGTTTTAATTTAATGTTTTGTTGTTTAGCCACGGGACGAGATGTGCCGGACAGATAGCGGCAGTGGCCAACAACAAGAAGTGCATTGTTGGGGTGGCTTTCAAGGCCACTATTGGAGGTTGGGGGTTTCTTCATTTATGTTTTTTATTTCTACTATTTTTTTACTTTTCCATATTAAAAATAACTTCAGGTTTATTTCTTTTTTTCATATTTATTTGTAATTATTGTTAATAAATTTAATTTATTTAAGATTCGTTTTTCTTCATTCCTTGCCATCATGATGCTGTCTATATAAACTATTCTCAGAGTTATTTAAAAAATTTTAAGCAGAGTCGATTTCTGTGAAAACAGTAACAAATCAATTAAAATGCTGTTTAACATGAGCGCGTCTTTTTAAAGGTTTAGTTCAATATTTAATTATTTATGAGCTTTTAAAAAACAAAATTATTAGAGAATGTAAAATTTAATTTGCCCATAGTAGGTTTTTACCTATAATAAAATAAATTTATTTATTCACAATTCTATTTCAAAAACAATGAACAATATTGATATTTTTATTCGTAAGTATTCCGCTATATTTAGAAAGAAATGCCGCAGTGCTTATTTAGAACCTATGTTTTACATTCATGGATGAACCTTGAATAACAATACATTAATCAATTCTTCTTGCACCACGTAAAAAGAAATCTTTTTTTTTATCCACGCATATTTAATCATTCAATTGTCTTTATTATCTACCAAATAGATTATTTTTTATTGGTGTAAAAGTTATTTTGAAAAACTGTTCTTACGAAATATATTTCTATATTTTTTTTACTGCTGCTACATCATCACCCGTTTTTTTTATCCTTATCATGAACATTTAAAATCGTTTTTGTTGAGTCAGCAAGAATCATTTTATTTTTGGTAAGATTTCAGTCAATTACTCCAATAACGCAAATATAAATATGACATTTCCACATTACTCATCAAACATTTTTTTAATAAGTTTTTTCTCGGTTTTAAAACGAAAATGTTTGTACAACTGTGTACGTTCGTAATTTTGTTAAAATGAATCATTAATTGTTTTTCACAATGTATCGCAAATGTAGAGTAAATTTAAATTTACTCTACATTTATTTCAAATTGAGCAATGCGATGAATGCGAAGCATTTGTTTCACAGAAACATCCAATTTATTATTAGTCATCGAGGCGCACATGCAATCAACGTTTCTTAACATCTATCTTCTTCTGCATCTGTACACATTTTTGTTCTCAACATACCTTCTTGTGCTGATAATGTTACAGTATGATTGCTTTCAAAAATAACTTTTTCATTTTCTTTTATTTATTTTTTGTTTTTTTTTATCAATTTGTGGTTACTAAGACATATTTTATATATCATATATTTTGTATTGCCAATACAGTATTTTTTGTATTACTAAAACAATATTTTTCGTATTACAGACTCCATCTTATTTTTCGTTACATTACATTACACTATTCGAACAACTTGGCTTTTTTTTATGTCGATTGTTCATTGCCATTATTTTGATTTAACGTGATTAAAAAAAGAACCAATCATTTTATTATTAGCCAATAAAACATATAAATAATTTGTTATGAACCATCAATGCGATTGTTTTGGAAACTTTATTTTTGAAACAAATGGAAGAATGATCTCGGGTATGGTTCATTCTCATTAGAAGATAGCAGGCAGCAGCTAACAAACAGTTGGTTCCTTCTTTAGACTGTAAATATTGAAGAGTTGTGATGTTTATAGGTGGTGAACCTTGAAATAATCAAGTTTCATCGTATTGTTTTCGACGTTTTAAATTATTTTTATGATCGAATCAGAAAATATTTTTCGCAAATTTATGCGTTTAAATTTATTTTGGTTTCTCCAATTTTTATCATACAACTTGAATTGTTGCCGTTTAAGAAAGAATAGTAAACACACTCACATAATAACAACAAACAGTTCTATTTAAAAAACAAAAACAAAAAATAGACTGCTTATAAATGAGGATTTGTTATTTGTTATGTCTGCTGCTCGGTACTTAAATGATTCCATAAATTAACTGATTATGATTTATGTTGCCATCCAAATAACATCCTGCATTCATTTCTTATCCATTTTCTTATCCTCTTTTGATTTTCATGTATTATTATTTCTGGATAAGAAATGTGATAGATTACATTACAATAAATAGACGATTTCGAATTGCTGTTTTACAATGCAAAAGTTACCCTGGTTCTAATTACGGAAATGATCACAACCCAGTTGTTTGTAAAATCAGGATAAAATTAAAGAAAATCAAAAGTGAAGTAGAAGTACGGAATCGTTTTCATTTATTGACGGGAGACGTAAATAAATCTAAATAAGAAATATTTAGAGATGCCCTCAGAGAATCAGCAAGGGAAGTTATACCTTTCAAAAAAACAAAAAAGTGGTCAGAAATGAATAACAGATGACATCGTATCTCAGTTGGATGAACGAAGAAAAGCGATCTGCTGCAATCCAGATAGTTACAAAAAGCTGGACAAAACAATCAAAAAATGTGCTTAGAGGCAAAGGAGAAATGGTTAAATGACAAGTGCGAAATCATTGAAATGATCAAAAGCAGCAATACAAATGCAAAACATCAAAGAAATCACTGGAAAAAGGGCTTGTACCGTTTCTGGATGCATGAAAGCTAAATCCGGCTACGAATGATCAGTGAACGAGCGATTGAAATGAAGAAAAACTTGTTTATAAGTTTTATCTTTTAATCCAAAGTTTTTAATAGCGTGAAACACGTGGAGTTTATGGAAATATTGGAAAATTTGGACATTGATGGAAAAGACACGAGAGTTATCTAAAACGTCTATTGGAACCAAAGAGCAGCAATAAAAGTTGTTAACAAAATGACTAGTTATGTCGAAATAAAGAAAAGTGTTAGGCAAAGCTGTGTATTCTCTCCAGATCTGTACAATCCCTATAGTGAGATCATCATGAGAAAGATAGAAGATCTACTTGGAATATCCATTGGAGGCGTGAATATAAACAATGTATGATAGAGCTCTTATAGCGGACTCAATGGAAAAACTGCAAACAATTGTTTCCAAACAGATTTTTGAAAGTGAAAGAAAAGGCTTGCAAATTAACATCAACAAAACAGAATGCATGGTTATCAATAAAAGCGAAACCGCCCCGATCCGCTCCATAAGCATTAATTGTTAATTGTCAACATTTTCAATTATCTCGAAAGTCTGATTACCTCCGGATGTGAAGCCGATATCAAACGAAGGATAGCTATGGCGAAAGGTGCATATTCTAAAATGATTAACATCCTCACAAACAGTAAAATCAGAATATCAACAAAGTTAAAACTGTTAGAGTGTTACTCTTTTTCTGTGCTCACTTACGGCTCTTAGTCCTGGAAAATTTATAAAGAAATGGAAAAAAGATTAACACTGCTGAAAATTACATGGACCTCTCATATTTCGAATGAGGATGTATGAAAACATTCCCATTATGAAAAGAGAAAATTACTACAGATAATCCGACGAAGGCAGTTAAAGTTTATTGGTCGCATCATGCCGAAGGAAGGAATCGAAAATCTAACAACTACTGGAAAAATTGCAGGGAGAACAGATCACGGTCAACAACGAATAACATTCGTGAAGTCCTTTTGTCACTTGTTGAATATCACCGCATTTCAACTACTACAAAATTTGATTGGTTTTTGTGGAATCAACCTCCACAAGAAAGAAGAAGAAGAAAATCCTCTTTTCACGATCCTTTTGAAATTGAAGACTTGGAAACGTTTTTCTCATTTTGAACTTTATCATTATAATCAGATAAATGTTGGCTGGTTTTTATGAAATAGCAAATTATAACATTTCTATACGCTGCTTATTTACATTATATGCACAGATAGGTTGAGTTATTTCTTCAATTTTAAGATTGACGACGAGAATTAATTAGAATTTAGTATTAAAAAGGTTTGTAAAAACGTGCAGATTGTATAAAGAATTTTCTTCATGATATATTTAGTAAATTTCTACTTTTAAATATTTTCTTAATTCTAATAGTTGTCAAACCTATTCATTTCATTAATTGATATCACAAATATTATTACTAATTATTACAAATAATTACTAATTGCGATAAAAGATTTGAATGCTCGTTCTCCACGCTCAGGTATCCGCATGTTGCAGGAGGTGCAGACTGACGCCCAGGAAGCGCACGCCTTAAGCTTCAAACCGAACTTCATTGACATCTACTCGAACAGCTGGGGTCCCAACGATGGCGGCAAGATTGTGGACGGACCAAAGACTCTCACACAGACTGCCCTTCTCAAAGGTGTCACGGAGGTTTGTTTCTATTTTTTTTAACAATCATTCCGCTGATTACTACAATTATATTGACAATTGTATTAGTTTGAAATTGGTTTTTATTTAAAAGTTAAAGGAAATAAAAAGAATGATAAAAAGTGTGCAATATATTTTTGTCGACCCAACTAAATTGAAATAAAAAATAAATAAAATCAATAAAATGTGTGCAGCGTACACGCATCTAATAGGAAAATATATTAACTTAATGATTGCAACAGACACTTATGATTGTCATCTGCACGCATTGCAATGTGTTATAACGCATCAAGTTTGAACATTCTAAATATGGCAAGTTTTTGATAGTATTTTCATAAATGTAAACATGCCGATAAATGTTTACATGATTGATTATCTATTATTCCAGGTTGATCACAGATAATCTCATAGCATGTAGTTAACTAATCATCAACTGATGTTTGATATTTGGCTTAATTTGTAATTATATTAAAAGTCATCGGGTGCCCGAATTTAATTACCATCAGAAAATATATTATTATATATATATTTGTATAAGTTTCTTTTTTTTTCAAAAATTTGTTCACAACAAATGAAACTCTACTCTATTGATTTGTGTAACTTGGTTTCAGGAACAACTCTTTGATCTTTAATGCAATTAATATTATTATTATCGAATTTTAATATCATGGAAATATTGTACATATATATTTATTTATATGTGTACATTAACCGTTCATATTAATTAAATTATTTTAACTTGTAGGCAGATTATATGATTAAATTATGTTATTTACTTTTGCTTATTGCATATTGCTATTGCATTATTTGCTTCACGGATTTCTTTTTTGTGGTAGAATGAATTTTTCTTATTAATTTTATGAAGAAATCCAATTATTTTTATAAGTTATAGCTGCTATTATTAGCATTACTAATAAAAAATATAGTTGAGATAAAAAGTAAAAAATTGTTTTTTGATTTTATCTTACTCCAGTTCTCATAAGCATCTTAATGAATTGAACATATCATTGATTACACGCTGAGAGTGTTTTTTATTTGTATTATTTTGTTTGCGATTTCATGGGAAAAAATTAGCTGATTTAAATTTTTAATTATTTTTAATTGTGATATAGTGAGTCAGTGTTAATGAAACTCATGACAATGGTAATGAATATTATTATATATAATTATATAATAATAATGTATATATAATAATAATAATATATAGAATAATAATGAAACTGACAATAACGATTTTCCATCTCATTGTCACATATATCTCCACAGCATATCAATATTTATAACTGTAATGTAGGTAGAGCCACACATAACACTCAAACACTGACATGTATCTAGTTTATGAAACTACTGAGTTCGATCAATAAATCGTGAGAGTTGTTTGTTTTAAGCCTTTGCTCATAGTAAGAAAGAGTCGTGGAGGGTTGAAAATATAGATTTAATGAAAATATACTGGCATGAAGCAATAAAATATTGTATTTGTTATATTTTTATTCGAATCAAACTTCTGTTTAGTTAAAGCTAATTTTATAAAATTACATATGTTTTCAATGTCTTAAACGTTATAACGTATGTAACAACATTATGTTGTAACTTTGTAAGATGTGAATGATTGCATAGGTAGAGATTGATAGAGTGAACCTCGTCAAAATTGGTTAACATCCTGCTGATGATGAACTTGAAGAGGTGATCCAAGTTGGGCGTAGAGATGAGCAGTATTATTTTTAAGATGTATCCAGCAAAATGTTGGCTGGCTGACTATACAACTTTAACATATTGCCTGGTACGCGAATAAGCTTTCTAAAACTTTTGACGCCATAACGTTTTTATAACGAGAGTTATTTGTTGTTATTGTCATCGATACATTTTACACTATTAAATAATTTTTATAACTTTCAACATTTACAATAAAAACAAACATAAAAGCTTTTTCTCTATTGATATCTTGAAGGGGCGCAGAGGAAAGGGTTCGATCTTCATCTGGGCATCAGGGAACGGCGGGGGAGGCCCGCATGATTCGTGTGGTGCAGATGGATACGCCAGCAGCATGTACACCATTTCCATCAGCGGCGTCACCGATAAGAACACCAAACCATTCTTTCTCGAGAAGTGCTCGTCCACCCTGGCATCTGCATACAGTGGCGGGGACCAGATTGGCATGCAAAATATTGTTAGCACTTGTTTGTCGTTGTTGGTGCTGGTATCGTTGCTGTTGTTGTCGTTGTTGGTGGTGGTGGTGTGGTGTGGTGTCGGCGTTTCTACCTGTAATGTTTCTTACTTTGCTTGTTTATAACTGGCAGTATTGTTCTTTATGTTGTTAAATGTCTCGCACATGACGGCTTGGTTACTGGCACACTTGTTATTTGTTTTTTTTTTAAATTTATCGTTATATACCTCGTTGCTGATATTTGGCTATCAAGTCTGGACTATTTTTTGTATGTAGTGTAGTTCCTTTGTTTAATTTTTCAGTATTTTTAATTGTTAGTAAAATTAACTTTTACGCTTATTAATTTGTGTGCTATTTAAATAAATAACAAATTAAGCGATAAGAATGGTTTGTATCGACTTAATGAGAATTCTGGTTTGAATTAATGTTATCAAAAAGTTTTTTTTTCAGTTAAAAACAATTCTACCTACCCCTTAATTTTGGTACAGTTGTTGTATTTGTAACATTTGTAACACTGATGAATTTGTTTTTTGATGCATCAACACTAAGCAGTGTATATACGCTTTTTTCGTTCCTCTCTATCTCATAAGGTTTTGTTTGTTTTTCTTTCATTGTATTTATCTTCTACTAGCGTTGGTAAATCTGAAGGAGAGTTATTCACTTTTTGCGCATTCAAGATGAGATTTTAACATTTATAAGGAATGATGCATACCTACTTGGCGTGGTTAGTCTATCGTATTATTGCATAAGATTTGTTGATAATGGATATAACACTTGCACACACACACACATCACACGCACACACATCACACACGCACACGCACATACACGTACGCATAACATTATTATAAGATGCTGATGGAATGTAAAAGTACAACTTAAGAACCTGCTATTGATTTATTGGCCGCCTTGATTTATTTATAAAGTAGATGATGGTTTCTTTTTGAACCTCAATAAAAATTATGTAGGTCTTCATCTGATGAATCATTTTAGACTATCTTAAACCTTAATTTAAAAAGCGAATATCAAAGATATATAATTCGTTCCTTTTTTGAATTAGACTTACAGAAATTGTAATTTAGATTTATATAATTTATAAAAAATGTTTGTATGGCTATATGACTCTTTAGTTTTTGGCGCTAATTAACCTTCATGTATTTGATCTACTATTATATCATGTGCAAGTGGCATGCACATATTTTGTCTGAGCTCTGCATCGTCATACAGCTTTGAGCGACTTGGTGAGATATGCTCTAGAAGCTGATCTATATGATCTGGCAATGAAACCATTTCGTCAACGTGCTGAGTTATCAACGTGCGGTGTGGTTAAGAGAAATTTCTGTGCTCCCTGTGGAGTGTAGAAACAATTATAATTCTGCTGCCTGCTGTGTGCGTGTGTGCCTTTAAATTTTGAAGAGTTTACAAATTAGTTTCTTACTTATACAATAGTAGAACTGGAAGAAGTAAATAGAAAATGAAAAAAGTTGGTGCATTTGTTAATTGGAGAGGAGACATTTTATGGGAAATTGGTGATGTGTGGATTCTGATTGAAATATAGTTGATGTTGTACGAGAGACTGGGGTTGGGGTGCTATGACTTCGTAGTGTAAGCTCTTTGTTGGAAATCTTTATAGATCAATTTGAACGTCTTGAATAATAATTTACATTTATGACAAAAGTACACAATTATAAACAAAACTTAATGGAGAAAGAAAATACTATTTTAACCTCAAATGTTTGATATGGTAAGTTAGTTAAATTATGTTGTTATAATTTATTAACATTGTGTTACAATATTTGTTATAAGTATCATTAAATAAATTTTCAAATTGAAAAATCTGACAAGCTGTCCATAGATTTTTAGTTAAGAATATTGTCTGATTTTATTCATGTGGTGAAGAGGAGTTGATCATTGTTCAGTGATATTTCTCTGAAATTAAAATTGAATATTAATACATTATTAAATAAAAACACGAAATTATTTCAATATAATTCAGTATAATGAAATTTAAATTAGTTCGAAAAAAAATTTTATTGGCTGAATTGTTAATTAGTAACTGGAGCTTCATCCAATGTCATTTAATTAAGCAGTCCTGCCTGTCACCTTCAGTGATCAATTAATCTTAATTTGCTGGATCATTGTACACACACGCACGCACACACACACACACGCACACACACACGCACATATATACATATATATGCCCATACATACATACACATACACACACTAACAGACAGGCACGCACACAAATGTTTATTTATTTATTTAAATTTGTATGTGCATTGTGCTAGGAAAATTGAAATTTTACTTCCAATAAACTGTCTATCCACTATGACATGAGTTACTTCTCAGTCACAAGTAGTGATATGCCAGGGTCTGCAGACGGTTTTGTTTCGTTTTGTTAACTTTTCCAAACATCAATTTTATTTTCATGTAATCGTGATTACTGTCATAGTTGCATCATGAACTTTATCGATGTAATCAAAACTTCAACCGTCACCATCATCATCTTCGTCGTCATCATCTTCGTCATCGACATCATGATAAGCGCTGTACAATATCTATGTATAACAATAGGAATTGTACTGAATAACAAAAACAACGAAGATAAGAATAACAGTAATGATGATGACGACGATGATGATGATGATGACGACGATGATGATGATGATGATTTCAGGTAACAACGGACATCCGGAACCAGTGTGGCGAACACACGGGTACCTCGAGTTCTGCTCCAATTGCTGCTGCCTTATGTGCTCTGGCGCTCCAAGCCAAGTATGCTGCGTTTTGTCCCTAGGTGTGGTGTGTGTGCGTATGTGTGTGCGTGTGTGTGGTGTGTTGTGTATGTTCATTTGTGTGGCGGGTGTATGAGAGTTAATTTGTTGTGTTTGTTGTGTGTTCGGCCTGTTAGTTTGTGTGTTGTGTATGTTTGTTTGTATTGTTTGTGTGTGTGTGTGAGTTAATTTGTTGAGGCGCGTGTTAATTTGTATATGTGATGCATGTGTTAATCTACTTGCATGATGTGCGAATTAATTTTTTGGCTTTTATTGTGTCCATGTTTATTTGATGTTTGTGTGTACCTGTACATATGCGTGTGTGTATACGATTTTTAGCGGTTGTGATTTGTATGCATAATCCTTGCTGCGTTCAATAATAGCACAAAACATTTTCGCAATGTGTTTTGTTTTCAATTTATTGGCGTTATTTTTGTTTCTTCTTTCTTACTCAGTATACGTTATATACCTACCATAGAGTGTTTTTCATGAATTATCACCAACATCATCATCCACTAAGTAGTATAATTGACATATGTTTGGCGTGTAGAAGGTCAATTGATTGACCAGATGTTTATTTATAAGACGCTTTTATTAGCCTGTATAACGTGATTAAAAAAATGTATTTATTTTATGTTATTTCTTTCCTTTTGAGATACGTTGTTGACCAAGAATGGCGTGATGATGGTTGTGGAGAGCAGGATTTAAAGCCTGCTACCCTCCACTTCCTTCCTTGTTTGCATGCAATCGAACTTTAACTATCGAACTGAAGCAGAATGATCAGAGATAAATTCACGTCACGTCGTCGATGTGGCGAACGCACACACAGTGCATAGTATTGATAGTATATCTCTTTGATAGTATATCTCTTTGATAGTATATCTCTTTGATAGTATATCTCTTTGATAGTATTTCTCTCTGATAGCATTTCTCTTTGGTAGTATTTCTCGATCATTATTTACTGTATTACTCCTTGGAGAAACAGATATTAATATGATCTTATGGCTATCAAATCGTGTATGACTTGCATTTATAAACTGCCATTTTCATGGTCTTCATAACGCAGTGTTGACAAAAGCGTTTGAATTGATTAGCCTCCCAGATCTTATGCTGCAGTGATTTGTCGTTTGAGTTCGAGTTCAATGAGTATCTTATGCATGCTTATATACATAATAACTTTTCTTTAGTAAGTATTCATGATATAGCCAAAGATTTATAACAAGTAACCAAATATATATGGCAATTTCTTATTGGAAAAATGATTGATTGATTCGTTGAAACTACATTGTTAAGAATTATTTGTATTTCTTTTTTAAAAAAAAGGCATACTCCAGCAAATGCACTTTTTCAGTTAGATGTAACCATCCAAACTTCAACAAACGCTTTTCTTTTGCCCAATACGACCAAAAAATACAGTACCTTAAAAATGTCGTACATTTTCTTTGTTACATTTAAATTATGTTTTTCTTTTTTTTTTTCTTTTGAGTTTAGATATCCTACAATCTGGAAATTCGACATATCCTATTTTAAGCATTTTTTCGAAAATGCAAGAATTGGATAAAAATTAGAAATAACCAACTTTACGAAATTGTATACAACCCAATAATCCTTAACAGTAATTCATTTTTACGTGGTTCTGTAGAAATTTAAAATAATTTATTGTTAAAATGAATAGGTCATAGACGAGTTAACAATATGAACCTGGAAGCAAGTTTAAACAATCCAACTGAATGCACTTTCTGCTAATTCACTTAGATTTATTTATTCATTTTTTATCATTTTATAATCTTTTGATGACAAACATTTCATTATCTAATTATGAATCCTTCATTTGTTTTTTATCTCTTCATACATTCCTCTAATATTTGCTCTTTTATTTACCCTCCGCCGTTCAGTCTATCTTCATACCGTCCTATTCATCCACGCTCGTTTCTTCATTCACTCGTGTACGGTTTATTTTTAGATTTTCTGTAATTGCGGTGATTGTATATGTTGCTATCTGTTCAAATCAATATGTTCTATCGTTTATATGTAAGATGTATGTATGATGTGTATTGATTATATAGAAACAGACATGTGCGTGCGTGTGTGGTGTGCGTGTGTCTATGCGTGTGTGTGTGTCTGTGTGTGTGGTGTGCATGCGTGTGTCCGTGTGTGTGTGTGCGTGCGCGTGTGTGTAATATACGTATGTAGAATCCGGTTATTTGTTTTATCCCATCTGTTTGTAGTGATGTGTGTGTGTGGTGTGTGTAGTATGTAGTGACGTTATTATTACTCATTAAGCAAACAGTTTTTATTTCATCGTTGGCAGTATTTTTTTGAAGAATTCTTTGCTTGAAGCTTTCGGTTTCAAATAAGCTTGAAAAATGTTTTAAGCGAATTAATGATGACAACTAACCATGCATTCATTCATCCATGCATCCATCCACCTATGCATCCAAGCATGCAACTATCCATGCAGCCATTTTTTAACCCTTCATTTATCCATCCAACCGTCCACCCAGTCCCGACCTGACGTGGCGAGACATGCAGCACATCATCGTTGAGACTTCCAGGACTGAGCCACTGAAGGACGCAAAGTGGGTCACCAATGGAGCTGGCAAGCTCGGTTAGTGATAATAATAATAACATTAATATTAATAATAATAACAATTATAATAATATTAATAATATTAACAATTATAATAATATTAATATTAATTATAATAATGTGTCATTCAGTAGGGCGCCATAGGCATAGCGTCTGAAGCGCTCAGAATTAGTTGAGATGATAGGGCGGTGTTGTAGGGGGTATGTTGATGAGGGGGGAGTTTCAGGGCATAATCGGAGAGTTGTTAATGGGGTTAATGAGTGAGAATGAAACTGGTGATGGGGTAGGATAGTGGATCATATTGGTGTCAATGTGATCTTCAATAATACAATATTTAGAATAAGTTCTCGTATCGTATCGTTGCTAAATATATTTGTGAGATATTTTAATGCTATCCGCCATTTGCATGCACCGGGTACTATAATCATCATTTAGTCAAAAGAGTAATAATATTAAATAATTGAATGCGATAAACTCTTTTAAAGTTCAGCTCTATGTAAGTAGAGTCATTTATATGACTCGCGTACAATATGCACTGATTGGTTTTAATAAAGAAGAGTAATTGAGTGTTAATTCAAAATTAAATGTAATTTAATCCTCGCTTCGGCTTGGAAGGAATTGTTTTCCGTGATGAACTCCTCTGCACTGCTGATTACTAACAATGGGGTGACAAAAATAAATGCTAGCATGCATGCACGCATGGTGATGGTGGGGGTGAGAAATTGTCGTCAGTCGATTAACCCTTCAATAGAACGGAATAGACATCTTCATCATTTGTTGGACTCACAGTTTTTGAACTGTTTTCGACCTAACTCTACTTAAGTTTGTACGATGAAGATCATTTGTTCAATGTATTATTCTTGAGCAGAGTTGGAAAATTCTTTTTTTTCTTGAATTTTTTTAAATTTGTCTGAAAATAAATGTTATTTCTATATAATGGCTTGTCGTAATGAAGTGAAATAAATTGTCAAATTAACTGAAATCTATAGATATCAAATCAGACCCGTCATAAACGAACAAACAGAGTGAAACTTTAACACTTCCACGCACGCACACACGCACTTCTATAATTTTAGTTTAAACAACTATTTGCGTGTTATCACCATTACCATTGCTCACTTACTTTCGTTCTTAATAAGTTGCAACTGGAAATTGTGATGATATGATGATGTTGATTGTGAAGAGAATTTATGATGATGATGATGATGAGGGTGAAGTTGAAAAGTTGAAGATGTTTATTGTGACGAAGATGAGGCTGGTAGTGTTGATAATGAGTTTATGTTATCAGGGCTCACAAAGTTATTCCGAACAAATTTAAATGAGTCATTCCTTCCAACATTCCTTCAAGTGATCTTTAAAAAAATTTGTTTGATAATTTAACACTGTTCATGAGAATTTTGGAATGTTTAAAACCTTTGCGTATTGATGTCAATGAAAAATCTGTAAACGTTGTCTAAAAACTAAAAAGGCTCTTAATTTTTTTAAAACTGGCGATGAGAATGCTTCTGGACGTTGCAATCGCGCCAACTGCCGCATTCTGTTTAGACGGTCTGTTAAACACTCTACCAGCCAGGCAAACAACTGATGTTGTTAGAATAAATTATTACAAAATTTGGCTGGCGCATGCAATCCAATCATAGCTTTCAGCTTTAGGAATGTATAAAAACGCGCACACACGCACACATACACACACATCAAACACATCACAAAGATACCGCATTACTACCCGCTTTGACTTTCCACAAACTCGTCACATTGTCATGCACCCACCACAAACACAAACACGCCATGTTGTTAACCACCGCCAACATTTCCGCATTTCCACACACAACACGCCAGTTAGTCACATGTACGGATTCGGACTGATGGATGGTTTGGCCATGACTCAGTTAGCAGAACAATGGAGAACTGTGCCAAAGAGGCATACCTGCGTCGGACCCTACCATCGAGTTGACAAGTATGTGCGTGTGTTTGTGTGTGTGCGTGCGTGTGTTCGTGTGCATGATGATCAGCTGTTTGTCATTTGTTTCTGTGTGTTTTCATTCGCTGTACTTGTTCATTTGTTTGGTTAACGTTGAGTCATGTGCTGGAGTCATGTGTTGTTGTTGTTGTTTATGTGGTTTGTTTTTATGTTGTTGATGTTGTTTATTGAAGCTGTTGTTGTTGTGCGATCTGCTTCCCGTCAGTTATATTCTGTTGTCGCCTTAAGTACTTTCAGTTCTATTGCGTAATTAATTTGTTTTTTGATGCGTCTGCGTTTAACGAACACGCCCGCCAGAATCAATTTAGTAGGAATTTGATTTATAGTAACATTAAAAAAATATTTTTTTTTTTTTTTATTGTTCCCATGTTCTGTTAAGTTGATCTGCTGCTACAATCTATCTTAGAAATAGGCGCTATCAATTTCATTTCTGCGTTTAATAAACGAAATCAATAATACTAATAGTATGACTGTATTTGGAATATACCATGATCGTTACATATAATGTGATATTGTAATTTCAACTAATTATAATGTTTTTATTATGAAATTATTAGAATTATTAAATTTATTCCACATAAATTCATCATTTATAGGTTAATTTTTACTTTAAAAAAAAAATCTCAATAATGTGATGGGAACGTTTGGAAAAATTTTTAAATAAAAATTTAAAAAAAATAAAAAAATCTCATTTATTATTTTAATGGCCTTCCGTGGAATTTTTTCTTTGAGTTTTCTGCTCTTTTGATATTCACTCAAGTACTTTTGAAATTTCGATCATCGCCATCGTCATTATCACTATTCTGGATTCCTTTATCATTATAAATTATAAATGATCAGGTAGTCATTGTGATTGCCATTGTTATATCAGTTACATAGTTACATCAGTTATATCATTGTTTTTTCAGTTACATCATCATCATCATCATCATAATTGTCATCATTATTTTTATCAATAGTTTTTTATTTTTACCAACATCGTCTTCATTATCATTATAACCATCATTATCTCTTTTTTTTATCTAGGTCATCATCATACTTAGCATCATCTCCACCACAACTCGCCACTTCAGAGCCTTCCAGAAAGGAATCAACTTCAACATAACAACCAACGGATGTGAGGACGTGACGGATGACGTCATCAATTACTTGGAGCACGTGCAAGTGGTCGTTTGGTTGGAGTACGACTTCAGAGGCTACCTGCAGATCACCTTGGAGTCACCGGCTGGCACGCAGAGCACCCTGATGTACCCCAGGGACATGGACTACTTGAAGGGGGCCTTCTCAAACTGGACGTTCATGTCGGTTTTTTATTGGGGGGAGAATCCCAGAGGTACCTGGAAGTTGAATGTCACCAATGTTGGCTTGCTCATTGGCAATGGTCAGTTGTTTGTGTCTGTCTGTCTTGTTGTGTTTTGTGTGTCGTTTTTGTTGTTTGTTTGATTAATGTGGTGGTATGCATTACGCTGTTATGTTCTTTGTGTGACGTGTTTTGTACTGTGTTGTGTTATTATTCAGCTTAACAGGATGATTTTTTGGTGTTTAAACGTTTTTTTTGCGTGGTTATGAAGTATGTGCTAACATGTGCGAGTAACTGTATCCTACATTGTATGCGTCATGTTACGTGCTTCGATATAACGCATGAGTAATTTGATTTTGTTGTTGGTTTTGTTCGTTTTAACTTGCCACCACATTTAACTTGATTGCCTTGCTGTTGGCGAGATGTATTTAATTTGCTCAGTTTGGTTGGTTGTCATGATGATTGTGTTTGTATGTGCGCGTATGTATGTGTGTGTTTATTTTTGTATGTATGTATATATGTTTGTATATATGTATGTATGTACGTATGTAAGTAAGTACGCATGCATGCATGCATGCGTATGTATATATGCATGTATGTATGTATCCATGCATGCATGTATATATCTATGTTTGTATGTATGTGTGTATGTATATACTTCCTGTTCATATGTGTATGTGTAATTTGGATAAATGTAAATCATGACTGGCCTATTAACAACTATTACTATCATCAGCTTTCATACTATCGTCAGCATTTATTTCGTACTGTCATTTACACAGACAAACAGACAGACACCACACACACACATACACAAACACTCACACACCACACACACGCGCATACACATATAATAATTTTTCATTCCATGCGTTTTATTTCGTATCTATAGTTCAAATTCTTCTGAAACTTTTTTGCAAGGTACCTTCCACGGCTGGCAGATGATGTGGCACGGGACGAAGGAGCAGCCCGTCAACACTACGGAGCCACTGAACATAACGACCAGCTTCTACGATGACACGTACGATGGCGAGGAGGATTACGTTGACCACTTCAACCAATCATCATATCTCAATCAGACCAGGATGGAAGTTAACGTCACTGCTGAGGTAGGTCACATGATGATGATGGTGATGATGATGATGGTAGTAATGATGATGGTGATGATGACGACGACGACGATGATGATAGTGAAGATGGTGATAGTGATGATGATGGCGATTATGGTGATAGTGATGATGATGATGATGATGGTGATAATAATGATGTTAAAAATGATAATTGCTCTATTAGGTTGTCGTTGATTATAATGGTGACTAAAATAATAAGTAAAAATGATGAAGACGATGATGATGATAATGATGTCGATGATGATATGGGAATGATGGTGATGGCGATAATTACGACTAATGCTGTGGCCTTTATCGTGATAATAATGATAAAAATAAAATGATTGTCTTTGGTTCAAGTAGCCATTTATCTAGCGCTCAACATTATCTGTCGTTAATTTTATGGCCATTGTGTGTTATTATTTGATTGTAGTCTTTGCAGTAGATTGAAGAATAGCGTGTGAATAGCATATGAAAAAATGTCACTATACAACCAGAACAGAACGTTTTGCCATGAGGAGTGTGTTGATTGTACAGGTCCCAGCGAGTACAACTGCACCATGTGCAAACATTTTCAAGTAGCCAGTGACGGGTTTGTCATTGTTGTTGTTGTTCTCTGGTTGTCCTTAAGTATTTGTTGTCGTTATGTTGTAATGTTGTTGCCGATGATGCCACTGCTGTTGTTGATGTCGTTGTTTTGATTGTGGCTGCTGTTCATTCCGATTTGTGACGAATGTGAACAAGTTTGAATCTAAATTAGAAATATGAAGACCCTGAAATATTTTTCGCCATTGTAGGAAATAAATGAATGTTGATAAATGGATAATGATTCATTGCGTACATTTGATGCACTGCAGCCATCAGGTAACAATCGTTACCGAATATGTTTTGAAACTTCCAAGTGTCTTGGAGTGTTGTGCTAATGTATTGTTAGAAAGCACTTGGCCAGAGTTAATTACCAGATAATGAGAGTATACATACGTTGCCCAGTTAACCTCAAACCTCCCAACATAATTGAAATGTCACTCACTTGATGTTCAAGTGGCCAATAAACTTTTTTTTATGTGTATAAACTGCAAATGTTTGTTGCTCCATGTAGTGCTTGTATATGCAATTAAATTACTGTAAATTAACCTTTCAAAAGCTATAGATGAGCTTTTACTGTTGGATGTGTAATGTGTAGTGTATGTATGGATAGATATAACAAAGATGCTTGGTGCTTAGATATTCGTAACCTTGTTACTGATGTAATCAGCCATACGTTACCATGTTTTATTTTACAAACTATTGTATTATTATTATTATTATTATTATTATTATTTGTGACTTATATTTAAATTTCAAAACTAGTTGTATAAAAACAAGTTCTCATTCTTTTCTAGCGAATGTCGTAACGTTTATAACATTTGAAATAAAAGTGTCTGAAATACTCGTCAAAACATTATTGATTACAATTGTCCAGGACACAACAAAACATCAACAGCGCATTAATAATGAAATAGAAACGTACCAACAGCAGTTGCATTGAACGCACCACAAAACACAACACAACAACCTGGCACGCAGGAGCTGTGTACCGAAGTGCCCCAACACAACGTACGTGTACGGTCTGACCAACATTTGCATGTCGTGCCGAGCTCCCTGCCACGAATGCACCATCAAACAACTGCCACACACTGTCCTCCACCAACAGTATCCTCACCAGCAACAATATTCCTTCCTCATCAACAACAAGACCTACGACAAATCCAACATCACCGAACTGGGCCAATACAATTATGGGTTCACGTCATTCGACGATAATGGGCACGATATGAGCATGTACTCAGTCGGGAATGAGAATGACACTTACCTGGAATGTCTTTCCTGCTTGGATCAGTTTGTTCTCTACCAAAGTAACATGTCTTCCTTGTGCATGGAGTTCTGTCCGCTGGGCTTCTATGTCGGTCAGTTTATCCCTCTGTTATGATGTCTCACTTCTTCCTCTTTCCCACTTTGATTGTAGTGTAGTTATGTTATGTTATTGAGCATTATTTATTTAACGGTACGGTTTCAGTTTTAATATTTTGAATGATAGAGATTGTTTTTGGCATTCTGCTTATTATTTAGTCACTAAATACAAACAGACATTATTTTATATTGCAAAAACTTTGAACTTTCTTACATTTTGTTCAAGATTCTCAGTCGAAATGCGAACAATGCCAGGAACAATGCACAGAATGCACCGATGCCCACACTTGTTCTGCATGCCTTGCTGGCTACGAGCTTATTAAGCAGGGCAACGCTGTCGTCTGTCTCCGTGAGTGCCCTCAAGATCATTACAGACACACTAACAACAGGTGTGCAAGTGTGTATGTGTGTGTGCAAGTGTGTGTGTGTGTGTACGTTGCGTACACGTATGCGTGTTGAAGTATATGAGTATATACGAGTTGAAGTATTTAGTTAGATAATGTTATTTTCTTGGATGCTGTTGACGTGAGGCACGTATGTCTTGAGATTAATAAGTGGGAAATGATAATTTTTGCGCATGGTGTTTTTTTTAATATTTAACATATATATACCTGCCTGCCTATAACATGTACCTACCTACATACCTACCTACATACCTACCTACCTACCTACCTACCTACCTACCTACCTACCTTCTATCTATCTACCACCCAGTTGCGTGGCGTGTCATGAAAGTTGTGGTTCGTGCAGCGATGAACTCGCTACAAGTTGCCTCACTTGCTCCATGAAGCACCTGTGGCAAGAGAACCTCTGCGTGCAACACTGTTCACCTGGTTACTACAAACATCCCACCAGTCAAAACAATCCAGCAGAGTCCAGTAGCAGTGTTGATGTGGAAAGGAAACAAGATGGCAGAAATGATGGAGGCAGTGGAGCAAACAACGTAGCCTCTGTTTGCAAGAAGTTTGTATTTGTTTAGCTAGCCTGGTTGTATTTTCAAACGTTCAACTTTCGTCATGTTTTGCGTTGTGCTACGTTTTCCAAGTTCCTTACAATTTTTTATTATATATAATAATTTCATGTGCTTTTTAATTTTTTGCTCAATTTGATTCAGTTAATCAAATTCAGCTAAAATAACAGGCTTGGTATAAGTGCTGAATAATTAAATTGAAATCAGCATCAATTTTAGTACCTATAGCACATTCAGCTGAACAACAACCAAAACATCAACAACCAGCACAACAACAACAACAATGTCATGTCATCAACAGATGTCATCCATGGTGCAGTGAATGTAGTGGTCCGAACGTCTCAGAGTGTCAGGCCTGTTTTCCACCATTCAAGAGGTTCAACAATGTTTGTCACCCTGAATGCCCACCTGGTTTGTTCTTCAACTATTTCTATTTATTTTTTTTAACCGAACGTTTCATTGGGTCTTATCCGTTTTGACGACTTTACCTAGTTCAAATGCATGTTGAGTCAGTTTCAATGATCTATTTTGCATGTAGATTTTCGGACGCAAAGACTTGCGCGTACTTGTTTAGTATTTGCTTTGTGGAGTGTTGCGCTAAAAAATAATTTTTAATAGACAGGAGAGTTTCCATAAATTTTCCATTTATATGTTTTTATTGACATGATTGCGTTGTGGTTGTGGTTTTTGGCGTTAGAGTCATTGTTTATGTTATATCTGTAGAAGCGTTTTATTTTCTTTTTAAGTTTCGTTTGCCATATTCACGACGCTAATGATGTAGTTTATGATGTCTTCGGTAGTATGTCTGATGTTTCTGATGTTGCTTTTGATGTTATTGATGTTATTTTAATGCTTCTGATGTTAACTATGATGTTATTGATGTAATGTTGTGTTCCCACCAACACCCTCATTTTATTTTCCATGCTTATTAGGCTTAAACGTTCTTACTCCGTTATTTATTTTCCGGTATCATTTTATACTACTCTTTGCATCCTTGCATGTTGTAACACTTTCTGCGTCTTTTGGATTCTGATTTTTTAAAGAACACTGATTTATAAACTGATTTTTTAAAATAATAAAAAAATACATTTTTGAGACGTGAATACGTAGGTACACTTTGATGACGTCACAATAATGCCTCGACTTTCAGAATGTTACTTAAGATGTTGTTGATGCTTTTTACGTTAATATCAATATGTTCTGAGGCATTTTTTCTCTGGGCAGGCATGTGGAATGATTCCATGCAAGCCGGTGCATCCGTCCCTGATTATAATGATCTCGTTATGATGTTTCGTTCCTTTTAATTATTGAGGTTTTTTATTGCGCCCTTCATCCTATCATCAATGTATGTAATGCTTTAGAAGTTCACACATCTCTGGATTCATATTTATTCATTTATTATTCGTTTACTCGTTCATTCATTCATGCATTTGTTTATATATGCATTCATTCATTTATTCATTCATTCACTCACTCATTCATTCATTCGTTCGTTGTTTATGTGTAAATTGAAAACGTAGGTCGGTTTATTAATCTTAAATACGATAATCGGGGATTTATTATGAAAAATAAATATTCTTCACATTAAGGAAATAGTTAAGGTGGCTTATTAACATTGGATGAAATAATTATTTGCTATGATTTTGTTCGCTCTGAAAAGGTTTACAATGAAAAAACCAAATAAAAAAACTGCTGTATGTAAATCACGCAAAAGTATTGGGTTATGAAATGAGGAAACCGTCTTGGGAGGCAGAGTTTGTTGATGGTTTTGTTTCGATGCGGTGTGCTATTCCATTCTAACTTGTTGTTACATTGAAAGATAATTCGATGGTTTTATTTAATTCAAGATGATTTCCAAACCGTCAAATCGTTATGTCAGGTTATTATTACGATGTGCAGAGCATATGCCGCCCGTGCAGAGCCCAATGTCAAACGTGCCACGGAGATAGGGAGGATGACTGCAGGGCCTGCCGCACCCCCTTGTTAGTTCTTCTCTCTGTGGTTGTCTGCTCACTGTAAAATTTTAAGTTTACTTCAAATAAATTTAATGTTTTAATAAATCGTCTACATCGCTAGCTAAAAATATTTCAGAGCATTCTACAAAGGCAGATGCATAGACAAGTGTCCCGATAAAACGTTCAACACGACATACCTTGAAAGGAATACGAGTTAATAACTTTCATATATATCGTTTGACTTATTTCATACTCTCTCATAACTCTTCATCATTGATTTAATATTTAGAAAAAGATCTTTGTACATTTGTTCTATAAATTCTTTCTTAAATGTTTTTAATTTATTTTTAATACTTTTATAATTTTTAAAACCATTTTATTTAGTCATGTTAACGAGATACTAATATGTATGAATCATACATTTCGTCGCAGACTTACATTTCTTACATTTCAATGATAGCTTAAGCCTTCTACTTACAAACAGAATTTTTTAGATGCGAGCCATGCCATGATTCATGCGCTACATGTTCTGGCAGTTCCAGTATGAGGTGCATCACATGCAAGCAAGGACTGCTCTACTCCTTTGGACAGTGCGTTAGGAAGTGCACCGACCTGTTAGTTTTCCATTTCTTCCTTTTTCTCGGATTCTTTTTTCCATAATTCTCTGATATTATTGCTCATGTGTAAAATGTATGTTGTTTATGACTATAGGTGATGATGCATCTTTTTGGGCGTGTGTGTATACGCGTAGATATTACTATTAAATGTTTAGAAGCGCACTTGAGTTTGAATTATTGAAGACAGTTTATTTCATCTGAATCAGATAATGTTAATTAATGTTATTTAATCAAAGTTAATGTTTCTAAAAAAAAATTTTTATATTCGTAGAGAGTACGTGAAGAGCGATAGATGTGAGAAGTGTGACCTGTCATGTGATAGGTGTTCGGGACCTGCAGCTCATCACTGTCTGCAGTGCAAGATTGGTGAGTGTCTTCGTTATGTCTCCTGCTCTTTTATTTTTAACATTTTGCTCTATTATTATTATTATTATTATTGTTATTGTTGTTGTTGTTGTTATTATTATTATTCAAATGGCACAGGCAACCATTAATCCTGAATCAATAAACAAATTTTCCAGCTTTTAAAGTTTGATAGTTGAGAAAACATTTAAATCTTAATGGATTCACAACTTTATTTAACTCTCTAGTACCAGGAAAATTAATTTTTTGGGTTAGGGTTAGGCTTACCGCCGTGAGCACACTCGCACATGTATCGAAATGTTTTAACAATTCTGTTGTAGTGACTTATGAACAATGATAACCTCAGGTCACTTCATGTTACGTAACTCGTCGTCGTCCACATCTGGTCAGTGCGTGAGGGAGTGTCCGAATGCTTACTACTCGTCCAACATGGAATGTCTCAAATGTCTTGGCAACTGCAAACACTGTTTGGGTTCGTATCATTTGCCCTATTGTACTGTGTTTTTATGTTTAATTTCAAATTATTATTTCTATCTATTTCGTTTCTTTCAAATTTAATTTGTCTCAAGTGTAATTAATTTGCATTGAACAACAGAGTCCAATCCGCTGCAGTGCACGTCGTGTCAGGCCTCATACTATCTCGATGAATACAACCTCTGCGAGTCCGTTAATTGTCAGCGAAACCAGTTCTTTGATGAAAAAACGAAGGTGACTTGCTGCTGAATAGGAATCACTTTTCAATTATTTTATTGGTGCTTAGTTGATTTCATATTTGATTCGTAACTTAGTTAACGAGCATGAGATAATCTGAGAGGTTCATCTTCTGCTTGATACTCTATTGGAAAACAGTTCGCATTTGTACGCCTGTTTAGAATGGAGAACCACTAAATAGTGAACAGAAATCAAATACATATTTTTCGACCTACTACAAATCATAATCTAATGGATTATTTTTTTCATTTCACAATAGCGCACGTACACATTGTTTAATTTATTCGTCCGCTGCATGTAATAACGATGCACCACCATATTGTTCCTTCCCTCAATTGCACACGCTACAGACTTGCCAAGCCTGCGACCAGAAGTGTTTGAAGTGCAAGAGCGGCAAGCAGTGTCTGGTCTGCAACGAAGGCTTCTCCCTCCTCGTCATGAACCTCAAGTGCATTCCCGCCTGCTCTCCCCCGTCCGACTCTGATGAGGACATGGAGACCTGCTGCCTCGATCAACCTTTCTCTTCAGCTGGTTTCTATTCTTATTTCTCTGTTTATAAAACTTATTATTTGTAACCTTTTGTATTATTCGGTCGTAAAATGTTTTTAAAATATTTTTAAATCATTGACTCAAATTGTTCTCGTCTAGCCGCTGCTTTCGTTGTAACTCAAGTCGTACTTATAGCGATGATTGTTTATAAGGAAATACTTTCCAATCTCAATCCATTCAAATGGACTATCATTATGTTATGATGACCTATGTCAGATGTGACATAGGTCATCATAACCTCAATCAAATGTCTTGGATCAAATGTGTTGTTGTTACCTCCGGTACATTTTTATGCATGTTGATGTCGCATTTTGCAAAAATTGTTGCATACAATTTCAAACAAGTAGCATCCAGTTTAAATGGAAACTCCTTTTAAACTCCATCCACTTTACCTAAATTTTATGTAGCCTCAGACGATAACTAACTTATTAAATGGAAAGGAAGTGCTTTCCAATCTCAATCCATTCAAATGGACTATCATCATGTAATGATGACCTATGTTAAATCCACGCTCAGGTAGGTGCATGAATGTGAGTTACATCGCGCCTGACGGAAGTGCAGATGTTGATGAGGAGGAAGAGGAAGAAGAAATAACCACAACTACTACTACAACTACTACTACTTCCACAACAACAACTACAACTACCACTACTACCACTACAACTACAACATCTACTACCACAGTTACACCGACAACAACAACAACATCTACAACAACAACAATAACATCGACAACAACAACATCTACAACAACAACCACAACAACAACCACAACAACAACAACAAAACAACCAGATGTTCCTTTAATTCCACCAGACACAACCACAACGATGTACATCAACATAACATCTACACCAATAACTACATCAACCACCACACTCCCAAGTGTTGTTACACCGTCAACAACAACCACAACGACAACATCAACAACAACCACAACGACAACATCAACAACAACAACCACAACAACAACCACAACGTCGAAGGCCACACCAACCACACCAACTTCAACAACGTCAACGACATCAAAAGCTCCTCCAGCAACTCCGACGACAACTCCAATCCCTCCAAAGAGTGACTACATGTACACAGTCTTGTTCTGTGTCCTAGGCATCCTTCTCCTACTCGCTTTCCTCTTCATCATTGGATTCTGCCTGTTCCGTGCCAAGGCCAGCTACAAGTTGTGCTTCTCCAAGCCTGACTACCACTCCGTCCCGATGATTTACAGCAGTGGCAGGAACAAAAAGATCTACGTCATCAACGCCGACCACCGCCGAGTCGTCAATGGCCGCCTGCCCTCTACAGATGTTTAACCACCTATTCTATTTTTTTTCTACCCTGTCCTAATTAAAAAAAAATTTTTTTTTCACCGCTGTATATTTTGTCGCTAGGAATTTTGTAACATGTTTTTACGTGCATTACCATGGTGCCGCCTGTGGCGAGTTAGGTGTTTCTTTTTTTAATGTAATGTGTCCGTTGTGCAGTGTTAGCGTTTTGTTATTTTCGTTGTCAGGTGAAGATCAGTAGATTTGCATCTCGTGTGTGTGTGTATGTGTCGTGTGTGTGTCTGTGTGTGTGTGTGTGTCTGTGTGTGTGTGTGTGTGTGTGTGTGTGTGTGTGTGTGTGTGTGTGTGTGTGTGTGTGTGTGTGTGTGTGTGTCTGTGTGTGTCTGTGCATGTGTGTATAGAGTCCAATGTACAATGTAAACCAATTTGTATTTTTTTATAGAACTTAATTTATTGTCGTCCACCTGTTTGTTTGATGATTACGACGATGGTGACGACCATTAGCGATTATCATCTTTAAGTGTCACCAAGTTTTGTAGGGAGTCATTGGTCTCTTAATTACTAAACTATTGTCATCGTTATTATTATCACACACGCACGCACACACGCACACACGCACGCACGCACGCACGCACACACACACAAGCTTATCACAGTAACGTTACGGTATCTTCTATTGACTCTATTTAGTTAGTTACTTCATTTTCGTAACAGTTTTTATAACGTTAAGATTCTGAATATTTTTTGTATATGATTTGGTACGCCTAATGGAGTTTCTTCATCACTTATCAATAATTTATTTTCTACTATTTGTTACTGCAATTTATTTTAATTTATTAAATTTTACTTTCAATTTTTAGTGTCGATTGCATAAATTTAACTCATTAATGACTTTGCGGTATTGGGTTATCTATCCAGTTATTGTAACGTTTTTATTCATATCATAAATTATTTACTCACATACGATGGCGCTGTAACACGCACAAGTGCACACTGCTTGCACACATGCACGAATTCACATATACACTCACTCACAGACACACAGACACACTCAGATACACATACACATACTCACACCTGCACCTGCACAACATTTCAACATATCATTGGGTTGAGGATATCCAACGTACCATAACACTTCATTCACCAAATCATTACGCACTGCACACTAGTAGTTATGAGGGCTTACTTAGATTCAACTTCCACATACTTTGGTGCTCAACAATCTTCAATGGTTGGTTACATGCTCACAGATTTACGACATGTTCAGTTAAAACTTAATTTTAATAACATTTGCACGTGAAAACAAGAAAACTTGATTATTTCTAATTCATATCCAAGTTAACATTTGTTCAAGTAACGATCCCTAGTTAAATTGAATCCGGATAGATTTTAAACCATGGATTTTTGCTTATTAATGTCTTGTGTTGTTGTACTGTTCTATTGTGTTGTGTTGTGTTGTATTGTGTTGTTGCATTGTGTTGTTCTGTCTCCGTGCTTGTGTTTGTGCCACTTGAAAATCTAGTTAGGGCTTCAGTAAGTATTTTGTATTATTTATACGATCAATTATTTATTTATTTATTAATTTATATAATTATTATTTATGTTAATTAATTTCTTATTTATTCATTACGAGAGTGATTATTAGTTCTTGTACGAACAATATTTATTGCGATTTATTTTCATCCACGATTCTAGGTCTTATTTATCATTCACTTATAGTTATTTATTTATTTATTAAGAGAAAATTTTACCAAATTTAAATTATTTAAAATTTTTAATTTGAATTGAGAGTGAATGAACAAATATATATATATATAATATATATATATATATATATATATATATATATATATATATATATATATATATATATATATATATATATATACATGCCATTTGAAATGAATACAGCAACTGTGATCAGCTTTAACGATAAGTAAATAATTACAATGCACCGATCCACTATCTGTATATTTTGGATGTACATTTTGCGAGAAAGGTCCTGTCCTATCTTATCAAAAAAGATTTTTTCAACAGAAATAGCTTCCTTTGTTAGGCCAGTAGATACGTATGTTGTTATGTTGTATACATACATACTAATACACTTAAATCATGTATATATACCTACCCCTATATTTATCGTGTATATACAACATACAATCATACTATGGTTTGTAACGTTGTTCATATATAATATATAGATATGTACATGTGTGTCTATATATATATATATATATATATATATATATATATATATATATATATATATATATATATTATATATATATATATGCCTAAATCTATAACTTTGCGATTGGCCATTCGCTAGTCAGTCTGTTATTTATCATTTATTTATCATATCCGCTATTTTCAACTGATTTCCCATCTATTTATGAATTGAATTTTCTTTCCGTTCACTGGTTTATCTAATTTATTTTTTTCGTTCGTTCATATTTGTTGAAAGCATGAAACCACGGGGTAATAATGTTACATAATGTTGCTTAATTTACATAGTTTTACAGATAATGTTTCGATATAGTAGGTAACATGTACAGTTATTCAATCTCATTGAGCAAGCAATCAACTTTTAAAGTTTCGACTTTCTCAAATTTTCACTTTTTGAGAATTTGATTTATGGAGTCCAATTTGGGTCTTACAAAAAAATTACTACCACGTAAAAACTTGTACAAATGGTACAATTGGTGGAAAGAATGTTCGAATGTTATTTCTTATATTATTCACCTAGTTGTCTTTATTTTAATTTTTATATAATACGATGGCCGTTGATCATTGTTATCATGTTCGATTTGAGTTTTCACATATTTCAGAAAAAGGTGACATTGAGTTTGATGAGCAGATTCATTTTTATTTTCCTTGACCCTATCATCACCACTCCAGCTAATTTTTTTAACTAATCATTATAACTTTTACCTGGCTGGATTATGCCGGCGATGTTTCATTAATTTTCCACCACAAACAATTTCTTTTCGGCTTATTGGATTTTTAGACCTATTTATTTTCTAATCATTTAATTCCCTGCATGTTAATGATATTACTAAAATAAAAAATTTATGAGCACCTCATCGCTACAAGATGATGTGTGACTTAACTAACAACAAACCGATTAGCATAAGGGACATTGTATGTTTGTATTAAACAAGGCATAATATGTTTAATTGGTTACTCTTCTTTGGTCAATCAAGTAATCTACTTAAATTTCAGTGATTTAAGAAGGGAAGGTATGTCTCATTATCAATTTTATTTTTTTATTAACTAACATTTAATTCTTAGATTAATTTATTAATTTTATGTTAATTTATTAGATCATTAATGCATTTGTTTATTTATTCATCCATTTGGGAACTAGTGTAGATGCCATGTAGTAGTAGTACATTGTTTGTGATTCATGTCTGTACATTCCATACGAGTCTGAGTGCATGTTCGTCGGATGAGTAAATCATTCGATTGTTTCTTAAATTACTGGATGAATGATTGATGAATGGAATATTCTTTAAAAAATTACATTACGAAGGTTTCTTTATCCAAATAACGAAAAAACATTGATTAAAAATTGAAATTATTAATTTTGTTATTATTATTGTTATTATTATTCATCGTTGCGGATTTTAATTCATTTCTTCATGTTGCCCTTCTTTCATTCTTAGCCAGTTAATTTTTTTGAAATTATGCCAGTTCAAGTATTCTTTTTATTTCGGTTTTTAAATAATTTTTTTTATTTTTGACAAAAAAATTTGTTGGGCATAGAGGCAACTTTGTAAGAGTTTAATATTTCATTTACAAAAGTTATATTCTTTAATAGACAACTATCTAATAATGTACAATATTATGCTTTTAAAACTGGGTTAAACCGTAGTTCATGGTACTTCCATGTTTCAAATATAAACGCTTTAAATAAATATATATGTATGTATAAATAATAGTGAAATAATGTGTTGCGTGTACGTGCGTTGCCTGTGTATGTCCATCCAACTTTACAACCTGTAGCGTATATCTCCAATTAAACAGGCAGTACAATACTGGTTCATTTGTGTTTTACCTGTTTTTGTCAGTATTTATTCAACTAATTTTCAGAACTTTTTCATCCGCCTTTCTCTACCATCCTTGTTTTTCACATTAAGTAGTTTTTATCTTTTAATTACTCCATCATCCGACCGATCTATAAATGCCCCTTTAATTTTCGCGGTATCGTCTATCTTAATTTGTAAGCGTTTGAAGGTTGTGTTCATGTCTCTTATCAATCGACCTAGCGAGGTTTTTCTGTCCAGACTCCAAACCATCCATCCTTCAATTGCACATTATAGTTCATTCAAACTACTTAGTCTTTACTACATCTTTCTTCTTTCTGTAAATTTACATAAGGCGTTTGTGCGTACGATTTCTATGCATGTCAGTCAAGTGCTCGTAATGCGACTTCAACAAAAAATCATTCAACGATTAAGGAGTTATTTTGAAGGCAAACGTTGAATATATTATAAAGATCGATACGCTTTGGCGTCGTTTACACGTTAATACGTCAACAATTTGTAGAAATTTCATTAAATTATTAACAATTTTTGAATTTGTTTTTTGCGTTTATGAAAAAATAGAACATTTTGGTTAACAGGCATGTTGTTTGTATTATTTTCAGCATTAACAATTTTTTATTTTTATTTGGTGTAAAAAATTTATTGATCCTTGTAACACGCTATATACAGTTTTCATACCTTTGTAAGTTTTTCGAGTTAATAGTTTGAATTAGGAAAGAACCTTCGTTTGTTTTTACATTCATTACGTTTATGCAAATAAATCTCGCAATGTTGTGGCGAGAATAAATTAGTTAATATTATTAGAACATTCCTTTATGAAATTCTTTTTGATGTCACCAAATTATTCGTTTTTATTAAAATTTTCAGTATTTCTCTCATTTTATTTTTCGATGATTCATTTCTTTATTTCAAATACAAGTTTACAACTTTCAAACCGCTGTAAACAGTTTATAGGTAATCATGTGAGAATGATGCGAGTTTACAATCAAGAAGTGAACATGGTTTCGATATTTTATTACAGATTGTACACCAACAGCTCATGTCACACAAAGAAACCTACCAACATATAATATAATTCATTGATTAATGTTATGTAATCAACAATATTTTATTGTTTAAATTAAAAATGGTTGGGTTGTTAGTTTTAAAAATACCTATAGACAATTAAAAATACAAAAAATAAGCAAAATTAAATCTACACGCAACCTGATTCAAATTCGTAACATCGTGATGTTCGTGATTGTTCAATAACAAAACTATCGACTGAGTAAACAAGTTTAGGCCGTCAAACATGAGCTGCATACAGTCAAACATAACTTGAACTATCATTATACAACAGAACGGAGTTAAAGTAAAATTGCAACAGGACGAATGAATCCTCACTCATCAATCATTTTTTCTTATCCCTGTGAGTTCTTTAGGAAGGGGTTGCCACCCTGGGCATGGAACCTGTCCAGGCAACTCGCAAATGCAGTGCCTGTCACTTTCTTCTCCGAAACATGCAACTCTCCTGTTTCTCTCTATCTCTTTCTCTATCTCTTCCGATGCTATATCTTTTCTGTATGGTGTGGCGAGACATTCATTTTAATAAAATGAATTTTTGTAGAAATTTAATAAGTGAGCAAAAGTTCAACTTTAAAAAGTAGTTTCATTTATAGAAATCAACTAAAGCAGTTAAAACACATAAACACAAGAGACACTCAATATATATCTATATATATATATATATATATATATATATATATATATATATATATATATATATATATATAAACACATGTTTGAAGGATGGCCTTAAAATCATTGATTGCTGACCAGAAACAGGAAATAGCTTTTCGTAGATTTGAATGAGAATGTAGAAATGCGTGCAAACGTTTGAACAAGTAAATATGATGATGGTAGTAATATAATATAATTTAAATTTGTCACACACTTACTGTTTCATGCCAAGAACTCTTTTAACGTGATTATATATATCTTCCCTCGATCTGCCATCACAATCGATCAGCAATGAACTGTCATTTTCTTCAAATTTATTATAACGAACATTTTACTGTTATTCAATTATAAGTTTATAATAATTTAGCGGGGACAACAATCAATCTTCGTTTAGCGTCCAGAGACCCAGCGGGGACAACACAACAATTAATATATTTAACAGATGAGGTTTTTATAACAGTAACCAATCACTGGATGACCTGGCTTATTTCTCCATACTCCACAACAGTCTACAAGTTAAAATTGTCTATTGTCACATTTTGAAATTTTATCAAACAAAATATGTTACCAGAATTATTGTCTGTATTTGATCTTGGCATTTTCTGTCTTAAATAACGTTGTCATAGCATGTAGATGAACATAGTGACACCAATAGACTCAGTTAACCATTATTCAAAAGTTAATTTTTAAAACTTCAACAGGTTATAGACAACAGATAAAAAAAAAGCTGAACAAACAAACAAACGCCGTCTAACCATAATATGTCTTGATCCATGGAAGAGGTGTTATTTTATTGAGAGTGATCATCTGGACATCAGGGTTTTTGAATTGTAATTGAGGTAAGTGCCAGTATATGAAGTTACTAGGATTTCAAAGTAAAATAATTTTAGCAATTATTGGCAAACTTTAATAAATCGTTTATAAATAGGTATCGATAAATCATGCACAACAAAGCAACACATGAACATCACCAAGTTCACTGAGATGAGAAGGTTACATTTAATAATATATTTGAAAAATCAGAAAAAAAGAATGTATGTATTTTGATTAAATTCAAAATTTGTCAAGCTAAAATATGACGAGCTAGAATATACAACAGTAGGTCTACGCATCTACGAGCAGCTGTACCATTTAAATGTGGTACTTTTATTTTTATCTAGTTATTAATATTATCTGGAAATCAATTTTTGCTAATCCTAAGTGATATCTTTTGATAGAGTTAAATGGCGTGAATACTATTTTCTCAAAGAATTATTACAGTTTATAATATAACCCCAACAAAAATGAAAAAAAAATTGCTAAAAAAACTGGAATATTTCATCTATTGCCAGGGTTGTTAATAGCGGAGTAGCGGTGGCGGCGATAGCTGTAGCGCCGCTACTTTTTCAGTATTGATAGCTGTAACGCCGCTACATTCACTGAGCGGTAGCGATGTTGGAACGGCATTTCTTCTAAAGCTAAAATAAAACCGTTATTATTAGCATATTATTAGCATGAAAGTCCTTCTTTTTATTAGAAGAATTTCAGGATGTTAAAGAGGGCGCTAGTTGGTAGAATAAGTACCGTGCACTCACCGACAACCAGTAGTACAGCATACTAAGAGAGGTGCAGGACAGGCCTTATTCATTCAAATATAGTCACCAGCTTAGAACATTAACTTGCCACTGCATGCATAACAAAATCGAAGTTAAGTAATGTCATTTATATTATCCGCTAGTTTCGATTTATCGCAAGTACGAGCGGCTATATTTTGAAGGAATGTTCCAGAACAGCGAATGCCATTGCCGTCATAAACATTTTGAAGAAAATCTTTTGTGATTAAAATGAAATGCCGTCACAACTTTCATTTGCGCTGCATCAAGGACTGGTTTGGCGATGATTCATCCAGTCTAGCTTGTGGGAAAATGGCATCAATTAACATTGATGAATCTCATGAATTTAACATCGAACAAAGAGGAGGCACGAAATATGTCAAGGTTAAAATGTACATCACTTAATTTTTCACTTTTGATGAAGAGACTAAATTATAAAATGTATAAAATGTTTAACAAACTAATTTTTTAGATTTTTATTTATTATCACGCTAACATAAAAAATGTTTACAAAACTGCATGAAGCATTGCATTTTCCTGTTATTTAGTTTTGTGATATTATAATGACAATACCGTTACATTGTTATCATTTATTATCATCATTATCACTACTATCAATATATGGAAGTGACGGAAGTAACCTGAACATACATAATGCTTACACCCCGTTAAATCAACAGCTTTGATAATAAAGATGTTTTTAAGTTGAAATTATATAAACAGCATTAAAATAAAATGCTTGTACTGTACATTGCGTATTTAACGATTGTCAAATATTCAAGTGATCATATTTCATAGATAAATGGCCTAAGGGTAGTCTATGAATAGGAACCCAGAGACTATTTGTTGCTGCCCAGAGTTGATGACCTTTTTCTGGCTTATCACAAGCAGTACAATTCCTAAATCGTCCGCAATTTACTCTGCATTAATTTACCCCCAGATCTTTGTGGCCCCAATCTTTGTCGTCTATAGAGATATGTTTTTTTCATAGCTCCACTGTTTGCACATAACAGTTGTCTTCTTTGCTAGCGCACATGGTCACATGTTGAGTTGCATAGATAACTGACATTTTGATTAAATTTATTTTTCTTAAATTTTTGCACGTACATGTTGTTTTTCCCAAACGCTTATTCCCATTCCAGAAAATTAGGCATTACCAATTCCCCTTCCCATGCTTATCTCTAATTTGAACAAATAAGCTTGAATGTTGAAAACTGTTTCTTCTTTATGTACAAAACATAAAAATTTCAACTTAGAATATCAAAATCATATAAGTAATAATATTTTTGGTTGTGAAATTAGAAATATTTTAGACGATCAATTTCATCTTTAATGCGCTAATGATAAAATAGAAGAAAGATTCCAATCTAAATGGATTCAAAGAAAAAAATTTCTACAACACTTTTCATATAATAGCTTGACAAAAAGTAGCAACATAGGTTTCATCCTTACTTTCTCATTTAAGTAACAATAGCGGTATACTACATTTCCCTTGCAGTAGCAGTCAAAAAATCAATGAATAAGAAAACTGGTTGGTAAAAATATTTAAAAAAAACGAACTATAAGCCAGTGTGTCTCGGTGGAGATGACTTGGTCTTCTGGTCATAGTTGAATGCAAACATGATAATTTTTATGTGTGGTTCCAGGAAGATTTCTCCCTTTCTCAAATACTCAATTGTTCGAGCAACAGCACCTCGACTATGCATAAAAGGCATTTTGCAAGGTTTGTTGATCTGTAACAATAATTTGTTTTTTTTAATATCAAAGTAATAAGCAGTACTTCAAATTTCTTAAAAATATCTTTTTTTAAACAAAACAAAAGACTGGAACAGTTTATGTTTAATTTACATATAATTTTTGTGTTTTTTTTTTGTATGGACTTGAACAAATCAATTAAAATTTCTAAAACAGATAAAAAATTGGTAAACTAAAATTAGGTAAGGTAGTTTTACTGTGTAGGACAAAAAATTAAATGCAAAATATTTGTAGACTTTGTTTTCTCTCTACTAAGTTAAAAAAAGAGAAACACAGAAACACTGTAATGTTCAACTTTTTTAAGAAAATAAATAAATTATATTAAATTATTACTTATTTTATTTTTATTATAATTACTATTATATTTTATAATATTTTGTAAAAATCAATTCAATGTGTGGGCAACCTCTATATCTATATTGTCTAAATTTTGTTAAGACAAAATGAAACTGTGAATTTTAAAAATTAATTAATTAATTAATAATCTGTTTGTTTATACTTTATATTATAATTTTATATAAACTTTAGTTTATATTTATATGTGTAGTACATGTTGTACAGTACATTTAAGCCAGAAGACACCAAGCGGGAAAAGTTATTTATTTATTTTGATTTAATTTATTTTATAATAAAAAATTTATTTTTATATAGAAGGTTAAGGTACTGGTAAACGTAAAAGTAAAATGTAAAAGGTAAATTAACTTGTAAAAATTTATAATTTTTATATAACAAATGAAAATAACAACTTAAAAACAGGAAACCTATTTAAAGTCACTGTTAGAAAGAATTGGTCAGCAAACAATCACAATCATCATCACAATTAATTAATCATTATTGTTGACCGGACGAGCAACAGAGATCCGATTGGAGATACACAAACGACGATAATAGATGACTTAAATTAACTTTTAAAACAAAGTATAAAAAAATAGTCACAAATTTCGAAGAATACCAGATAATATGCTTAACAACAAAATTAATAATAACATCAACTATAATAAAATTAATAATAAATAGATAAATAATAAAAACATAAAAACATTAACTATAATAATAATAACAAAGTTTAAAGTGGTCCAGTAAAGTAGCATCAGTGTAAGAACCACTACAAAACAAATGTTTTAGTATCCTAACTCTCCTAGCTTGATTTTAAAATTGTTGATTGAATCAACAGAGAAAATTTCATCGCTCAGCTCGTTCCTGATAATAATAATGAGTATATTGCTAAGAAAACCTAATATATAGTGTTGCAAAACAATTTATAATAAAAAATATATCGTGAAGAAAAAAAGTTCAAAAGAAACAAAAAATAAGACGACACTTGATAGAACAGTATATATATATATACTTGTTATATATACTTGTTATATATATATATATAAATGTATGTATATTTTTTTTATATTAAATGATAATGACGCATTGATAAGGACAAAATATGATATGAAAACATCAAGGTCATTTACGGGTAAAATACCATAGTATCACCTAATTCTAAATGTTTGGCAATTTTATTTTAGCGTAGAAATTGAACCATAAACAGGAACGTTGACCGCGCTTTATATATTTATAAATAATAATAAAGAAAAATGTATATTATATAATTATATCAGGTCATAATTTTATATAATTATATCGTTATAATTGTATCAGATTAAATATCAACAGAGGCATCCCTCATTTGAAAATACTGTTGAGTTGGTTAACTTTTAAAAGATAAACAGTAAGAAATCATGAGTGAAGAAGTGTTCTCGTCTCGTGTTGTTGTCCTCTTCGCGTTCTTTCCATCCTTCAGTTCTGGAGTTCATATTTTCAAATGTTTTCTTCGAGCACGTTAATTCTTTCTGCAGCGGACTGTTTGTGAAAGCATTGTAGTTAAAAACGTTGTAAATATTTTTCACTGTTTGTGTTTGCTTATTGCAGTCTGCACACCTCTTGCTCTTGCACAAGTGTCTCATGGTTTCTTATTGATATTTATATCTTCTTTTTGTATTGTTTCCCGCGTTATAATAGTCATTTACGAAAAGACAATTGTGCGTATGGTCTGCTATGTCAACGTTTTTCAGTTTTCTTTGTTCAAAGTTAAAATTTTGATGTGAGAAGAAAACTTTATTTTCATGGCATCTTTCTACATTTAAATTCCAATCAAACAGTTCTCTTCCTAACATATTTTGGTGCTGAAAATATAATTAGTATGGAGTTCATCAATGTCACAGTTCCTCAAGATCAAATATGGATGATTGTGGTTGGCTTTTTCATAGCATTTTTGTTGGCATTTGGTATCGGTGCCAATGATGTTGCAAATTCGTTTGGTACCTCCGTCGGCTCAAAGGTGTTAACACTCAGACAGGCATTCATACTGGCTAGTATATTTGAAACACTTGGTGCTGTCCTGCTAGGTTAGTTAACTTCAAATATTTTTAATTAATAAAAATTATTATATATATGTTATAATTATTTAATAGTTTTATTTACTATATTTTTTATTTTCAGTAATTTGTCTTGTAGTACAATGTGTAATTATGTTTAGTCTTGCTCTTTCTTAATAGTGTAAAAAAACTTAGTGAATCAATTTTGAAAAAAATTAAGCTTCAATAAATATTTATTTCATTCTAAGCTTCTTTTCATATATTTATAATAATGACAATTCATAAGCATGTTATAAGTTACATATATTAATAATTAATACAAAAATTGTATGAAATATTTTAACAAATGGTTAATAATTTAACGACAACACTTTTTTTCTATAAAAGGTGCAAAAGTTTCTGACACCATTAGAAAAGGAATAATAGATTTGACCCCCTACCAGAATAACACAAAACTTCTCATGTTAGGAAATGTGGCTTCACTATCTGGTCTGTTTCTTATATAATAATTTATAAATCAGTTTATTTATTTATTGTGCTTACTAAATTGTTTATTCTTCTATTTGTTTATTTATTTGTTTGACTTATTCATTTGTCTGTTTCTTATATATTAATTTATAAATCAGTTTATTTATTTATTGTGCTTATTAAATTGTTTATTCTTCTATTTGTTTATTTATTTGTTTACTTATTCATTTGTTTGACTATTTATTTATTTTGAATATAATTTTAAGATTTCTGAATTGATGTGCTTGATAGTGTTTTGTATTTCATAACAGTATAACTATAATATAATTAGTTTATTATTTCTCATAATTTTCTCTATAAATCAAAACATCTGTATTTTTCTTAATTTATAATAGGTTTTTGTAGTTTGAATTTATACAGTATTTAATTATTTATGTATGAATTTTTTTTTTTATTTCAATGAGACTTGAATTTTCAACATTGTTATTATTATTATTATTAAAACTTATTGTATAAAATTATATTAAGATTTTCTGTTCCATAAGCATGCATATATATTAATTAAATCAACTAAATCTATTTCTTAGTTTTCACTATTGAGGTTGGGAAAATAATAATTAAAACAAATAAAGATATCATAACAATATAATGCCATAATGGTATTCGTAATAATTGTAATAATTATTTTAATATTGCTAACTGGCAATGTTATCATTAATAATTTTCATGATAACAATAGCAGTAGTAATTTAATTGCAAAGAGAGTTGCATGGGCATATATTTATTAAGTAAGTACATACATATAAATGTTATTTGGCGTGATGGCTCAATGGTTAAGGGCGCCTGGTCTTGCTGCTGCAGTGATTGGGTTCGAATACAAAAAGATCTCCACCTATCATTTGCAATGTGTATGATGCGTGGTGGATGTGTGTGTTTGCCGTTGAAACCTCTGATGCAATCGCAAAAGAGAGAGAGTAACCTTTAACCTTTATTTCTAACATGTTTGCAATATTTTAATATTTTTACTTTTCATATAAAAATCTTTCAAAGGTATCATCAGCAAACGCACAGTGCATGAATCAATGCATCACACACATAGGCTGGGATCTTCTCGCATTCGAACCCATTTACTGCATGAGAGGTGCCCGGCATATGTTTTTATTTTTTCAACAATATTTTTTTATTCATAATTTTTTTTAAACAAGTTCATTTCATGAAGCGTAAAAACGAAAGATGAATAATAATAGTAGCTCATGGTCATTGTTATTCTAAGTTTATATTAAATTTGTAATTTCTGGTTTAAATGGCATTTTTATGTCTAATTCAATTGAGTAGGTCTTTTTATTATTTTGAGTTTTATAGGGATAAGTTTTTAATTTGTTTATATTTATCTTTACTCACATTAAATGTATCATTAATAATTTGATGTTTTTATAGACTTTTTTTATTCAAATATGATTTTATTTTTTCAATTTATTTATATTGTCCATATTAATGTAAGTTATTCGATTAATTTTTCCACATTTAATCATCATCATAACAATTTCCATCTGCTACTATATTACTATTTTTTTTGTTTTCCTCGATTTAAGTTTAGTTATGTGACAAATAAAACAAAACTGAAGATACGAAACAGCCTTCACATTTATGGGTTTTTAATGGTTACACACTGTTTGGAAAAAATGTCTTTTTTTGTGGGTGTAATTTAATTTCATCATTTATACATAAATTAAATAAATTCACATTTTTCAATTGACATGAATGTTATTGTACATATTGACCCTGCAGTTCATGTTAGCTATGTTTTTATTACAAGGTGTGTATTTGCTTGTCTTATGTATTTCAACTTTTTCATTTTGTACCATTAATAAAAAATATTTGTTATTCAATGTGTTTTTACATGAAATCTATTTTTAGCATTGTTAGTAAAATCATGAGTGAACTTGACTGTAAAATGTTGAAATTTCAATATTAGATTAACAATAGATTATTGCCTGTGTGAACATGCTTGTGTTTAATGATTTGAATTCTTAATAATTAACTTGTTCAATGTTATATCTAATCTTTTACAATGACAAATGAATCACTCGTAAAAGTTCATTTTTTTAATTTTTGTGTACATTTTTTAAATTTATAGTTTGGGGAATGAGAAATTGGGAAATCTGTACTTTCACCATAGTTATGTGGTGAAAGTACAGATGAAGTTTGAGTGCACTTCAAGCGGGAAACAGGCTCTTATAATTTCAAGATATCACTCAGTCCATTAATTTTGTATATCCATATCCACTGGAAACGTTTTCGTTTCTTGCCGTTATGGAATATTAATATTTCCGCCATGATTTGCTTAAGAATTTCCATGAGCATCGTGTTTTTTGAACTGTCCAATGAACGAGTTTGGATGTTGTTCATGCAGGTTCATGCGTGTGGTTGATAGCAGCAACGTTGCTGAGGTTGCCAGTGTCAGCTACACACAGCATCGTCGGCTCAACCGTTGGATTTGCATTAGTAATTCATGGTTCTAATGGCATTCACTGGGTCAAACTTGCCACAATCAGTATGTTCTTATTCCTTCATTATCATTTTTTGTCTGTGTGCTGATGCAGAATTTCAGCTAATAAATGCACATAATTGATCATTATAAAGAGTTTTAAATAGTGGCAACCCTTTATCAATGAATTTAAAATTATCTTCTAATAAAACCTTCTGATAAATTTTTTAAACAGTTACATCCTGGTTCATCTCACCAATCCTTGCCGGTATTGTAAGCATCATGTTGTTTTGGACTTGCAAGAAATTCATCCTCAGTAAGGTACTGAACAATTTTATTTTCAAGTTTCTGAGATGTAACAGGTAAGAATGATAATTGTGATATTGCACTAAAATTTGCTCACCATGAATTCATTTTGAAAAACTTCTGACGAGCTCACTGCGTTGAATAAATGTTCACATCACTATTAACTGACTTGAAGTTATTTAAACTCTTACATTTGCATCAACACTTGGAATAATTTATGCTTATTAAGCTATGATTCATTAAAAAGCTGAAGGGCTATAATAATAATAATAATGTTATTCATCTTGTCCTCTTTGTGTCGTTCACCTTTTTTAATTTTTTTTTTATAAGATTTTAGTTTGCATCATGAAGTTGTAGTGAAGTTGTTATGTGCTCCGAAGAGAGAGAAAGTACCAATAAACTGCTGCCTTATTGTTGAATTGAACACTCGTTTTTATGGGACAAATGTTAAAGTAAGAAAAGTGGAGAGAATGTCGACCAACAATGCTTGTGTAGAAATAAGATTAGGCTTGGGGTGAAAAGATTTAGGAAGACATTGAAACTTTTTGCAAATGATGTTGGCTGTAGTGCATAAAAACATTGCTGTGGAAATAAAAGACACTGTAAAGAGTCCGATGAAAACTAACAAAAATGGTTCACGGTATAGATGAATCTTTGAAATTGGATGATTTAGAATAACTAAGGCAATTAATAGTTTGTTCTTCAATATTTGATCATATCACAGCCGCGAACAAAAAATTTAGTGTTATCATCTATACTTTTTTTCTATTACAAACAACACAGATCTGATTTGAAAATTTAACTAGCTTTCAATTTAAATTTTTGGTAATGGTTCCATGAGAATAATTTATCATAACTGAAACCATTATAATAATTTTATAATATTAAATGCTGCAGATTTATCTTTTTGGTATTATTATCCTTGACTTCCAAACGAGAGTAAAATTATACTGACGATACATATCGATAATATGCACAAATTTTTGTTTTTATAATTTTAAAATATTTTCATCATAAAAATAATATTCATTTGAATTTATTTTCCAACGGTGACAGCATCAACCATTGGAGCCTGGCTTGAGATTCCTACCAATCTTCTATGCCATGACTATAGTCGTCAACATATTTTCCGTATTTTATGAGGGACCAGAAAGTTTGTAATCTTCTATCACATAGTACAATTAGACCCGGTTTAAATGAAAATAATAAATAAATGCAACATAAATTTCAACAATTTATCAATTGTTTGCTTGATATGTATTTTGTATGGTATATTAACAGTGAAGCCATTACAATAATTCACAGTGTTGAGGTTCAATTTGATTCCCTTATGGGGCACATTCATCATAAGCTTTGGGGCCGGCACGATCGGAGGTATCATTATCTACTTCTTCATTGTTCCATGGCAAAGGAAAAAAATACAAGGTGCACTTCAATGTTGGAATGTTTGATTGATTTTTTATGTCGTGCCGCTGAACGATAAAAAATTTACATTTTGTAAGTACAGTCGAACCCCAGTATAATGAATTTGATGGTTTCAAGAAAAAATTCGTTGTATACAATTTATTCAGGAAAAAATTCTATATCGCCTAAAAGGTAAAAAACAACATCCTTACCATTTATTTTGATAACAGAAAGTAATACGTGATATAATTAAAAAAAATTTTTAAATGAAATTTATTTTTGTTCCATGCAACAATGATTCTGATTCCATTGAAATTAATCGAAGTAGAGTTCACGAAAATTATTAGAACAAGAAAAACTAAATATGGGTCTAAGCTATTAAAGGAGTATATTATATTTCTTTAAACTTTTGTGAATTTTGTTCGTTTTAGAGAAGTTATTTTCGTTCTATAGAAACAGTTTTACATGTAAATTTCAAGGGACATTTAATAAATCGTAATATAAAGATTTTCATTGTATAGAATCTCGCTACAAGGAGGTCCGACTATATTTATAAGATTTGTTCTCATTTTTTATTAGAGGAAGTATCGAGAGTTTCAGTGGTGTCCACCTTGCTCAACATGAATGACTCAGAAGAAACTGGGGGATCCACCAACACAACCTCCATCAAAATGCCAAAAGAATCAATCAAAAAACACCACAAGTTCGATGAAAATACAGAACAGGTTAGCCAGTTAAATTTTCTTCAAGTGATTTTATTTTTATTTTCTTACTTTTGTTCATTCTTCTGATGCCATCTTTTTTAATACTCATTGTTATTATTGTAACGATAATCTCCTTTTATTTAATTGTCATAACATTTATTCTATTGAATTACTGTGTTCTCTTCCTAGTCTTTTGTTTTATCACCTGTTTACTTAGTTACATAAAAGTTTTGTCAGTCTTAAATTGCATTAATTGTATTTCAAATTAAAAAACAATGGGTTTATTTATTAATTTTGACTATTCAGAGTGATACTTCGTCGACGCCAACCCATTTGAGACAGGGCAGATCAACGGTGACCGACGCTCCAGAAGCTGCTAGGTTGTTCTCCTTTCTTCAGATTCTGACCGCTATATTTGGATCATTTGCTCATGGAGGCAATGATGTCAGGTACGCTACGTTTGACTCACATCAATCAATTTGAGTATCGTTACATTTTGACTCACATCAATCAATTTGAGTATCGTTACATGAAATTAAATAAGTTATGTAGTTTTTTAAATAACATATCTTCCAATATTTTCTATTGTTTTGTTACTTGTATCAAACTTGCTTGAACATTGTCGGGCGGTGTGATGTCCTTATACTTTAGTTACTGTTACGCAGTAACCGGGCTCAAATATGACAAAAGGATCTCCACCTATTACGTGCATTGCGTGTGTCATGCGTCGTATTCAGATACGTTGTTTGTGTGTTGTTGATTCCTCTGAACTTTGGAAGTGTAATAAACCTTTGTCCGTATAAACTTTTTATCATTAACTTTTTTTAACGCTTTGAGCCAACTATTCAAATATCTTACATGCAAGCTGTCATGTTCACCACAAAAATGATGTCAAAAAAGTCTAGCTAGACATGGTTTCAAACTGAAATATTTATTTTCAAAAATTATCTAAACCACTAACAATACTTGAATTGTTTTAATGTGTTTTTGCCTACAAGTTTATCTTTTTTTGTTTATCTGTGGTTTTTGATACGGCATTATTCAATGTGACCAAAATATTAAGGCATGTTAAGGTTAAGGCACGAACAATAGCTTAATCTTAAAGATTTAATCGTAATAGCGTGATTAAAATTTAGAAGCTAACACATAACTTTTAAATTTATAACATTTAAATTTGTTTTAAACATTTTTTTTTTTTGAAAAACAGTCGAAAAAATATTAAGCAGCATTTTCTCTTTTTGTAAAAACTTGCCACAACTTTTGCAGCAATATCATTATAATTGTATAAAAATTAAAATATTTGAATGTTTTCCAGAATGGACCCGCTTACTGTTTGATATTAAATTTATATTTTCTTAATTTAATAAAATGTTACTATTTTGTAAATTAAACACAGAAATAAGACTTATCAAATTTGAAATTTGTGTTTAGGCAATATTTTTTATACAAACCTTTCAAATATTATTATGGCTAAAACCGTTTTATTGAGACATGATTCTAAGTTTGACAAATTCAAATTAAGGTGGCTGAAAGCATAATTTTGAAATTAAAATTTTATGTAGCAATTCTATTGGCCCACTTGTTTCCCTCTGGTTGATTGGCACAACTGGATACATTTCACAAGAAACCTCCACTCCCATACTTATATTGCTGTACGGTGGCTTTGGTATTTCTGTTGGATTAGTAGTTCTAGGGAGAAAAGTCATTAAGACAATAGGAGAAGATCTTGCAAAAGTCACACCTTCCAGGTAATTTTAACTAACTTTATTTTTATTGTCACTAACTTATTTTAGTTCTTTATTAAAGTGATACAAGTTACTTAATTCATGTAATGATGTTGACAGTGGCTTCTGCATAGAAATTGGATCAGCATTGACAGTATTAGTAGCTTCAAACATAGGCTTGCCAATTAGCACGACACATTGCAAAGTTGGCTCCGTTGTTTTTGTTGGGAGGTATAGAGCTCGTGAGAATGTGGACTGGTCAATATTCAGAAATATTGTCTTGGCATGGCTAGTTACCCTGCCTATTTGTGGAGGAGTTAGTGCTGCTATCATGGCTGGATTGAGAATATTAGTTTAGCATTAGTGTAGATTTTGTACAACACAGTCTTAGTTTAGTATTTTGTTTCTATTTATTCATTTTCATATTACACTGTTTCATTTATTTGTATATGTGAAATATATTTTGTCTGTATAAATGCAGTTACCTTTAAAAACATGAGTTGTTTCTTGTTTTGCAGTGATCACTTGAAATTTCACTACAAATGTTGTGTATTCCATCAATGGTTTTCTCCTGATTAAAAAAAACAAACTAATGACATTATATTTTGAATTTAAACTTTGTAAAATTATGGTATTAAACTATTGTTTCGAATGCAACATTGTGAGGGAGGATAGTTCCAGTTGTAAATATACGATCGATATTTTTGAAATTCATATTTGCACAATCGATTGGTGGTTTTTAAATTAAGATGCAGGTCTCTCATGACTTCAGGGGATACCTTATGAGTGATCAGATATTTATTGTTACATCCTCTTGATTTGTATTCAGTATCAAATCGTGGATCATGTTTTCTTTTAATGTTCAAGGCACTTAGCCACACGCCCACAGAGACATCCTCATTATTGTACAACTGTAAATACATTTTGTTGGTACTAATAAATCTGACTAGATCATATGAAAGAATGTAGCCACCACCTCTTGCATAAGGGAGGTATTTATCACAGAGAAACCAATTATGTTCCATCCATTTACCTTTAGTTTTAACATTAGCTTTCCCATCAAAAAATCCCCAATACAGCTTTTTTTCATCTTCTGATTCCAGTTCTTTTAATAGGGCTTCAATAACTGTAAAGGTGTCATCATCGCATTTCAATAAAAATTTGAAGCTGTACAATTTAAAAAGTTGATCTAGAGATTTTAACAGCTTTTCTGAAAGATTATGGTAATCTTCTGAAACATTTAGGAACAATAGATCATTGTACTTATTCTTTTCTTTGAGTAATGCAGATGACAGCTCGTTTTCCTCCTGGTTATCAGAACGACCAATGGCAAACAAATGTTTTATTTTCGAGTTATCTTTATCTTTAAGCCATGTAGATCTTATCGAATTTCGACGATCCACGTTTTTTCTCGATGATAAAATTAATATAATTAATAAATAATCGTTTTCTGGTTGAGTGATCCCACCTGCGTTAAACTTTGCGCTGTGGTTGCCATCGTAAATAGCAGTGAAGTGATAGATAATAATGAAGATCCAGATCGAAACAAAAAATAACGTTATTACTTTAAATTTATAAAAAATCCGTAATATCATTTTAATTTAATTTCAAAACATGTAAATGATTTTAAATGTTTAAAAGCAAAACTTGAAATGGTGTGTAGATTAGGGACGCACCGGTTAAACATTTTTGTCGAATAATTGTCAAATAGCGGGAATGGACAAAAGTAAAGTGAAAAAAGTTCTTTAGTCACAGTCATGTAAAATAGTCAGACGACAAATGACTACAAGTTCCGCATGAAATTCTATTGATTCAACATCTTTGCACATACAAAGTTAAGACAACATTGCCTGACTACTGCTTAGATTTGTCAAATGAAGGAATAGAAAATCAAAATATTTTGATTTGCAATGGAAGTTTTACAAATATATAAACATTTAAACCCTCTATGTTATTCATTTTTTTTATTAATTCTTTGTAAAAATGCTTATTAAAATGTCAATATGTCAGCAGTATACGATGTTCGATTTAACAAAATGTAGCAAGCTTTGGAGAGAGCCCCTCTAGCCCCTGCTTCAAAGGTTTGCTCTAAAATTCCACTAAAGGCTCAGCATTAGATTCCAAAATAAACTTGTACGGGAGGAGGACATAAAAAAAGAAACGATTAGAAACAATCCTGAATTGAAACCAAACATCAATGTCCGATATGATGCTAAATTAACATCAACAAAACGGAGTGCATGGTTATCAGTAAAAGCAAAACCGCCACGATCTGCTCCATAATCATTAATGGTAAACAAGTGAACGGATTCAATTATCTCGGAAGTCTGATTACCTCAGGTTGTAAATGTGATATGGATATCCAAAGAAGGATAGCTATGGCGAAAGATGAATATTCTAAAATGAAAAACATCCTCGCCAACATTAAAATCAGAATATCGACAAAATTAAAACCATTAGGATGCTACATTTTTCATGTGCTAAATTATGGCTCTGAGTCCTGGGCAATTTCTAAAGAAATGGAAAAAAGAATAGCGCTGCTGAGATGTGTTTTGTTATGTGACGAACTAATAAGTGTTCAGTTTTTTATTTCAGATGAAATAAGTGACGTGGTAGTTGAAAAAGTAAAAAAAAATGACACTCCTCATTGTATTGAATTTTATTAAAAAATATTCTTTACAAGCGATATAAAACATTGATTGTTTTGCGCATTTTTTTTACAATATCTATAACTGCTGCAATGAAGAAACTTTGCTTTTTTAAACTGAAACTAATTAAAACATACTTGAGAAACACTATGTTGCAAGATTTGCTCGGCCTGTCGAAATAGCTAAGGCCTGCGCTGATCACGGGTTTGTCCCGGGCCACGTTTTCCAAGGTATGCAAATTTCAATACTTTCATAGCATATTTTTGTTTTTTCAAATCTCAATCGGAAAATATAAAGTAAAGCTAGATAACGCCAAGAACGGGACGCCGTTCATTTCTTGACCATATTTCTTATGCTGACAACCATCTTTTCGTCTGCAGTTCTTTAAAAATCTCTGATGTATTGCACTTTTCAATACATTAATTTAATTTTTGCGCATATCTATTATTTCCAACTTCCCATTTAACCGCCCAGGGGCAATTGAATTCATGACATAAAATTTTTTTAGCTATATATTTTTATTCTTGTGCATTATTTACAAACGAGTCCTCGCGAAATTGAATTTAGATGAAAAACGTTTGTTTTGGTCTTCGTTAGTGACTTATCGTTCGAATCTGCGTTAAAGTTTCGTCGGAATGCCACAACTTTTCATTCTGGTACGTCTGCTTCTGTTTCTTTGTGCAATTTCGTTTTTTGTATGATTTCTTGGATTGGACGCATCGTTTGTTTGTTAGCAAAAATATTTCCATTTAGTTTAGTAATATAGTTATTTTCTGTTCCATTTTTTTTTATAACTTGCAACCAAAAGATTTTCTGTTTAAACTTTAACTTTTTAATTAATTAACACAGCTGACCAGTTTTTTTAGTTTCAGTTTTGCTTTTGTTGCTATGATTGCTAGTCATTGATTATAAAATCATCTTTTTTACTTTTACTTTTAGAATAAAAAAGTCATTAATATTGCCCACAAAAAAGTAAACTGAAGACAAGAGAAGGGGAAAGCCATCCCTAATCTCTGGCTAGAGAAAAAGAGAGAGGTAGAAGAGAAAGCTATCACTGGCTATGATTTAATAAAAAAAACTAACTTAAAATTAGATTATTCAATACAGTTGTATTTAAATAAAAATAATATAAATAGTTTAACAACTGAATTATCTGGTACCCCTGGCCTTATCCTGATTGAAGTGATGTGGGGTTCTTCAGAGTCAGCTGTCCAGCGACCAAATGGCATTAATAATAGTGGTCAGGGTGGTGGGGGCAATCAATCCAACAAATATCAGGGCAAGAATGTTGTTTGTGTCGGTGAAGAACTAAAAATTGCTGTTAATTTAGCTCTTGAAAGATTTAGACTTTCTGAAGACATGCAAGGTTTGATTTTTTATGAATAACAATCACCTATTTCTATTATGATTTATTCTATGACTTATTATATTAATGTTAATATATTTTATTAAATTAATATCGTTCTATATAATTTTAATTTATTAACTAAGTTATTTAATTTTATAATTGTTCTTTCTTTATAATTACAGAATTTGATTTTCCTTCATCTTTGAAATCCAATGAGAGAGCCTATGTACATAATTTGTGTGTTAAATATGGTTTCAAATCAAGAAGCAAAGGGTATTTTTAAAGTTAAATTTTACAATTAATTTAAGTATAATTCAAATTTATTTTAAATTTGTTTTCAAATGTTTTTGTAATTTATTTTCATTAAATTCAATGATTCTACTTGAAAACATTGACTTAGTTAAGTATTTTGTTATTTTGTCAATGTTATATGGTAAAAGTTGACTTGAATCTTGACGCAGCAAAAAGTCAAATCGCATTCTGACCGTGATGAAGAAGGATTTGAATTCTCAGTCGTGCGTTCTCACAAATGTTGATCTTGTAAGGAACTCTCGTAATCAGATTCAAAATTTACTCCAAAAACATCCATTGACTGTTAAAGAAAGGCAGGAACTTCAACAAAGAAATGAGAGAAATCAAATGAATGAAAGTTTGTTCCTTAGTTTTTCTTGCAATTCCATCAAAATAGACAATTTTAATTGTAAAATATAGCTAAAGTTTAATATTTTAAAATTGAGAATTGAGGTTAAATAGATGATTTATTGTGGCAAGGTATGATGAAAGAGATAGCAAAGACGACAACAGGTAGATTGAACAATGGAATGCCTCAAGTACCACCACCCAAATCAACATCTCCAGAGTTTCTGGCTTTTCAAGATAGCCTGCCTGTCTCCAAGATGAAGGACGTTATTGTGAAGACCATCAATGAAAACAAAGTCATCCTAATCTCTGGCGAAACTGGTTCTGGCAAAACAACACAAGTTGGTTGGGCTCTCTGTTTTGAAAACTTCACCTTTTGATTATATTATTGGTTTGATAGTAGTAACTTACCTTTTGAAAATTTGTTGTCTTGTGATATGCCAACAGATTTTTTACTTGAAGAAGTTTAGTCAAAAAATTAGTGTTCTTTTTAGCATTGCTAAATATTTTTTAATTATTTTATTTCATGTTATAGTTAATCAGACTTACAAGCTTTTCAACAATTTAAATATGGTTGGACCTCCTTATAACAAACTTCTACACAACGAAAATCTTTGTACAACAATTTTTTCATGTCCCTTGGATTTTTACATATTTTTATGTGTAAAAATCCAAGGGATTTTATCCAATCTGTTTTTATTAAAGGAAAATAATTTCTCTATAACAAACAAAATTTATAAAAGTTAAAAGAAATATCCAGCCGACAAACATTCAATGAATTGATATGAGCAGTGTCATTGTACTTCTTTAATATCTTGGAACCATATTTGTGCTTTCTTGTTCTAGTAATTTTTGTGAACTCTACTTCAATTAATTTCAATGAAATCAGAACCATCGTTGCATGGAATAAAGAATGAATTTCATTTTTTAAATTTTATTTTTTATAATTATAGCATGTATTATTACTTTTCATTATCAAAATAAATGAATAGGAGGTTATTTTTCATAAATATACAGCATATGAACAACTCTCTAACTCTTGGCAATATAGAATTTTTTCCAAAACAAATTCTATATAACAAAATTTCTGTATGAAAAATTTTTTCCCTGCAACTATCAAATTCGTTATACAGAGGTCCAACTGTATTTTGTAAGTAAACAGTATATAAATGTTAATTTTTAAAAAATGTGATAAAATTACTCTTCAATTAATTGATCAATTGATTGGTTAATTTGGTTGGTTGGTTGATTGATTGATTGATCATTTGATCAATGCAGATTCCTCAACTGATACTGAATGATTGTCATGCGAACAACAAGGCATGTAGAATCTTCTGCACCCAGCCACGCAGATTATCAGCACTGACCATTGCAGAGCGTGTAGCAGCTGAAAGGGGTGAGAAAATTGGCCATACTGTTGGCTACCAGATCAGATTGGAGAGCAGGTTGTGTATTGTTTTGTATTGTATTATTGTATTGTATATTGCATTTTGTCATGTCGTATTGATTTATATTGTATGGTGATATATTGAATTGATCCAGGTTTTGTCTATGTAATAAATTAGCTTGTGTTAATGCCTAGGTACTCATCACATTGGCTTTCTGTTATCCTAATTTTTAAATTGTAGCAGATTGAGAAACCACTAACACTGAAACTACTAGTTTTTTTTTATTTTAATTTAGTAATTTTTCTATTCATCATAACTCACCGCATTTTATGATCGCCGTTTATGTACTCTGTGATGCACTCTTTCCATTCTAGAGTATCTCCAAAGACGATTCTAACTTTTTGTACGAACGGTGTTCTGTTGAGAACGTTGATGGCAGGTAGTCAGACCATATCAGACGTCACTCATATTCTCGTGGTTAGCTACTATGTTAATTTTTACCTTATTTTTTGGTTTATTTTTTTACATGGGATTATAACTACACTTCACTGATGTTTATCCTTTGTTTTGTTCAAATAATAACTGAACTGTGTGGTTTAGTTGGTTATATAACATTTACATACACTCCTCCCTTGCTATATGTCAATCTATTTTTAAATTGTGTAATTCCAGTCAATCTATTTTTAAGTTGTATAATCCTTTCATAATAAATTGAAGTTTAATCTTCAGATGAATCAAATAGCTCTGTGGTGAAGCAGTGATTTAGCATAATCATAACAAGACTCATAGATTTACACTTACTTACATAATTGATGTTCCATTATAACCATTTAAAAAAAAGGATGAAGTACACGAGCGAGATAGGTTCTGCGACTTTCTGCTGACCGTCTTGAAGGATTTGCTACCTCGCATGAAGCATTTGAAGCTAGTACTGATGAGTGCAAACATCAACACGCAGCTCTTCTCAACGTACTTCACTGGATGTCCCATCTTGCAATGTATCTCTCTAATTTGATTTCATTTCGTTTTTTTTGTTGTTGTTCTATACTTACTGGAAGTTCTTTATATTCTTATGAAATATTTGTAAATGACCTTTTTGGTTAATTCTTTCAACTTTCCAACCTCAACAGTAGCAGGTCGAATGTTTGATGTCCAGGAGCTCTTCCTCGAAGACATCCTCAAATGGTTGGTGAACTTTAACTGACATTTAAATATTCATTTATATATAAATATTCATTTTATTAATAACTAATCGATGCTTTTCTAATAAGTAATTAATATTAATTAATTCATTTTGTTATTTATTTCCTCCATGTGTTTGCACTGATTCAGGACAAATTATACAAACAAGGAGATGGAGAAGAGGCAGCAATCCTTTGTTAAATGTATGTGAGACAATAATGATAAATGAATGTGTGTGTGTGTGTGTGTGTGTGTGTTGTGTGTGTGTGTGTGTGTAACTCGTTGATGGGAAAATGTGTACATGTGTGTGTGTGTGTGTGTGTGTGTGTGTGTGTGTGTGTGTGTGTGTGTGCATGTGTGTGTGTATGCGTGAGTGTGTGTGATGTTGAGGATTGATGTATGCGTGTTTTTGAGATATATGTCGGTTGATAAACTCTTCGTCATATGCAAACGTGTGGTTGATAATGTAATAGTTGTTTATTTAAATAATTAAGTATTTGAGGAAAGATGGCTTGAATGCAAATTGTTCAATGAAGTTTGTTGTAAAGACAGTGTGTGTTCAATGAAAACTTGTTTTGTGTCATAAATAGGATATAACTCTTCACTTGAAACGTTGTTTGACGTTATTTTTTGTTTTTATGCTGAAATTATGAAAGTATTTATTTATTATACTTTTGAAGTTCTGATAAATTAATTTTATTTATTAATTATTATAATGTGTGACATTACCATATCAATTGATCTGTCGTGTTTTTTCATAAGCTGAAGTAACAAAGTGTAACTTGGACGAATGGTGTAGCAAGAAGTTTTCATGCAACAACAACAGCAGCAGCAGTAGTAGCAGCCACAACAACAACAACAACAATGACATCTACCCTTCTTTTGATTACCAGAATCCATACTTAAACAACAACAGCAATAATAATCTTAATAAAAATAATTCTTCTAACAACTTGTACACTGGTAATCAGATGTGCACTGATGGCATTGCAAAGCTTGAGGTATGGTTGTGATTTTTTGTGATTTTTTTATTTCATCATCACTTGACGATGTTACTAGTGTTGTAATCGTTTATTCATCATCGAGCTTGCTATCTTCACTATATCATCACTGTATCATCTTCATGTTTGTGTGAATTTTTCTAAATTTTTCACATTTACTGCATGATACTTCCTTTGAAAAGGGTCTTGTATGTTCATGTTTCTTTTTACAATGTATGCTCTTTTTTCCATTAATGTTTATCACCTTCTTTTTTTAAACTTGTATAATCCATCTTGCCCTATCTAATATCTAAGATGGCTAACAAAAAGTCACTCCTCATTCGAGTTAACTACTTTAAGATATATAATTTATAATAATAATAATAATAATTGAATATAATATTATTGATGATAATAATTAATTATAATAATAATAATAACAGTTGATAATTAACGGTTAATAATAATAATTGAATGTAATATAATTTTTAGTTATAATAATCGAAATGTAATTTGTGTAGGCAGGGACAGAAAGGGAGGAGCTGGAGCCGTGGCTGGTGAAAGAATGGGATGATCTGCTGGCTGAGATTTGGCTGAACGTCAAAGAAGAGATATTCTCACAAATATTTCATCTCATACTCAATGAAAATGTCAATGGTTGGTTGGTGGTGTCACTTTTGAAATTGGAAATAATTATTTTGAAGTAGCTACGACTGAATTAGGTTTAATTGTTTTTTGAAAATATTTTGCTAGGGCACCACCAATATCGCTGTTGGATATATTTAGATAAACTTTATATTTTGCATAATTTACTGTTGTAAATGATATTCTAGAAATTGTATTACTTTGAATTATCTCAATATTGCTCTCACTCGTATAGCTAATAGCTTGTATATTTTGACGTGTTCAATTTATGTTTATAGGTAACAGATTTTGTTGCAAATGTTACATTACAATCAAAACAAGTTTAAATATAAATTCATCTCATCAGTTTGAACAAAATGATTTTCGTTGCAAAAATGTGGCAACACTTCTCCTTTGTACACGTTCATTTCCATACACTCAATACAAAATTATTATTCAATTAAATTATACGCAATCAATACATAGTTTAAGTAGACCACTATTTCCCTGAAATTGACACTGCAGTTGACCACAGGCATTCCGAGATGAGTGTCACCCCGTTGATGGTGGCAGCAGGTCGAGGCTTCATCAGCGTGGTTGAGAAGTTGTTGAACATGGGGGCGAACGTGCACGTCAGGTCCAGCAATGACTGGAGGGCCATCGACTGGGCGCAGAAGTTTGACCAGGCTGAGGTCGTTGAACTCATTGAAGCTCACATGTTAGTTGTTGCCTGGTTTCATATTTGGTAATACGCTCTGTGTGGCATGTTTTGCATCAATTGCGAGTAACTTATGTTACAGAGAAATTATGTTGCAATGTTTGTAGATGAATTGAAATGCCTTTTGCTTTGTGTGAGTTGTAAGCAAATATACTTTCGAGTTTAGTAGATACTCCTGCTACTGTTATCAAATTGAGAATAATGATGAGATGATTGACACTATAAAATGGTACTATTATATTATTGCACTACCTATTAAAGTTAGAACATCATTATTGATATGATATCAGCGCTACTCTGGAGAACAGTGAGGATGACGATGCAAACCTTCTGAAATTTTCTGACAGTCTGACGAAGGAGGATAAGGAACTGCTCAGTTTGTATCACAGCAGCTTCGATGATGACAAGGTTGATGTCGACCTCATCATCTGCCTGCTACAAAAAATACATTCCTTGCAACAACCTGGTTTGTTGTTGTTATCATCGTCGTCGTTGTTTTTGTTACCATTTTTCTAGCTCACGTCAATAGTTCTTCATGACAGCAACTAGTTATTTTTTTTTATTCAGTTATCTATACTGTTGTTTGTGTAGTTGATAATTTTTTTTCTCATTTTCACTTAATTTGTACTTATCCTTTAAATCTATTTTGTTGCGGCACGTAAATGTCGTTGTTACAGCAATGATGATATTAAGGAAAGTGATTACTTAGTAATTATTGAGGAAGTAACTAATAGTGGAGTGAGTATGCGATGAATGAATATGAATATGAGCGTGTTTGAAAATGAATGATATAATAGATGAATGTATGAGAAATGGAAGCTGAATATAGTGAATATATGCTGAGTTCATATGTGCAGTGAGTGCATGTTCTGATGACTTTGATGAACTGCTCCGAGGATGACAATACATATATACATACACATACTAAAAAACATATGTACAAACAAACATACAAACATACATATGAACAAACATACAAATACAGATACACACACACACACACACAAACAAACCCGATATCGAGTATAAGATGGTCATTAAGCACAATTATGATGAATGAATAACCGCCTCTACATATTTGAACCATTTTGTTGATGGTTCTCCACAGAGTTATAAAAATAAAAATAATAATAATAATAATTATAATAATACAATTTATAAATTTTCCTTTCCATTCGTCCCTCCGACCATCTCTAAATTCAGGAGCCATCCTTGTCTTCCTGCCCGGTTACGATGAGATAATGACGTTGAGGGAGAGGATAGTTGAGAACAGATGCTTTGCAGAGAATGCTCGGTTTGCACATGTCTCATTTTTTGATCTCGGCTTTATTTGTTGTATTAACTGCCATTGGTTAAAATTTATGTAAATTATTCCAATGAAATAGTTCTTAAAGTTTAATATTGTTTCTTTATTGTTTTGGTATTTATAATTTAGCGTTGATATATTTAAATACAAACAGGTACATTCTGTACACCCTGCATTCACAAATGCAGTCGTCAGATCAGAAGAACATATTCAAGGTTCCTGAAAGTGGGACCAGGAAAATAGTGAGTTGCACTGTTGCATTTTTACGTACAGCTCTGTTTTTGTCTGTCTTGTTTCTGGATGGTTGACTTTAAATTTCAAGTGTACTTTTTTTTGTGATATTTAAGGTTGAGTTAATTGTTCTAAAATGTGAAGATGCGATTATTCATTCTTCATTAATGTGTTTAATGAATTGGAGCCGTCAAATCAGTTTATCTTTTTATTGGCTTTAATTTATATCGGGGCTTTTAAGTTAGAAATGTAATGCAATGTTACTACAATACAATAACTTAACGAATATAATGCGAGGGTAACGTAATGAATGTAATGAAATGATACCGTAATGATTGTGAATGATATAATGGTAAACTTGTTCAGTGAAAAGTACTTCATAAATTTGATTCCCTCTCAAGATCTTGTCGACAAACATTGCCGAGACGAGCATCACCATTAACGATGTCGTCTTTGTTATCGACTCTGGGAAAGTGAAGATGGTGAGCCCCGTGTAGCTTGTGTGTGTTGTGTTAGATGTTGGTGTGGTATGTAAGTTCACATTTATGTAATATGTTATGTTAATTTATGTTAATGGCCATTTCACAGACAAATCTTGATAGTCGATATATTTATATCTGTTTGCATCCCCCTAAGAAACCAAGTGTATTTCACCAAACATTTTCATAATTTTTTAAAATTTGAATGATTAATTTCTTTTGTTCCATGTGATTTGTAGTGTCCTGTTGTATGTACAATCAATAGTTACGAATTATGATTCTGTTGGGCTAGCTTCAATTACCATCAGTCAGACGACACGTCATTACAACCCTAGTGAAAATAATAATGTCCCTATGGTTTAACCTAATACCTGCCTTACTTAACAGAAGTCTTATGACGCTCTCACATCAGTTTCCATGCTTAAGACCCAGTGGATCTCGAAGAGCAGTGTCTCACAAAGAAGTGGAAGGTGAATGTTTGTTGTGGTGTGGTGGAATGTGGTGTGGTGTGGTGGAGTGTCTTATATGACAATTTTGGTAGTGATGAGGATTACGGTGATGGCGATGATGATGTTTGTGAGGATAAAGATGATGTTGATAATTGTTATCATGTAGTTATTATTTAAAAAGACAGCACTGACTGCTTTTTATTGATCATGATGATGCAAGTTGATGGGACATGGTTGGACTTTTGGTTCCAGTCGTCATCATCATCGACTTGTTTGCATTTATTGTCATGGTTTCCATAATTATTTCTTGATAATTGTCATCAACGCCGATGCCTATGAACTTGACGACGAACAGAGCAGGCAGGTGCAGACCAGGTGTGGCCTACCACCTATTCAGCAGTGTCAGGTACCAACACATGCAGGAGTACCCACTTCCTGAACTCGTCTGCTATCCACTCCAGGTTCACCATCATCATAATCATTCCTTCTTATCGTTGCCGTCATTATTTCTTTCATCATTACCATCAGGTTTCTATCGTCATTATCATCATCTTCATTCATCCATCATTGCATCCATTCATCAGCCATTATTCTTTTCACTTATATTTTGTCTTGTTCATAATTAAGTTTTTTCACAGTTAATGTTAAACTGGTTTTTTTTTATAGGTACTCTCATTTCAGATTCAAATCGTTCATCATTATAAGTGAACACTAGTACATTGAGCAAATCAGGCACCGCAATACTTCATGTAGTTAACATTGTTTCACGCAGGAATTATGCCTACACACGAAATTGTTGGCCTCACCCAACTGCAAAATAGCAGACTTTCTTTCCAAGGCTCCCGAACCTCCAGCATTCCTCATCACGAAGAATGCCGTTCACTTGCTCAAGGTTGGTATCATGTTGTCTTTATATATATATATATATATATATATATATATATATATATATATATATATATAACTTTGTACTGGTTTTTTATTATGCCAATTTTTGTTGTTGTCGCTGTGTTTAAAATGTTAAGGTGTGACAATAAATAGTTTAACATAAATGCTGAAACATCAGAATGTAATTTAGTAAATTTTGTTATTGAATCACTGTGTATACTAATGTAATTAGAAGTTTGGATATAATTAGTACTGTTTATATTCACATTTGGTTCAATACAAAATTGAGTATTTTTCAATGTACTTTTGTAAACGTTCAGCAAATAGATGCTCTGGACCCATTTGAAGACCTGACTGAACTGGGCCACCATCTAGCTGACCTGCCCATCGAACCGAAGTATGGAAAGATGATTCTCTACAGCGTCGTTCTCAAATGCCTTGATCCCATCCTCACCATTGCCTGCTCCCTCGCTTACAAGGATCCATGTTCGTCTTTTTCATTACCTCATTCTACTTTTAAACTTTTTCCAACCTTCAAACTCGTTTACGGCTCTAATTTAAAAATTTTTGAACATTGAAAATGAATAAACGCAGTAGATGCAAACCGCTATTGCTATTATTTTTATTATTATTATTTTATATTATTGTTTTTCTTTTTGTTATTATTATCATTATCCTCATTCTCACCACCATGCAGTTCTCCTGCCGTCACTGCCCCACCAGAAGAGGGCAGCTGCCATGTCGAGGAGGAGGTTTGCAGCAGGAACATGCAGTGACCACATGGCTCTGCTGAGGGCGTTTCAAGTTAGTTCATGATAATGATGATGACGACGATGATGGCGGTGGTGATGATGATGATGGTGAAGATGATGATGGTGGTGAGGATGATGATGGCGAGGCCAATTTATATTTCTACTACTTTATCGTTTCGTTACTTCAGAGTTGGCAGAAAGCTCGATCAGAGGGGTGGGAGAAATCGTTTTGTAACAAAAACTTCTTGTCCTCATCTACAATGGAGATGATTGTATCTATGAGGTTGTTGTGTGGTTGTTTGTGTTTTGTGTCTGTGAAGTTGTTTGAATGGTTATGTGGACTGTATGGAAGGAGGCATGCATCAGTTGGATTGGTTTGTGAAGATTTTCTGTTTTTTTTTATGCTGGAATGTTGCTCAGACTGTTGATTTGTAACTGTTTGCACTTTGTATGCGTCTGCATTTTTGAGATAACCTGGCTTGCCATTGAAGTTGTAGTGATGTCATTCACTGTAATGTTTCTAAAATGTTCTTTTTGAGCAGTTCATTGCATATTACTCTTTTTCATAACTTTCAATGATTGTTCTAGAGTCTTGCCAATAATGTTAATGAAATCACTAGAACGTAAATGTGAATTAGTGCTATTCGGTTTGGTTAATACTATGTATTAATTATAATGATAGAACTCAGCTGTTGGGTCAGTTGAGGGCAGCTGGTTTCGTGAGGGCTCGTGGCGGAGGGGACATCAGGGATCTCAACTCGAATTCTGAAAACTGGTCGGTGGTGAAGGCTGCCTTGTGTGCTGGCATGTACCCCAATCTCATCAAGGTCAACAAGGAGAGGTCACACCTCATCACCAAGTACGTAACCGACACTTCAGGTTTGGGCACTTCGAATTGATATATTGAATGTTTAGGGGCACAAAAAATTAGCATTAGACTTTATAGTAAAATTATGATGATGGTTATTATATTATGCAACTATTTATGAATAGCATTGAATAGTCACACAACAGGTTCATATAAATGAATATGTTTTAAAAAAAAAGTGTTGTATCTGCTAGTCTTAGACCAATTTCTTGCGTGCTAACCATTTCTTCATTTGACTGCTCATTAAATCAGCAGTTTGAAACTTATCGTTCCAATCTCATCTGAGCCAACTCGCCGACCAATGTTTGGATAACAGCTATATAAATAAATATAATGTTTTAAATATATTTTCTTCTGTTGCACGATTTCGCAGCAAGGAAAGCAAGATACGCTTCCACAGTTCCTCAGTCCTTGGACCGGCACCCAATGAAGTTGGTTCCAACATGCACAATGTTGCTGTTAGCCGTCTGCCCACTGATTGGCTGGCCTTTGAGGAGATGACTCGCATGCATCGTACTCTGCAGGTGCTTCATTTTATTCTTTCTCTCTCTCTCTCTCTCTGCTTACTTTCATGATTTTTTCTCTCTTTCTGTCCATGATTAATTCTTTTCCGTTCCCGCTAATTTTTGCAAATTTTTGTCTTTTTATTTCCTACTCTATGCTTTTTGGTTTTTATTTATTCAAAATAATAAATTTTATATTGATCTGAATGAGTTTTATGTGAATGAATGCACGGGCCTAAGTTTTGATGTTAAACATTTTACAATTTTTCAGCGTAAAACTTTAATTAATCGATTAGTGATGGCTTGAATGAATGAATGAATGAATGAATGAATGAATGAATGAATGAATGAATGAATGGATGGATGGATGGATGAATGAATGAATGAACCAACAACTGACTTAATCAGGTAAAATCATGCACTGCCATCTCTCCAATAACTGTAGCCCTATTTGCAGGGCCTGCCAAGTTGCCCTCATCGGTCATCATGGAGGCTGAGAATTCTGTTGGAGGTCAGTCAGTTTTTTGTCGCAACTGTTTGCTGCTACTGATGATGATAATAATTATAATTAGCGTTTTGATTATTTCAAGGCTGTCAAAATGATTAACTTTTCAAACATTTTAGTCCTGAAGATAGAAAGCAATCACAACTCCATGCAGCAGCAGCAACAACAGCCTCAACAAATACCAGCAGACTCATGGCATAGTGATAGCGAGCAAGAAGACATCAAAGATGACAACCAACCAAAAAGTTACCTGGCTCTCGATGATTGGATCAAGTTTTCATTTGAGCCTGGCAACTCCACGTTGATTGTTCAACTGCGCCTCAAGTGGCACTCCCTATTCATGCGTCGAATGAAGGCTCCCACCAAACTCTGGTCTCCCTTCGATGAGACGACAATAAAAACCATTGTGAATGTGCTGACCAATGAAGAACATGCACTGGGTCTGCAGCAACCTGCAGGCATTGGCCAACGACCGAGACCCATGTGCAGCGAGACGAGTGTCATGAGTGGGGGTTCCAAGGAGTTGTCCTCATCTTCATCCTCGTTGTCGTCATTACCGGGAGCTGCTGAGTTGAGCAACAATCAGGATGGTTCAAGTTCTGCTGCAAAGAATTGTTGGTACTTTTCAAATGTTTTACATTAAACAAATGAATATAATATAAAATGCGTTCACAAATCATTTGTTGTTTTATACATAAAATTTTCAGACAGCAATGATATAGAAGATAAGTTTATGCTCATGAAGCTGCAACAAAGCAACAGTAACGCTGCGACATCTTCAACAGCTTCTACTAACACCAACCAAAACAACAGTTTGATCGACAAGCAACAGTACAGTTCATTAACATTGAACACCTCTTCGGCCTCCAATACAAACAAGCCTTCATCGCCTCGGCACATTTTCTACTTCATAGTCAAAGCAGCCAACATGAGACTTCTGAACGTCTCGGAGAACAAGAAGATTTGGCCGACTTCGCAAAATTTTGAGACGATCTCCAAATTGCTGAAGGTATTTTTTTTATTCATTCAATTAATTATTTTTCAGTGGGAGACATATTTCACATCCGTATTCTTTTTTATAATGTAATCTATTTCAAGTATTTAAATGGGCAACATTTAGACTACATTTTTTAAAGTAAATTCAGGCATAGTTTTTATTGAATTGAAAATTGATATATATGTTGGATAGATAGATACACACACACACACACACACACGCATACGCGCACACACGCATCCACTCAGAAATTGTAATATGTTGTACGTGAGGCAGGATGGCAAGACCGTGTATTTCATATACACAGTGCATGGGTGCAACAATTTTCAGGGGTACGCTCGGGTCATCCAGTTTGTTGTCAACCACAACAACAGGGACCTCCCTAACTTCTATTACGTCATCAATTGGATTAAGAAGTATTGTCCTGTTTATTTTTATTTTTTTTTATTTATTCAACTACACTGCTCTGACAAACCAATCAATATCTTTTCACAAGTCTGTGTGTTTTTACTTGCAAGATTACTCAAACTCGTACTTGCACCATACTACATCAACGTCCTACCTCGGGAAACCGGGTCTCTGGACGCAAAACGAAGATTGATTGATTGATTGCATCGTACATCGAATGAAGTACTGAGTACTTATTCAATTTGACTGTCTTCTTGATGAAGCGCTTCTTTGAAATAGACAGTAAATTATGCAACTTGCAACTTTGTTTCATTATAAACAAGATTGTCCTAGACAGCACTGTTACTAGGAGAAACCAATTTGCTATCATTCTGTGTTCTAAATATATAGTATTTGTTTTATTGAGCAGTTCATGTTGAGTTAGTTTTAGGAGGTGACGTCATATATTTGTATCAGTTAAGTGAGCAAACGGATCTATTGATCGGCGTATATAGTGAGAAAACGATCAAATGATCAAAAAACAGGTTCAATGTACCATTCCACCACTGTCAATCCTTGCTTGCTACTATCTTTGACAAAAAGCCAATCAACTTCTATGACTGCCAAGTTAGTTTCATTATAATTGCTTATTTATTGTCTCCGAATGTTTTGTGTTTAAATGATTATTAATATTTTTATTAACCTAAATTGTAGGAGATTGATGCCAACATCGGTGAGCAGCTGATAAAGTTGTGGCACAAACAGCAGCCTGCCATCACATCGTCTTCCTCATCTTCATCCTCCTCATCATCCAACTTCCATCTGCCACAGAATCCTCTTTTCCTTGGACCGTTGAATCAAGATTCCATCTGGAGTTCTAACGGTAGGAAGGCTTCAACACAATCCAACCTTGAAAATAACAACAACAACAACAATGCTGCTAACAATAACAACAACACTAACGTGGCTGGCAGCAATCGTATTAACACTAGTGGCAATAACCTCACGTCAGCCGCCAACTCGGCTACCGGCAATAATGCCAGTGTGATAAACAATGGTAGTAGTATTCCTCTTATATTCAACCAGCAGTTTTATGGCTCCTTTCCAAACTATGAATCTCAAAACGTTCAGCCAAACTTGTACAATCAGTTTCAAAACAATTTCTCTAATTCATTCAACTTCACTTTTCAGGATAAAAACGATGACAAATGAGTCATTCAAAATTGACTGTTACAACAAATGACCGACCGTCTTATTAATTAACTTTTTCACGAGATTTTGATTACAATGTGCTTGTTACGACATAACAAGTTGTAGAGGACATCGTTAGCTAAAAAAGTATTTGTTTTATATAGCAGTTGCTTTCCATTCATTCAGTCTGCACCGCCCGTTTCATCGTTAAATAATCACATCACTGCATGGTATTGTTTAAAAAAATTATCGGCATCTTGTTTCAAATGTTACGTTTTAGGCAATCATTTTCATCTGTATTTTTCTGTTTTCATTTGTTAACAAATTTCTTGAATTTAACTATTTTCCGGTTTAATGCATATGCATGCGATTACATATCTGTTATTAATTATTTTTTCATCGTCGTTAGTATTTTTTTATTCTTTGTTACTCGTTGTCAATGAATTATATAACAAAATTTAATGTTTTCACTTCAATAAATTTTTATTCGTCACTTGAAGATGCATTAAATTCCAAAAAATTTGTGTGCTTGTTTATTATTATTTATTATAGTCTGTTAATTTCTTTCAACCAATTGATAGGTTGAATTAAGTTACAAACGTTTTTATTTTTGATCTAAATTATCTATTGATTACTTGCTGTAGCCATGTTAGCAGTTAATTAATTTAGTGGCATGCCGGATCTGCTCGTTTATATATACGTATTTCTTTGTTGGGCCTATGTGCCAGAACTGTTTTATATGTATATATATGGTTAGGAGTGGCCAAATAAAAGGAGGTTTATAGCCTTGTTCAAAAAAAACTCCATGTACAATATTTTAAAATGTAATTCAGTCGTCCCCAGCCTAATCTTGTAGCCAAGGTCCTTAATTTTATGATCAACAGAGGCATTCAATCGTCTAGATCACAAATGGTGGCAGTTGTGCTGACCCCGTTGAAAAAGCTTTGGTTATCACCAAACCTTGAAAGCAGTGTATACATTACATAGTGAGGCTTCAAGTCTGATATACAATGTTCATGGTGTATTATTTATAGTTTTAATCCCTGGTTCTATATATTTTTTAATTGAAAAGTCAGGAGATGAAAAATGTAGGAATTACTTGTGCATACCACATGAATTAACTGGATAATGTTCTGTGATAGCTTAGCAAAAGAGAGAAAAAAAATATTTATCACATAAAAACAGAAATTGATTAGGATTGATTATTGTAACTCGCTCTGCTATGGTCTTTTATATATATATATATATATATATATATATATATATATATATATATATATATAATAAAACACAACACCATCTTGCATCCCACCATATATATGGAAAATGTTCTATATACACCCCAGACACCACATAACTAGAATAAACTTAAAAAGAATTTAAACTCATGTTTGTCGTGGCTTGTAGATATACCCGGTCTCATTAATAAGTAAACACGATAGTGGTTGCTGACGACCAGACTATTTATTTTCAAATCAAAATACAGATCAGTATTATTAAGAAGAATGAACTGAACTGAATGTAATTATTATGGGTTATGTGGGACTCTATTTAATATCTTTGTACATAATTCGTCTGTCTTCTAAGTCTTCCAGCCACTGGAAATTAAATGACAAGAATGGCAAAGTTCAGCCAGTTCCCATGGTAGCTGGCCGTCAAAATGACTACATGCTTAAGAATGATTTCCACAAGTATTTTACGTTTGTTGACGACCCTTTAATGAATTTGATTAGCCGGCCGATCATTGTCGTTAATGGGGTTTGGACAATAAGTCCACTCTACAGTACTGAGAACAATCCCAATTCCAACAAAAAGGACGTGCATAACATCGTTGACGTCCACACTGCCCACCACCATGACAATCTCCACGCTGTACAACAAGCCAAAAAAATCAACAAAATCAAAACATCTAAGTAATTGTTTTATTTCATATATTATACAAATACATTATTATACAAAATATAAATTATATATTGTAAGAAAAGTTATTTTTTGTCAGTCTTTTTGTCATTGAGTGTGTGGTGTGTCTGTGTTTTGTAAATATATATTATAATTATATAATGTAATATAATGCTGCGATTGTTAATTATAATAATAATTATGTTGTATTATTAATTATCAAATGCATTACTAGTCTTTATTTTACATGCTTTAGTATTGTAGTATAGTGCAGTAGTGAGCTAGCAGCAAACTTAATAAAGCAACTTGATTAAATTGACTGCACAACACTGCTTGCTCAATAAAATTGACTATTCACTCAATAAAAATCAAAATGTAATAAGACCATTTGTATGAATTGTGAAATTTTAAGTAAATAATCAACTAAAAAGAAAAAAAATTATTTAAACGGCTGGGATTTATTAATTTAATTAATAAGAAATGTAAGTTCTTGAATTCTTTTTTGAAATTTGTAGGTAGTAGTAGTAGTAGTAGTAGTAGTAGTAGTTGCAGTAGCAGTAATGCTGTCCTAGAGGTTATCCAAAGTGCATCCATTTCTATATAATAAAAAAGAAAATGTGTCCTAATAATTTTTGCCATAACTTTTCTATATTTTACTATATATTAATAATGAGATTTTTTAAAACTGCTTTAAAATAAACATCTGTTTGTTGAGTTATGCTTTGTTTTCAAGTATTTCTATCTTCTTTTATTTGGTTTTATGTCTTAAATGCCTAATTCTTTTATAGTTACACTTTAATTTTTAAATTAACATTTACTGACAATGTATCAGAACCTTATCTCATTTATTTACACATCATGTTCACAAATTTTTATTTACATTTTTTAAAAATCTGGCAATGTTTGAATTCATCTAAAGTGCAATACAAAGAAATTGATGGGAATCGTTTGGTGGGCAAGCAGTGCTTGTTAAGTGATTCTGTCAATTATATTAGCACAACAGCTTTTGTGTTATTTCAATGTTATTTGCTCTCTGGGCTCACAATAAAGACCTAAAAATTTTAAAAGGTAGCATATAAGCCAAATTTTTTAATAAATATTACTTATTGATGTTTCATTTAATTATCAATATTTTCTTTCAGCTCATCAACTAGTATAAAAAAGCCAGCCAAAAAGTATGTGGACTGTGGCTCACTGACAAACTTCACATCGGTAGATCACCTAATGGGTGTCTCGGACAGATTCAAACACCCCCCACTGCCAGAACCTGAGGTTGCTTTCATATTTCAACCTAAAGGCAGTGTAGAAATTGATATGAAGAAGATTAACAAACAGCTGGAAAAGGCCAAAAAAGATGTTTGTTTGTTTAGTAATGTTTTTTTCTGGTATTATTTCAAATATATTTTCAATATATTCATATTATAATATATATATAATTTATTATTATTTCCAATATATACAAAAAAAGAACCATTTTTTCAATGTTTATTTTTGTTCATGTTCATTAATTGGTTATATTCAAATGTTCCTACCCTGTCAGAAATATACAAATTTATAATATAGAATATGAATAGAGTGATGAATGCCTAAATAGTTGATGATGTTGGTCATTATAACAATTATGTATTACTAGATACATCCTTGTTCAATGGGATGATCAATTATGGATCATAAATGACAAATCATTCTTATTTTGAGTTTGAAATTATTATTATTGAACTTCCATGGATACATTAGTCCACACTTTTTAAATCTAATTTGAATGAAACCATGTAAGGAAAAAATTTTGATTCTAAAAAGCAATTTACATTTTTTTTATTATAAATATTGTCTCAGGAGAGTATCGAATGGTAAACTAATGCACAAATAAATGCACATGCATGTTCATCAAAATGTTTGTTCAACTAGCATTAATACAAGAATGTTATACTTTTGCAGAATCCAAGCTCAGCCCAGATTTACAACCAAATCGCCAACTTTTGGAGGATCGAGGGTGATACGTACAAATCAATTGAATGTTTCCGCAGAGCACTCTTCTTGTCTCCAAACAATTCAGATGTTTTACTGAATCTTGCTAGAATATTGTTCAATTTAAAATATTACGACGATGCTTACGAATTAACGAGAAGGTCGTTAGAAGCCCAAACACCTGATCAAAATTCTTGGCTCCAACATTTTACATTAGCAGAGATATACAGAGTGAGAGGCTTGGTGAAGAATGCCATTCATCATTTTCACCACTCCTTGGATCTCCACCCTGGTTTCCAACCGGCACAGAAGCATTTGAAAGAGATGGAATCGTTAATGATTGAATCTCCAAGCAATGTTACGTTGTACACTGTCTGCATAATTTTCCTGCTTGTTCTCGGAGTTTTGTTCTGCATTGTGCTGTCTCTGGACACGTTCGATACTGCAATAGAGAATATAAAAACGCAGAGGCATTTCAACAGAGCAATGGCAATGAGATCGATAAAACTAGGCATCAACCCTAAGCTGATAAAAATGAGGAAACAGTGTAACTGCTATTAATTTTCGGATACTCTTGAGAACGTTCACTCTTTTTTTTTATTCAAGTTTTATTTGTTTTTATTATTTGTTAGTTTCAAATGTCCTTCGTTAATTTTTTGACCACGAATAAATTTTACATCATGAGACAATCGTTTTGTGTGATCTTTCTTAACGGTAAGTTATAACTCAGCTAGTTATTAACCATCTAATGAGCAACGCTGAATCGAGTTCGTCCTGAAGAATTTTTATACTGGAAACGACGAAAAGACAGCGACGTTTCTTAATTTGTTTTTAATATTCAATCTTTCATCGACAAATTGTCATGGGAAAAATAGTTTTAAATTGTTAACATTAATAATTGATCTTTGTGAGGGGTAAAAGGCTAAAATTTCATTCTTTTTTCAAAATTTAGTTCGTCTTTCATGTTTTTTTATGTCAACATTGCTTTCGTTTATTTTTTGCAGAACTTTAAAACTGAACTATAGCACTTGAACTTAAGTTTACAAAGAAGCGTTTTTTCCATTAATTTCCTTCAGCTAATAATCATCTGGCGTTGGAGGTTTTCTATATAAAAGATATTGAATCACTAAAGTCATTGCTGTTCATGGATATATATAATATCCATGTTGCCGTTATGGCTTTTGATAAAGTGCGTTATTTTGTCTTTTGGTAATTCTTTTTAGTCATGATTTGAATAGAGCAATCACCTAACAAGACTGATTGTACGAACAATATATTCGTTTATTTCAGAATAAATCAATCACTTAAATAACATAAATATTTGTTCATTTTATTGAGTTCTCTGCTCTTAACCAAGTTCTGCTTTTCCACAGTTCCATTCTTATACGTTCATAGCATGCTTTTGGGCAAATATTGGTTAAGTTTAGAATATTTTGCATTAGTCTTCCTTTTATAAGCCAATTCAAACCGTTATAATCCATTTTATTTATAAAATTAACTCGTATTATAAGCCTATTTCGATATAAAAGGTATTTAATCGTCATTTGTTTATTTATTCATTCAGTCAATCAGCCAGTCATTCGTTTGTTTGTTTGTTCAATCATTCATTCGTCTATCCGTTTTTCCTTTCTTCCTTTCATTCATTCATTTACTCAGTTACTCTATCGATGTTATTAATAACTTGGCCACAGAAAACTATATGGCCGCAACATTTTAGGACGTTTGTAAGTTGGTCGAAAGATTAAATTAATTTCTTAAAAGTAAATTATCATCTGTTAGTTCAGACAAGTCAGAGAAGATGAAAGAATATAATTCATTCATTAATTCTTTCCTCAACAAAATTTGCATTTATTTAACAAATTTTAAATTTCAAAATTATTTCCCACATTTTTTAAATTTAAAATGAATGAGTGAAGGAATGAAGGAATGAATGAAGAAATAAGTGAATAAAGAAATGAATGAATGGATAATAACACTTTGTAAAAATTATTAAAACATGCTAGAAATTTGCACGTGTTAAGTGCACAACTCTACACTTCATTAATTTTCACGGACATCCAATTTAAAATAAACACATTGAAGCAGCTGACAATTTTCTTGACATTAAAAGAGTGTACGAATAAATGAATGAATGAATGAGTGAATGAATGAATGAGTGAGTGAATGAATGAATGAATGAACGAACGAACGAATGAATGAATTAGTGAGTGGGTGAATGAATGAATGAATGAGTGAGTGAATGAATGAGTGAGTGAATGAATGAATGAATGAATGAATGAATGAATGAATGAATGAATGAATGAATGAATGAATGAATGAATGAATGAATGAATGAATGAATGAATGAATGAATGACACAAATTTTCTTAACGATGAACTATACATCCAGATGGAATGAAGATAGAAAAAATTTCTTACCATTAGTTAATACGGGTCAGTGAGCATGGAAGAAATTTAATTCATAAATGAATTCATTCGTTGATTCATTCACTCATTCATTTGTTCAGTCATTCGTCTATTTATTCTTCTAACAAATTATTAATTAATTATCGTTTAACCTTAAAACTCTCAACTATATCTGACAAACACGCACATGTCGACATGAAAATATTTTGACAAGCCAATGAAAATAGTTAATTAATGATACACAGATGTGTGTGCACTGCTCTGCCAGACCTTGAAATTCTTATAAATTAGCATCATTCAAACTGAAAATTCAAACTCAATTTCAAATTGAAAATTCAATTTTGAATTGAAAACTTTTTTCTAAATTTTGTAAATATGAACTCCAAGATCGTCTTGTTCGTAGCCCTTATGGTCTGCCTGACTTCTGCCCTTATATTCCCTCGGGATCAGGCAAAAAGAGAGGTTTGATTGAATTAATATAATTTTTTATTTAATTATTAAAATTAAATAAATAAATTAATTAATTGATTAATGTGTATCATTATGTATCACTAACATTATTTTTATTAGGATTTTCATGCTGAATTTTATTTTAGTTTCTAGCATTTTTTAATAATTTTTACATAGTGGTCCATTTGCTTCTTCATTCATTCATTCATTCATTCATTCATTCATTCATTCATTCATCCATTCATTCATTCATCCATTCATTCATTCATCCATTCATTCATTCATTCACTCAATCATTCATTTATTCATTCACTCACTCATGCCTTTATTTATTTATTCATTTATTCATCGATAGTATTACAATTTAAAAAAAAACAATTTTCGAAAGGTTAAGAGACACGAAGGAGAAGAAGCTGAAGATTTTTTTGAGAGTAGCATGGTTTGTTTTTTCATTCATTCATTTGCTCCTTCATTCATTCGTTTTTCGCCCATTCATTGATTCGTTCATTCCTTCAATCATCGATGGTGTTAAAACTTAGTTTCAATCAATCAATCGATCAATCAATTAGCTTATAAAGCGCTATTTCCGCGATGTTCAAAAGCGCTCCTCAATGAATTTTGAAAATAGATGGGTTTTGAGATCCGCTCTGAACTTCGCAAGTGATGGAGAAGTAGTCAGAGAAGTAGGTAGAGAGTTCCAGAGAAAAGGACCAGAAAAAGCAAAAGCAGATTTGGCAAAAGAGTGTTTAACACGAGTTAAGAAAAAGCGAGAAGAAGAAGACGATCGTAAACCGGGGCGTTTAGGTTCAATTAATATATTTGATAAATACTTAGAAAATAATTTAGATTGAGACTTATAAATGAACGTGCAAATTTTAAAAATTATTCTATATTTTATAGGTAGCCAGTGCAAGAGAACAAGATATGGAGATATATGAGAAAAGAAAGGGGCACGAGCAACTAGACGAGCAGCAGAGTTAAAAGCTTTACTTAAAGGATAGAGTATAGAGTCAGGAAGACCATAGTAGAGCGAGTTACAATAACCAATCCTAGATAAGACTAACGAAGTAACAAGAAGGAGAAGAGTAGGATCATCAAGAAAAGGCAAAAGTTTTTTTATTCTACGTAGGTGAAAGTAAGAGCTTTTAGCAACACTATTAATCTGAGAAGAGAGAGACATAGTAGAATCAAAGATAAAACCTAGACCACGAAACTTATGAGAGACATCAAGAGTTTTAGAATCAGGTAAGATAATAGGAGGAATAGTAATAGAGTGTTTAGATTTATTAAAACAAATTAATTCAAACTTAGAAGGATTAAGTTTAAGACACATGGAGTCAGACCAAGCGATAATTGAAGAAAGACATAGAGATAAATTATGAAGAACACTATTGAGATTAGATGGAGGAAAAGAAGTATAAATGTAAGAATCATCAGCATATAGTCGACTAGAGAAAGAAAAGTTATTAATAATACGAGGTAGTTCAAAAGTATAGAGTATAAATAGAAGAGGACCAAGAATAGAACCCTGAGGTACCCTGAAAGTAAGAGTAGAGGAGTTAGAAGTAGAATTATTGAGAACAACAGAAGAAAAACGATTACAGAGATAAGAAGAAAACCAAGATAGACAAGAATCAGTAATATTAAAAAAAAGATGCAGCAGTCTCAAGAGAATAGTATGGTCAACAGTATCAAAAGCCGAGGAAAAGTCAAGAGCAAGAAGAAGAGTAAGATTACTATTGTTACTAGAGAGAAGGATATCATTGTGTATTTTAAGTAAAGAAGTTTCAGTACTGTGAGCAGGTCTGAAACCAGATTGAGATACAGGTAGCAAGGAGTTAAAGTCTAAATAGGATGACAGTTGATTAAAAACTACTTTTTCTATTATTTTAGAGATGAAAGTAATATTAGTTACAGGTCTATAATTAGATAAAGAGGGAGGATCTAAGGATGAGTTTTTAAGAATAGGAATAACAATAGAATTCTTATAAGAAGTAAGAAATTTAGAGGTGGAAAGAGATAAATTAACTAGTTTGAGAATGATTGGATAAAATATTGAAGTTTAATATAGTTGAAAACGATTTAATTTTAATCTAATTTTATTTTAATTTTTTAAATAAATAAAATTTTGTATTTGAAAGTTTGACAATGATGCTGAAAAAGTGAAGAAAGAAGCTGATGATTTTTTTGAGAAACGCTTGGTTTGATATCTGTATTGTATTCATCTGTTTAAAAGTAGTAACTTTTAGTTGGAGCTATTTTTAGGAGGGGAGCATTAAATTTTGAAAAACCTTTGGTGTGTGTTTGTCTATGTTTGTGTGTGTATGTGTTTTTACCTTTTTGCAAAACACTAGCATAACAAAATTAAAAAAATTATCAATACAGAAAAGTGGAGTTTGAAGGGAGGATGATTTGGGACAGCACATCACATGATATATTTTATTATGTATCGAAATAGACTTATATACTGTTTTAATGTTATTAATAAAAATGATTTTTAACGTTATGAATCGACTTATTAACTATTATAAATAAAAACTAGCACAAAATATTCAAAACTTAAACACAAAATTTATATAAAGACCTCAGTGGATTTCGTAAACAAACGTATAGAACTTGACCTTTCTAATAAATAAACTAATCAATCAATCAATCAACAATCAATCAATCAATCAATCAATCAATCAATCAATCAAACTGTCAGTCAGCTTTTCTGTAGTAATAACGTTATTAATAGCGTTTTGTCAAAAATGCCAAATATTAAAAGTTTTTTATTTAACCTTAATAAACTTCATCAAGATGATAAAAGTCTCGTTAGAAAAATTGAGAAACTCAACTACAAGTTGAATAATGCCGAAAACGCAGTGATCTTTATAAATAATTGTATTTATGATAGTCTAAACCATATATATATATATATATATATATATATATATATATATATATATATATATGTATATATATATAATAAATGTTGGAAGAATTCCAAATTTTATACATGAATTCTATCAAATTTAAAATTCTACCATTTAAAAATTTGTCATTTCAAGTTTTGTTACTGGTAATCTGTTTTCCAATTTTTTCTTGGATATCTTGAGAAAGAAACGTAAACAATTTGAAAAAGAAACGATTAGAAACAATCCTGAGTTGAAACCAAACATCAATGTCCGATATGTTACCAAATTAATCTTAACAAAACAGAGTGCACGGTTATCGGTAAAAGCAAAACCGCCCCGATCCCCGATCTACTCCATAATCATTAATGGTAAACAAGTAAAACAAGTCGGCAACTTCAATTATCTCGGAAGTTTGATCACCTCAGTTAAAGCTTTTTGGTCACATACTGCCAAAGGAAAGAATGGAAAATCTAACAACTGCTGGAAAAATTGCAGGAAAAAAAGATCACGGTCAGCAACGAATAACATTTCATTAACACAAAATAACACACCACATTTCATCTACTACAAAGTGTTAAAGATCGGGTTTTGTGAAGGCCGATGGTCGTCAATATCCTGAAAGAAACGACAAAAAAAGAAGGATTGTCGTACACGATGACACCGAACAAGTCAACCAGCTCCTAGCAATCATAAACCGATCTAAATTAATAAAATTCACTATCGAACTTGAAAGTGAAAGATGATTATCCTTTCTAGATATTTTGGTAGCTCAAGACGAACAAAGATTTACGACTGTCCTATACATCAAAGGAGCAATGAAAGGTATTCGTTTAAATGGGATAAGCGAATGAACCGAACAGTTCAAAGCAAGTACGAACAATAACATTTTTGTGAACTGGGTATTCACTCGTTCATCCTCAACTGAAGATTGCAATACGGAATTGAAAAAAATTACCAATTTTCTTGAAAAATTGGTTACAAAACATAATGCCTTGAAAAATCATCCAACATAGAATACAAGCAAGATAATAACCTACTTAAAATCAACAGTGAGAGTGGCATAGTCCTATACAACAGGAATCGTATGTCAACGGCTCATAAAACAAACAAAATTATTGAGCAAATAATACAAAAAACGTTGCATAAATCAACCGTACCGATAGAATTAAACTTAGGACGTACTACAACAAAGGCAGAACATCATAATTAGTACTAAGGAAGGAACTGCATTCCAAAGACAATTCTATTTTGAAGCGTAACCACGTAATATCCTGGTCCAAATGCGCTATTGATGACTGTGCGTCATTCGTCAGCAATATTCATATCGATATTTTCTGGACTTCCATATTTTATTTAAATTTTTTGTGTTAGTTTGGTTTTTAGTGTGAGCGCTTGAAACTTCACTGACGTTTATTATCGTAAAGTAAACAAACAAAATAGGTAAACGTTCGCCTTGTCGTGTATTATTATATAAAATAAAATAATATAATCCGTATCGAGAAAGTACTTTCCTAATATTATGACGAGTAACGAAAAATATGTTTTAATCTACGACATACCAAAGCACCTCCACTCAAAATTTTTACGAAGGCTTTTCGTCGCAGCTACGGAATCTAACGTTTTCAGATGCTTTCACTACAGACATTTTTCTTCCAAGTACATGATCTCCAAGGTAATACAATTTCAAAATGATACGAATGTTTGCTTCATAAAATTAAACAGAGCAGATTGTGTCACTCCTTTTATTAGCAGATATTCTTCGGAACCTTGGAACAGCGGAGATGGAGAAAAACTCTTTTTGAAATTTTTAAAACTAAAATTAATAAAGTCAGAAAGAGAAGCAACTTCAGAGGAAGTTAAAACAAAGTTTGTAAATGTCGACAGCATTACAGAGAAACGTTTGAAATCAATACAAGACCTGAGACCGCCTAGAATACTCATCAACGGAAATGTTGGAACGCCCTTAGCACATTTCATAGATCTCATACAAAATTGTAAACTACCTCCTACGTTATTGCCCAAGCTTGGTATAAAATTACAGAATCTTTACAAAACTCGAAAATATGTGTCAATACCCTGGAATTATGAATGCAGTGGAAATAATTTCTTACCAGTTCAACTCATTACTAACAGAAAACGTAAAACTAAAGATAATTTTTCAAAAGCAAATGTTAGTGAAAATATAGAGGACAAATTTTTAACAAAAAATGATGATGAAGAAGCTGAAGAATGGGAAAGATATGAATCTATTCACGAAGATCCATTCAAAATGGTTCCAAAAGAAAAACATTTTGAACAAGAGATGGAAATAGTTTGGGAAAAAGGAGGTCCAGGCATAGTGTGGTACACTGACATTAATTATTGGGATCAGTTTGAAGAAAATGATGAAAGAGAAACAGATGACTGGGATGTGAATTATTCAGAGTTAGAAGACGATGAATATAAAACTGAGAAGCACGATAATCTAAAAGAAATTGAGGAAATGGAACCAGGTTTCAGCACGTTTAAACCTAGTCAAACAAAAAAGAAAAATAAGAATGCTTTTGAATTAGGACATTTTGAAAACTTTTCAAAAAAATTTGCTAGCAAACTTATGAAGAAATATGGCTGGAAGCGAGGTGAAGGATTAGGACCTAGTGGCAAAGGCATGTCAGAAGCTCTGCATTGTGAGGGTCAATCAGGTCACAACAAAACAGGATTTGGATATAGAGGAAGTAAACTTTTTGATTTTTCTACCAACGACAGTAAAGAGATATCATTTCAAAAGCATTAGTCATTCACCATCATCCTATATTTCAGAAACTTTATGAACTGCTGACTGCCTTTACCAGAATACTTCAAAGAATCAAATGGTTTACAATCAACTAAAATTCTTGAATACTAGCATTAAAAAACAATAAATTATATTACATTTCATTTGTTTTAAAATTGCATGAAAAACATTGATTAAACTACATTCATTTGTGCACAATAACTTGGACATCAATATAATACATTTTATACATGTGTGACGGTACATAAATATCAACTATATGACTATTTTAAATAATTTACATTAAAAACCATGGACAAAAAAGTTATATTTTGGTTTGATAGGGTTGAAATCAAGGCAATTAATTATTGATTGTGATAAAATGAAATTTTTCGGCCAACTATTGTTTAAGCGCATGGATATATTATATATATCAATGTATAAGATATCTAAATTAAAAAATAAATTTGACGTGATCTTATGCTAGTGAAATTTATATGAAAATGAAAAACAATAAAAAACGCATGCAAATATAAATGGATGATTTTAAAGCTATTTTGCATGAATGAACTGACCACGTTAAACAGATGACTGAGGCATTCCTATGATTTAGTGGAAATTAGCTTGAACATGTCTTACAAAACACTACACTTGCGTTTAGTTAAATATAGAGATGAATTAATGCCTCATTTTAAAGAAATACCAAAACAATAAACTAGAAAACCAAAACAATTCTTTGTACATGCAGAAAAAGTTCATGTTCTAACTCCAGCTGTCTTAATTCGGCCATTTTTCTTTTTTGCAAATTATCTGCTGATAAATAAAAGGCGAATTTCAATTTTTTTGCTTTTTCAATTAATTCTTTTAACTTCAATATTTTTGGTGTCCCGCGTGTTGCAAATATTGTCTAGAAATCTGCTGATTTTTCAATTTCAAAAAAAGCATGACTTGAAACGTAACTTTCTTTTTTACGAGTTGAGAACAAACCTTCAGTGTGTGAATATATGCAAGATGGCCTACACACGCACCAATGCTACGAATTAGACTTTCAAAACACCAACCTACTTTTCATCAGATAATTTGACTTTTTTCTGTGAAAGACTTAATGCCGCTGTTTAAAAGGAAACACTTGCAAAAATGTGAAGTGTGTTGAATTGCACAAACGATTTTGGCCCAACTTTATAAAACTTGAATGTCAATTAAATAAAGTTATTTTTACTGATACAAATAACTTATTGAGAATTTTACGCGCTGAGGCGAAACAAACTTTTGTGCAACAATGCATCGTTCAAACAAAAGCTTACTACATAAAACTTATACTCAAAATATTTTTAGTTGAAATACCACGCGAATACATTTTTTCCGTCATATCCACAAGAATTTTGACAAACACTAAAAAATGCAAACATAATATTTAAAGAACGCCAATTAAGAATGTTGTTGTGAAAAGAGAACAAACACTGCACAAGAGTAAGGGCACATGGGCATGTGGCTTAAATGAAACATTGTGGCTTAAATGGAACATTAATGGTAAATAACAGTCGTATGTGTAATTGTGTATTGAATACGTAACATGATTGAAGCAGTAATAACGATATGAACACATACGAATTCACATAACCATTACACGTTGAAAGAAGATTTGCAGCAAAGTGGATAAAGGCAGGTTTTTGAAATGTGAAGGCTATTTTGAATTGTTTAGAGCTCATCGTGGGGCGCCAACACAAATGGAAGAAGAGCACAATTGTCTTATAATATTGGCTTGTCACTGTAAACGAGCGACATCCATGATTCAGGTAGCTTCTTTGTTGAAGATCTAAACAATTATAATATATTTTTATAGTAGTTCACAAGTTGTAGGTACTTTGGCATTTTTCAATCTTAAATCTTGAAAAATTTCCTAGCATTGCATTATTAGAACATGGAATTATGTATTCCAGACGTGCAAATGCATCCACAGCCAGTTGGACACATGTCATGCTTGCTGAACCACGAGGAAAGGTGGATGACGTGACCCCCATGTCCGCATTCGAAGCAGAATATCAGCAATCCTAAAATGTTTAACAAAATAAAATCCATGTTTTGTAGTAAAAAAATAAATTGAACAAACATATCTTGTGCATATTTAACTAGTTGACAATCCAATAATATTTTTTTACGATTCTTTTTTCAATGTTTATGTGAGATACCAAAAACAAATACACAGCAGCGCCAGTGTATCCCAACAAGAAATGGCAACCTCGGTATAATCTCCCTACCTCATTTTGAATTTTTCGGGCCCAGACATTCTTCATTCATTCGAACGAACAGTTGAGCCCAAAAAATTATAGAGGTCGCCATGCCTTGGCCATGTCAACCACTTCACCATCGCGCCGCCCATATAATTGTTATGAAGATGCAAATGCCCTCATCATCAAAGGTGATTAATTTCATAACATTTTGATTCAGTCTTACTTAATACAAATTTTCTAGACATTGGAAAAGTACCGAAGCAAAGATTAATTACAAAATTATTTAAAATATTATTTTCATAAAGAGTCTGTTGAAACAAGAAAGGCACATTTAAAGAGAAAATTGCCAATGAAATCATGAAAATAAAAATGAAAAGCTTGTACAACAAATGCACGACGTAGTGTCAAGTTGCTAGCAAATTGAATTAAAAACATATAAAAAGTTTGAAGGACGCAAAACAAAGAGACAGACCATGAACAGGCAGTTCACATAAGGCACATTTTTTGACATTACGTCTGTAGCCAACGCAGCCTGATGGAGAAATATTACGATTGTATGATTTCATAATTCCAAACCTTAACAAACTTCCGATAGTACTCTGTTAATCAAGTCTCTATAAGGTAACATTAAAAATTACGTTAACAGGTACATTTTATTGCTATAACTAAACTGTTATTTCATATTCATAGAGATGAAACAAATTAAAAAAGCAGATGAAATTGTTATCTTATTTTAAAATGTAGAAGAAACACAAAGACACGCCAAACATGAAAGTCGAAAAATATTAAAAAAACATAGGAAAGTATGGAAGAAACTTTTTTGAAGTTCTTTTTCGGATGACGGAAGAAAGTCGAGAAGTTCCGACCGTTGATTGACGAAGCCCCATCTGAACAGCGTATTGGCATAGCAGTGGATGAAGTTGCTGTAGAGATTTTGTTGCAAGGGATTCAGCCACCTCTGGCACTGTGCAACGTTCCTGTTTTGTTTCATATAGTGGTCATCTTGATTGTGTGTGAAGAACAGTCAGAGTTTGAAAATTAGATCGATGTGAAAGGAGGTAAACTTTTTTAAAAATGACTATGAGAGAAGGCCAAAACCGTTAATAACCATAAAAAATGTTAAATGTATGCATTGTTTGATGAGAAAACTTAAAAAAGCTATATATTAAAAGTAAATATGAAAACTTTTAAATTTAAAATGAAATTTTTAAAAGTTGAAAAATTATGCTGTCTAAATTAGTAGGCAGATAATTTATGAAACAATTTGTAAGAAATACAAAAAACAACACAAAAAATAACTTTTCATTTTTGCTTTGATGGAACTGAATGAAGTCAATTTCTTGTTGAAATGAGGTTGTCATCTCGGCGGAAGCCCCCGTTTCTGATAAACTATTTGAATGCTTTCTTTTTGAAACGTCTGCAAACATTTAAAGTAATAGTCTATGCATTAGATTCACATTTTTCAATTGCATCATTTTACTGATAAGAAGTTAAGTAATTTAGTATGTCCTTAATATTTCCAGTTACTAGTCTAATCAAATTGTTAATAGTTCCAAAAGGTCAATTGACGAATCTGTCAATCAATAAATCAATCAACCAACCAACTACTCAATTAACCAGACTAATTAACCAATTCATTCGAGAACTAACTTAACGATGGAACCATGATTAAGCTTATTGACTAATTTGGGTTCAGTGTGAATGATGAGCTTCAAATACAATTGGAAAACTTTTTCCGAACGACATAAGGCAACAATTTTATGGCAAACTCATTCAACATTTAATTCATTTAAAAAAAAAACAAAGAAAAATTACTGGCTGCTGTTCGAGTTGGAGAGAAGAACACAGAACTTTTTCTGACATGAGTATCAAACTGAAAGCAATTAAAATGCATCTGAGTGCCTTTACTATTTAATTTAATTTCAGACGTTAAAAAAGTTTTAGCTCATCGTTAGACAGGTTGTAATTGAAATAAAAAATTGTTGCGCGTTAACCTCTCTCGGTGGTTTAGGACTTGTTCTGGTGACTTTGGGAAGGGAGAAGACGCAGCAGAGCATGGCCAGCATCTGGAAGTCCTTCAACATAATGTAATAGTCGTACCTGTAAGTGATGGAAATTACACGCAATTATATCTCCTAATTACATTAAATTACATACTTAAATTAATATTTTAAAACGAAAAAACATGAAAAAATCAAAACAGTGATTGTTTCTTTACGATAACATACAACAGTGATAACAAAATACCAACACAAGGGTAAACACTGACCATTTTTTAACGAGACTTCTGCCAAATGGAGTAAGTGACCAAAGGATGGACTTGTCTGCCGAATTGTTGCTGGAACGTTCTGCCTGCTCTACCTGCAATGCAGCTAGTGACCACACCTGGCCATTGTGTTCAATTATAAATAGTTAAAATAATATTTCAATATATATTTATATATATAATATATACGTATGGTATATGTACGTATAAATATATATATATATATAATATATATATAATATATATATATTTATATATACACACTCACAAACACACACATACATAAATTTGAGATGAATTTATAATTTATAGAAACAAAAAAAGAGACTTGAGATAAATCTCTCCTGTTGTATGCAAGAGCTATCTGAGCATTCTTTCGACACATGACCAAGGGATTTAGATCCAACCTAGAATGAAATTAAGAAAACATCTTAACAAAACGTTGCAATGCAAGAATCAAATTACTTAGATGATGATAAATAATTTTTCTGTAAAGAACAATATAAAATAAAATATATAAAATAAAATATAAAGTAATTTCAACTTTGAAATCAACAGCCACGACTTTCATATAATTAAAAATGTGGTGCAAAGATAATATTAGACGTTAGTGCTTAAAACTGTTATTTGCAGAAAACTTAATATTGAAAACTGAACGACGAATCTCCAGACTAATTTTTATTCATTGAAATCTAGATAATATAGTTTCTATCTAATTAGTTATAATTAAAAAAACTTAACAAGAGTACAGACGTGTAATTTTCTCCGAGTTGTTTATGGATAGGTTCGAGACAGGAAACATCGTAAATGATGACAGGACCCAAAGTTTCCTTTGAAGATTTTGACTTGTGTTTCCGAGGGCGGTGCTTCATCACTGGTTGCTGAAATTTGAGCCTTAAATTAAAGCTTTTAAAACTATTCATGTAAAATATGGAAATAAATGTTCGACAACATCTTAACATCATTGTCTTCCTAACTTAAAAAAAAATCATCATGCTTAAAATGAAAACCACCCAAAAAATTTGAAAACCAAACAAACATGAGTTTCAAAGTATGCTGATATTAGAGATGCATGGTCCATTGGATTCATTGGACAACTTCTGGCCATAGAAAACTTCAGAGGCTTTGTTGTTTTTGTTTTGACGTCTGCAAGGGCTGCTAATGCTCTATTGAAAAGAATAAATAATGAATTAGGAATGTGAAATAAAAGTATGCTGAAATAATAAAGAATGTGTTATGCATTAAATAATTAGAAACGTAAAAAATGCTATGATAAAAATTTTAATAATCACACAGCTGCTATGAGAGCATTCTTCACTATGTTAACCAGACAAATTATAAAGATGATGAAACCTCGGAGTAGGCTCAGATGATTCTGATGTGTTCTTCTTTCTGGCTGTTTCTTGGGCTGCTGGTTGTTCAATGCTTGGTGGGTTGTCGACGTTTGGTGGGTTGTCGATGTTGGGTGGGTTGTCGATGTTACCAATCTCCAGCCACATCGGTCGGGTGAAACAAACAAGGGAGCCTACATAAATCATTCACAAATCTATCAAAACTAACCGTGCAATTACATTAGTCACCATAAACCAGTTATAGAATATTTAAAAAAAAACATTTTAATATTTAAAAAAAACATATGGTCGTTTGTAACAACAGAAAAATAAGTTGACTTACAAAAAATTGTCAACCAACAGAGAACTACATTCATAATATATAAAAGGTAACAAAATTATATAAAAATAAGAAAACGAAAGCTACCGGCTCCACAAAATCTGGCTCCTGAGGTTCTGGGGAAAGGAACATTCTGTCCAATCATCCGTTCCAGTTCAGTGACATCTGGCATCATTTCTGATCCTGGTTTCTGCATCAAGATCATTTATCATTCATTACGTGTTCATCAATTGATCAATGCGTGTTCGTCAATTGTCTATTGTGTGTTCATTTATTGTTCATTGTGTGTTCATTTATTGTTAGTGGCATTTTCATCAGTTCGTATTAAAATTTTAATTGTGATCACAGGCAAATCAGTAATTTAATTAATTAATTTTTTATACTTTAGTGATCAGATTTGTCAGCATCACCAATTCCTCAGTAGTGCAAATAATTCGCAGTGGATGATTTTATAACTGAGACCAAATATGAAGAATCACAAGAGCGTGGTGGTTGTATTTAATATAAAACTTTTACATATATCTTTAAAATCCAACGAAATCAAATCTAAGTTACGCCAAAAAGAGTTTGAAAATTTCATGCTATTATTAACATATCTAACAGGTTGTATAAGTAGATAAATTACACACATAAAGAAAAAACATTTTAAGAAGATAAAGTAGGAAAGTAAAGGGGGTTGGTTACAAAAATAGTAGCGTAACTTAACAAACCAGCATGTCTTCGACGAACTTCATAATGACCTGCATGCACTGATTGATGCAACCCACACCTGACCTCTGACATGATCTAGCCCTACTCAACAGATCCTAATATAGGTCAGTTCATGTTCAAACGTTCAGTAAGTCATCAGGGTGATTAAAATTTTAAGTGGCGTGGTTGAGAATTTAATTTCAATAATTTTATTTTGATATTAGTTTTCTGTATTGAATTATTTAATCATTGCTAAATATAGAAAATAATATATCATGTGGTGAGGTTTAAGACTTTATGGAAAGATCTATTCAGAACTTTACATGAGATGGTTTGGATAAATCAACTAAAAAACATTCAGGTGCATAAACAATATGAAAGAAAATGTTAAAATAGCAACATGAAATCCAACTTCAAATAAAAACAGCTAAAAAACTGTTTCATTCACTAATGGTCCTATTCATGTGACCGGCGCAGGTAAAATCCACACGAAACCAAAATAAGTGCAGCTGCTGTGTCCACATTGCCAGTTCAGATCAGGTGCATACAAAGACATTAAACAGGAAACAGAGCAAGCAAACAAACAAGTAAGCAAACAAACAAACAAGTAAGCAAACAAACAAACAAGTAAGCAAACAAACAAACAAACAAGCAAGAAAACAAACGTCATGAAGTTTTTCCCTGGCACTGGTGTTCATGTTGTTGGTGCTGATGAATGCAAAGACGGGAGTGGCATGCTTGGGGTAATCTGGGGGAAACCTCATGTCCATTTTCATGCACAACTTTCGAGAATCATACTTCAGTTGCAGAAGCCTCTCCTCGTATGATTTCTTCACATTTCAAATTTACAAAAACTAAGCGTAATAACTTATCGAGTGTCAGTTATGTAATGCACATTATTTGGAACGATCAAATGTTAAATGAAATCAACAATTTAATTAAATTTGTATTTCAGGAATTAAACTGTTAAATAAGTTATAGGAAATAAAAAGTAAAATAAAGTCTACAAATTTCATCTAGAAAAAAGGCACATTCTAATAAGAACTAATTTTGTATAACAACTCAAATTTGAATCATTTCCTTTCAATGGTCTACAAACCAACAATAACTATCACTTTATAAGTTATGGATTAAACAAAAATGAAATAAGCGAACTTTTTCGAAAGTGATGCATGAATATTCAACCAAGGATTCGAATTCATTGAGTAGTGAATCAGATTTGTGTTGTTGCTGCTGTTGCTGTTGCAAGTCGTCAGTGGACGATGTCAATGAACTCGGATCACTGGACTGTGGGTGCATACAATTCAACACAATTCAACATACATTACGTACATTCAGCAGTAGAAATACAACATGTTAAGTTCTACATTATTTAATCCAGTATAATCGCAAAACAAACTATTAATGCAATAAAACTCAGCACACACAGCACCAACAGAAAGATTAACAGCAGTTTAGTATAAAATATCTTGCACTTCAATGTGACATAACACAAGCTGACAGAAAATTCACTATGCTTTAATAAAACATAACATGATGTAACGCAAAGAAATGGTTCCAATAAATATTAATAAACCCATTAACAACATAATTTTAACAATTTAAAAATTCTAAAAAAACTTTTTGATTTGACGTGTCAGAAGAGCAAAAAACATTCACCAGCAAACCTTTTTAATGGCTATATCCATGTTCCAAACTTTAACGCAACTTTGTGTGGCCCACGCTACCAGCTGATAACTGGGATTTTCTGACAATGTTAATTTCAGGTTAAAAAAATTAGAATAAGTTTTATTAAATAAACAATGAGGATGTTAAAACGATTGTTTACAAATGAAACAAAATCTATGAGCGCGACAGACAAAATATCTTCAACAATCAAATTTAAAAAAATTATTCCTCTCAAAAAATGACAATTCAAACAGTGGCAGGACAGCGTGTTGAAGAGGAGTTGGATGGAGGTTCTTGTGGGATTTGACTGAACTTTCAGAATTCCCAGAGTTAGAGTTGGATTTTTTTATCCCGATTCGAAACAAATTATGAAAAATAATTTTATTAACGTACTAAACTTTTTTTTCATTTTCATTTTTTAAAAATGACAACTACAAAATAAGCTGGCCATTATAATGTTGACAATAGAGACCACTAGAATTCAATAAAGAAGTTCATTTTGAAATTGGAAAACGTTATTGTGGTTCAGGAAAGTTGAACTTTTTTCAGTTTCCTTCTCGTACCTTATCTTTTCAGGATATTGGCGACCTTCACAAAACCCGATCTTTAACACTTTGTAGTAGTTGAAATGTGGTGATATTCAACAAGTGGCACAAGGACTTAAATGGTGTTTTCAACTTGTTTTTTGATTTGGTTTGCGTTTATCGACGGTTTTCTTGGCAAAAGTTGTGGACAGTAGGTTGCCGTAGGTTGCCATTACTTGCTGTCAACTTTTCTACTTCTACATGAGATGAGTCATGTAATAATTGAAATAATTGAAAAAATAATAAATAATTGAAAATAAATAAATAAATAATTGAAAAATTTGAAAGTAACGTAGTACTTTTTTATTTTTTACAGTTTTTTTCAATTTTTACAAATTAAACCTTCGCTACAAACTCTGTAATTAAACGTTTTAAAACATTTCAAAAAGTTTAAGTTGCTGCAAGCAAACATTACTCAACAAAACACCCTACAATTAGAAAAAGTATCAATTGAGTGACAAAACTGCGTTTAATGCGTTGTGAATGCTATGTAATATTGTGATAACGTATCGTATTCTTTAATATTTTAACGTTTAATTGTTCCACAACTCTTAATGTTTCCTACTAGAATTCAACTTTTCAGTTAATACTTTTTCAATATCTTTTACAACCCTAATGAATCAAGAAATCGTTTGCAAACTTATATTTAAATCATTAAATCACTATAAAAGTTTAACTGAGCATAGATTCGCAGTTAAGAGCAGTATGTAATGACAACACTAAAAAATCTCTGCATTCATCTTCAAATATGAATTTGATTTGGACAGATCAGCAGGTAATTTACAATGTACAACTTCCAGCCTAGTAAGAAAGAGAGTGGTCTAAAAAATGGGTAGTAGCCGGTTTACCTATTGAAACTATTATGTATTAAGTTTCCAAAAGCCGTCAAAAACGCTGTGGTAAGCCATATTTTGAAAAAAGTACATTGAACAAAAACTTTCATGCCTGTGTCGAATCTTTTGTTTTTGTTGAACGCATACTCTTTCAGCAACTTGTCACTCATTTAAACACCAATAGTCTTTTCCTTGTTGATCAATCTGGTTATCGTCAGTTCCATTCGACCGAGACGGCTTTATTGGATGTTTCTTCCAATTTGTATTCCTCCACAGATGCTCAAAATGTGTCATTGCTTGCTCTTATAGATATGAGCTTTGCCTTTGATTGTGTCAATCTCTCATTACTTTTACGCAAGTTTCAATATTCATTTGGAGTATCGGATGTTGTTCTTCAATGGATTGAGTCATATCTTTCTGGTCGTACACAACAGGTTCTGTACAGGTTTAACTTGACACATGTTGAAACTGTCGCACGGTGTTCCACGGGGTCGGTTCTCGGCCCCTCCTGTTTGTGTTGTATGCTGCAGATGTTTTCAAAATCATTGGCAAATATAATTTCAAACATCACGGTTTTGCCGATGATATTCAGATCATTGCTAGTGCGCCCCTTTGTCGTTTTGACGATGCTGTCTGTTGATCATGTCTCTCGGAAGTTAATGAGTGGATGATGGCAATTAGGCTTAAATTGAATCAATCAAAAGCTCAGTTTTTACCGGTTGGCACTAGGTAGCAATTGGAAAAAATTAACATTGAGTAATATTTAACTGGCAGAGTCATTCCTAGAACAATGCCACTGTTGAGTCAAACATTGCGCTCTGACAATTCAGGTTTACTGTTTGTACCTGGTACAAATTTGGCTATTGGTCGCATGGAATTTTTCCGTAATGGGTCCTGCTGTCTGGAATGGTTTGCATGAGGATGTTCGTGATCCTGCATTGTCTGTTATGCAATTAAGGTAAAAAAAACTACTATTTATGCTAATGTTTTTCCATTCATTGCATTGCTTTAATAAAGAGCCATACAATGTATTTCTATAATCGTTAGCGCTTCTGAGATCTTTTTAAAGGGCGCTTACATACACACCAATAATAATATGTATGTATGTATGTATGTATGTATGACCAATGCTGACCTGTGCTTGCGTGCATGTTACTTATGAATTAGGTAACTTACAAAAACACTACATATAAAATCCACAATTACAAACATTTTAAGTTTGATGATTTTGCTGAATGTACAATTTTTTATGCTCTTTAAAATCCTTAAGCTAGCGAATTTGCTTCTTACAGTTATGAACAATAAGAATTGAGTAATATTGCAAAAAATTACGTGAATGCCTTTCGATGTTTCTATAAAATATAAATATAGAAAATTAAACTAAAGAAAATATGTAAACTGATTTTAAATAATTTTTGAAGTAGCTCTTATTTTATCCTAACTAAACAAGCATAATGGTCAAGTTGAAAAACTATTTGTGAGTCAGCAGCCAGATTTGGGAATTAGAAAATTTTGCCAGTTGGAGTTGCAAAATTTTCAAACAAGGACACATCCTGATATAAATTTGGCAGCCTGTTCAAAAGACACAACGGCAACTAGAAACATAAAAACTAACAACACCACAAACACAACACAACAACACTCTTATAAACAAACAAGCAAGCAAACAAACAAACAAGCAATCAAACAAACAAAGCAGCACAAAGAAACAACAACAAACCATCAGCTGTGGATCTGATGAACCACCTTTTGATGTTGTTTGAACTAGGGAAGGCATATGTAGACTGTCTTGGTGAGCTTGCATCTTTCATCTTCCACAAACAGAGATCGTCCTCATCTGAATTTGCATCTGCCACCATTCGCAAGAACTTAATCGTCACCATATCTCTAATTGGCTAATTGACAAGGTGTGTTTTGATTGGTTAGTCGTTTGATTGGCAAGTTAGTAGGTAGATTGATCTGATGATCTGACAAATAGATCTGGTTGATTGAATATATCACCTATTAGCAATCTGATCAGCATTAAATTAGAAAAATACATATCCTACAAAGAATTTAGTGCAACAGTACATAGCCAGATATAAGGGAACAGAATATAACAAGAGATTATAACAAACAAACCTTGCACAAAACAGCAAAACTAAAAAAAACACAACAAAACATGACATAAATTAACAGAACATAAAAACACCACCATGTATTTGACACGAGCCACAATCCTTGAGATGTTGTATATATCGTGAACCTTTTTCCCTTTGTTAATGTCAAACACCTGTGATTGATGAAATGATGATGATGGTGGTGGTGATGTTTGTGATGATGATGGTGGCATAATTGTGATGATGACAATGATGATTGATGGTGGTTATGATATTGATAGTGGTTATTATAATGATGGGAGATGATGATAATATGATTAGGAATGATGAAAACATGATAAAAGACATAACGAGATGATGATGACACAATCATCTGATGATGATATGATTAAAGTTGATGATTACGTGACTAATGATAAAGTCTAACCCTAACGGTGCCATCTCGACTACTCGACATCAACTCATAAGAATGAGGTGACCAATCCAAATCAGTTATAAAATTTACATGGGCTACCATGTTCAGTCTGTTAACAGGATTCTTCAGGCTCTGTCTTGTGTTTTTTGTATATTAAATCAACCAATCCTTCAGTTATTTTGAGTGAAATTCTACAGTAGATTTATTTAAAAGAGGATAAAGAAGAAGAAGACAAAGTACCCTGAAATCCCAGACGTTGGTGTAATCATCATGAACTGTAGCCAGGAGATCCTCGTTCACTTTGCACCACTTCACAATGTTGGATGTTGCTGCATCGTTATATGATAGAAATCATTGTTTCCTCATACTGCATAACTCAGAGATGTCAGTGCATTCATCACTCATTGCATATGATAGGTAGGGTTCTCCTTGCATTCAAAGCTGGTCACTGCAATGCAGGACCAGGCATCTTTAACAATTGCTCTATCCTCAATCTTGTACTTATACCATTTATATCAGTATTAACATAGCAAATATTTAACGAAATGATTTAAACATGTGAGCAACAATATAACTGACCAACAACAAACACTTTTGATGATTTAAATTTAATTTTTAAAAAAGTGAATGATGATTGTACTGACCGGCATGTCGGACCCAGGTGCAAACCCTCCTGAAATCTCTGAGGAACAAAAAGTAAAATGTATTTAAAATGTATTTATTAATCACTTCAAAATTAATGAATTCATTTTTTCAACTTTGCACAACATCCTATGTTAAATTAAAAAAAAAACGACATGGAAATATTGCAAATAAAAATGTTTTAATAACAAAATGAGGTCCATGATTATAGAAAAATATGAAACTCATTACTATGTAAAATGAAAACAGAACAAAATATTAAAAATATTCAAGAGAAATTTTTTTCAAATTATGGAGAATATGAAAATATACTGAAAAGCCATTGTTAAAAGTAACAAGCTTCATAGAAATGTCTCATTGTAAAGCATAAAAAAGTAAAAAATGTGAAAAGAAATAGAAGCCAAACCTGGTGTCAAACAGATAAGTATGCCAATTACCATGGCATACTGCAACTCGAGTACCATTGACCGGATTCCAATCCAGATTACTAAACAACAAAGAACAATTGTTGGAAGAATTGTAAAAAAATATTTAAAAAAACAAAATCCTAACAAAACAATTTGCTTAGTTCGATAAAAACATATTTATTCAAATATTGCCACATCATAATTTTGAATAATTTGTACCGAATTTGACAATCCTGTCCCTTGACTGTGGACATTATTTGACAGCAATCTGGCCTCAGCTCCCACAAATCCAGTCTTTGTTTACTCTAATTGGAAAGTTAGAATAAATATTATCAGTACATTGCAAGCAAAGATATCTAATTAAAAAAGTAGATAGTATGAAGATAAATAAATAAGTATCACATTCTGTCAGTAATTTATTTATTACAAAAGTACAACTTGTTTAACATTGCACATAACATAGAAAAAAATAAATGTTTTAAAAACATTTAACTTTTGAAGACAAAAATGTTTTGTAAGCATATATATGGATGAAAAATTAAAAAAAAAATTAATTAAATTATCTCAATCCAACAAACAGTAGTAAGAAAATGTTGTGCTTCTGTTGGATGCCAGAGTCCCAAGTTGAATGTCTTTTTTGAATCATACTTCAGTACAGCACTGCAATCTTCATATGTGTCCAAATCTATCAGGTGTAGTGTCTTGGGCCTTCAAAACAAATTAATTCACTTCATCAAACGTCTGACTAAATCTGGCCCTGGCACTTCAACTTTTTGACAAATTATTTATTACCATGATCATCTGCCAATTATTACTAAACTTCATTTCAGGTTGAATTGTTCGCATTTAAAAAAAATGTATACCATCATTATAAAATTCACGTATAAATCAAAATCCAAAAGACTAATTGTAGTGAGTGAGTAACTTAGTGAACCATATGAAAGGCAAATAATGACATTGAAATGAAAGAATTAGCTTAATATAAATAACAAAATATAATGTGAATATTATATCAGACTGCATTGACAGCATTGTTAAAACACCTAAATGTCCTAAATCAAATGTTAAAATATCAAAGACAAACTATTAAACTTGCAAACAAAAAAGGTTATCCAACTAACCAAACTGAATAAATACAATAAGCACACTATTCAGAATGAAATGTAACTTTTTCTAGTTAACTTCAATTTTAAAACGCTTTTGTAAAAACAACCACCCTTTAAAAAATTATTGATCAATTTATTTATGTTTTCTCATTGACAATAAAATTTGAAATAATAATTAATGAAAGATGGAAAATTTTTTAAATGTAACCTCACCCTCCTATCAAGACATGTTTGCTTTTACTGCCACCAGTGAATATGATAAATCTATTGTTCTGTCAACAAGTTTTTCAGAAATTTTTTTTATTCATTTTTAAATAAAAGTTGTTACATCATTTGTGATCAAAGACATTTCAGATATATACATGTAATATATAAATGCATAGTATGTATAATACTATGTATATATATATATATATATATATATATATATATTATTTAATAATTTACATTACAATTTACATGATGTGAATGAATATCCATTACATGTTTATGACATACTATATAATTATTTTTATTTTATTTTACAGTCAAGTTAGTAAACAGAATGAAAACTAAATTATTAACAATTAAGTTATTAAGTGGTTAGTAAAGTTAGATAAGCATAGATTATTTATATAAAATTTAGCAGCAAATGAAACTGACATAATAAGTTCTAACTACAGAACTACACAACATATAAAAAAATTATTGACTGACAGTACCTCAATATGTTGGTAACGGTGAACTTGACATTCACTTTCTTCAGCCTCTGCACCTCCTGTAGCCTCTCCAGGGTTCACACTCATAGCTGCCATGACGTTTGTCGTATAGAAAGATGTCACATGGGCGTTTGAACGTTGTCTACTTTCACTCTAATGTGCAGCTTATGTTGTCCTGTTATTGCTACTTAACTTCTTTTAGGGTGCCACTTCTTATCAGGTGGGGTGCAGTGACAGTCAGTCATATACATAGATTGAGGACAATCAACACAATACAATTTAAATTTATTTAACAAAAAAGACTTAAAAACAATTATTTATTTATTTTTTTAATTATTAACAAAGATTTAACAACCATACAATAAACAATTATTATATTGTATTAATATTAATTGTATGCATAGTATTGCATCTATTGAATTGATGAATAAACGAATTTATAATTTCGAATTGTTCAGCAGGGAAAATTGTAACCAGAAGGCAAAAATGACAGCAGACTTCTAGAGTTAATTAAAGTCAGATAAAATAAACAATCCCTTTTATGACCACGGCGGAAAAAGTGGTCAGCTAACTGAACACGAGTGACCCAGACAGACGTACAAGCGTCTGCTTATATAGATTTATAGTACTTACATACATTATACGACGCATGAATATCATTTTTAAAAGATAGACAACAATATAGGTCAGACGTGAAATGTAGGTCACAGAACGTTTGGTTGGATAAGCTGGCTTCATTTGATTACTTTTAATTTGTGAGAATCGTGAGAATCGAATGCCGAAACTGTTTTTATTTTTATTTGCGTGAATTTGACGATGAATTGTTAAAAAACACTAAGTTGTTCATTTATACATAACTATATACTATATAGTATATGCTGATGATTATTATATTTATTTTATACCGCTTTTCATCCATCTGATCTCAATAGTGTTCTTTGTTATCTATCTACCTTCTTCTCTGTCTAATTCTCCATCACTCACAAAGTTCAGAGTGGATTTCAAGACCCATCTCTTTGCAAAATTCACTGAGGAACGCTGTTGAATATCGCGGAAATAGCGCTTTACAAACTAATTGATTGATTGGTTTGGTTGGTTGATTGAATATGTTTTAATATTAATTCTACAGTATCACACTGGGTCATGCTACTGTGGAGTGGATGGTTATGGTTAGCGACTATTGAATTAAATGAGCTACACTTAAAACAACATATTAACGACTGTTTCATATGTTTTATTCTAAGCATATGGTTGAATGTTGGTAGTGATTGATTGATTGATTGATTGATTGATTGATTGAATGACTGACTGACTGACTGACTGACTGACTGACTGACTGACTGACTGACTGACTGACTGACTGACTGACTGACTGACTGACTGACTGACTGACTGACTGACTGACTGACTGACTGACTGACTGACTGACTGACTGACTGACTGACTGACTGACTGACTGACTGACTGACTGACTGACTGACTGACTGACTGACTGACTGACTGACTGACTGACTGACTGACTGACTGACTGACTGACTGACTGACTGACTGACTGACTGACTGACTGACTGACTGACTGATTGATTGATTGATTAGTTGATTGGTTAGTTGACTGATTAGTTGATTGATTAGTTGATTGATTGATTAGTTGATTGATTCATATGGTTGACACTAAAAAAATAGAAAAAGACTAGAAACATTTTTTTAAATATTTTTTAAAAAAGGCTGTGATGGGCCACTATATATATAGAATAAAATCCAGCCGTTAGCTAAAATCTTGAAAATCCCATTAAAACCGGTTCTTTTTAATACCGCAAGTTAATTTGTTATCATCACCTTCAAATTTAAAAGTGAAATGGTTAAAAGAAGTTTGTCGCTCGTGTTTTTGAGAAAGTTCCACAAATCGTCGCGTGGATTAAAATTGCCAGAGAAATATTTCATCACGACTCCGATTTATTATTTAAATGCCGGTTGGTTTCTTTTTTCATATTAAAAAAACATTAAAAGATGAGATAAACTTAATATTTCCTTTTTGACCTCATCGGCCTTCTTACAGTAAAATGAGTAAAAGCCTTTTGTAACTAAAAAGTAAAAGCCATAATAAATTATTATATTATACATGAGTAAATTACATAAATTGTGGATAGCCCATCATCAAATCCTTAAAAATCAACGCGCTGCATCCATTGCAGCATGCAAAGACTTGAGCAGACTATCCATAGCCCCACTGAGTTAAAACATCTAAGGATGTCATGTACCAATAACTGTGTCATAATGGTTTCTTTCTGGTTGATGAAATATTGAAATGCCTCATCTTTTGACGTGTCACACATCTTTCTTTTTTTTTTTGTAAAAAATCTAATTTTTAGTTACTTTAGTTAATTATTCCTAAAATGACTGTAAGAACTCTATAAAATGATAATTTATTTTCATTTGGTCTGCTACATAAATTATAAATGTTCTTTCTTTAGGTATGGTATATAATAAAATGAATATGGTAAAGTAAAGGGCAATTTAAAATTTCTTAATGAATGAGTTTGACATGTTTTTATATTCTGTCAGTGCAATGTGGTTTTTGTGTAAATGCACCAAACTTAATTATAGTTAGCATATATTACAAGTTTATAAATGTTATTTAAAAAACACTGTTGAATTTTCGTTTTTGCACTTGCATCATCTTTCCTTCAAATCCCGTTTTGTCTTGTTAAAATGTTTAAGAAGTTACTTAAAGTTTTTAATAGATTTGAAAAACAGTGATCAAAATAAGGAAAAACTAACTAAACAGAATTTTAATTTCATCTAACCACTCATTGATTGTTTTTTTAACATCAGAACCTCACATTGGACATTTGTATTCAAATGTTTTGGCAGACACAGTCAGCAGATGGTACAAATTTCTTCAAGTCCCAACTTATTTCTCTACAGGAACTGATGAACATGGAATTAAGGTTCTTTTTTTAATGTCAATTCCTATTTTAAATTTTGTTTTGTTATATTTTTATTGCATTTTATATTGTGACATTTTTTTCTTCTAGTTATTTATTTTTTAAGTTAAGGCTCCCCAACTATCCCATTTTATTAACTCTTCCTGCTTTTATATCTTTATGTTTTTTTATCATTTTATTTTGTAATTAATTCAGTTGAGTCTTCATTTGGTGAGAATGAAATCAAATGCAAGTTTTTAAAACAATTTCAAGGACATTAATGAAAATGAATTATCATTTTATTGAATTCTCACAGTGTAAAAGTAAAAGATTTTCATTTTTTCATTGTAGGTTTTCCATGCAGCTTCAAAGCTGAACAAACCTGTCCAAATTTTTTGTGACGATCTGTCTCACAAGTTTCAGGTAATCAAAATATAATTTTAATCATTAACTTTGGCTGATGTTTTGGATTATCACAGATGAATTAAATCATTACAACAAAGAATCTTTTTGACAAAGCTCTGATTGATTACACAACCTTTGTGAGAACGACCAGTCCCCAGCACTGCAGAACGGTTGAACATGTTTGGGTATATGTTCATTATTTCCTTTTCATTAAATTCTTATATTTATAAAATATAAATAAATATAAATCCTGATTTATATAAAATTAGTTGTGCTGATACTGTATCCAGCTTGGAAACGTTGGCTTTATTAGGCTTTATAACCCTTCTAACAGAATGAACTTTCAGTTAAGATATCATGCTATGGTAATTAAGTCAAAGTATTATTTACTTCATTGTTGTCTACTGAAAATAATATTTACCGATACTTGTTTACTTAAGGCATTATTTACTGATAGTAATTAACTCAAAAACATATTCAAATGACTAAATCTTTCAATGATATGCCATAAAATAATTTCATAGCAACTTAATTGAGGTTCTGATCCTAACAAACAAACAAACAAACAAACAAACAAACAAACAAACAAACAAACAAACAAACAAACAAACAAACAAACAAACAAACATACAAACGTGTTACAGAACAAGCTGGAGAGTAGAGGATTGATTATGGAGGGGTCATATGAAGGATGGTACTGTGTGTCAGATGAGGCATTTGTCAGTCAGGATCAAGTCATGCAGGTTCAGGATGAACATGACTCCAACAGAATGGTTCACTCATGAGTTTATTTTTCAACTAACTTATTCAGTCAAATTTTATGATTTTTTTGGATTACTACTTTTAAAGACGTTTAACGGATTAAGTAAATTATTGTTGTGTAGATAATTATTATGAAAATAATTTTTTTTTACCATAAAAAATAATTTAATATTGTAGTGGGTAGATTTATTGGTAATGAAGATGATACCACTAGGTGATGATAGAGAATGGAAATGCAGTGGAGTGGGTGAAGGAGAAGAATTTCATGTTTCCACTTTCCAAGTTTACAGATCGACTTATTCAATGGCTTGACACAAAAGGTTCTTCCTTTGTTTTTATTATTCTTAATGTTTTGCAACGTACATGAACTTGTTCACATCATTTCATTTATTTTTTTGTAGAAACTGTTATCTATTTTTGATGCTGTTGCACTTGTCTACTGTTCATTTTATTGAAATTGACTAGCTTGTTTTCTTTTATTTAATTGAGATTAACTGAAACGACCTCATCAATATTTTTCTTTTTAAATTCTGTTTTATGCTCTGTTAGAATTGTTTGTACATTGTTTTCTGGATTGATCTTCTAATTTTAAAAGCATGTAGCATGTAACAAAAAACATGCTTATGATGGTTTTGTTACATCTCAATTTCATATAGGTCTCTCATATTTACAGTACAATTTGTCACGTATGTTAGCTTTTTATCCATTACAACGTTCACATGTGGAAAAAAATTTGCATGTTTTAATTTATTATTATTTTCATATAACAATTTGCTATTGTTTTTAGCATTAATTCATTTATCTTTCCTGAATAATTCTATCCGTCTACTAATTTCTGCCAACTCAACAGTTATTCAGCCCGACTTGTACACCCTTCCACTCAAACAATGGATTAAAAGTGGACTTCCGGATTTGTCCCTGTCTCGACAGAGTGACAAATGTCAATGGGGCATTCCTGTCCCCGGTCATCCAAGTCACACGGTTCTAACCTAACCAGCTTTTTTTTTCCTAAATTTGCAGATTTCTTATTCTAAGATTGTTATTCTTTGGAATTAAATGCGAAATTTTAATTTGTTTAAATGTTTAATCTGACTGGGCTGGCATTATTAACCAAACTTGAATATATATTTTTCTGTAGAAACAAATATATATATATAAATTCTGTAATAGTTAAATAATTTGATTATGTTTTTTTATTAATTTGAAGATATACGTGTGGCTGGATGCTGTGGTAAATTATTTAACAGCAGCCAATTATCCACTGGAAGATGATAGCATCTGGCCTGCTGACTGCCATGTTGTCGGCAAGGATATTATCAAGTTGGTGGAGTTGAGATCATCTAATCATCTACTAATGCTAGCTAATTATGTGCTTATTATTATTATTATCTTCTCCACTTTTTACGCTGCTATTATTAGTGTTTATATATATATATCAAACCTGATAAATAATTTTCATTTCCAATAGCTACACCTTCAAATAAACCATTTTCTAAATAAATGCATTCATAATAATAATCATTCACCAAATAATAGAGCCAATTAGAAACATTCACCAACATTTATATACAAATAAGCATTATCAACCAATCACATTAAAACGAGAATTAAACATCAATACCGAGATGATAATAATTGTATGAAAATTTTTCTAAATTATTTTGTTGAGGCCTATCTGGTGGTCCTTACAAAATCAAATGGCAATTATCTCAAATTTAATAGAAGATCAAAATTATTTAGTAACTCTAACTGTATTAATACCAACATTTCAAAAGTGCATCATATCCATGATTAGATGCTTATGAACGTTTGTTTGGAGCAGGTTCCATGCGGTGTACTGGCCTGCATTCCTCATGGCACTTGATCTGCCTCTCCCCAAAAAGATTCTCTGCCATTCACACTGGCAGGTCAACAAAGAAAAGGTACAAAAATATTTCTAGTAATATTTATTGCATCTTCAGTAAAATTAAGTCTTCTGAGGATACTATCTGAATGGTGATTGTGTTTCTTTAATAATAAATGCGAAACAAATTTTTGAAAGATGTCAAAAAGCCGTGGTAACGTGGTAGATCCCGTGGACCGTCTGGGGAGGTACTCAGCAGATGGATTGAGGTACTATCTCATGAAGGATGGCAGCATTCAATATGATTCTAGTTTGTGCATACTTCTGTATTTAAAATTCATAAGGCGTTGAACACATGATATATCAATTTTGTCATTATCAGTAACGTTAATCAAATTCAGATAAAACGTGTATTCTATTGTTATGTCTTCAATCAAATAGACTATAGTGACAGCAGAGCTGTGGAGTGCATCAACTCTGATTTGGTGAATACATTGGGCAATTTATTGAGCAGATCAACAGGTCAGAACATCAATCCTAAACAAATATTTCCTTCATTTGACAAGGACGTCTTCGAATCACTTGTCACTGAAGCAGATAGGAAGGTTCTCTTCCAACTTTATCAAATCGCAGGTGTTTGTTTTTTACCATTATGTGCCCGATGCATATAATGTTTAACATGTTATGTACTGTAGTGCGGTATAATATCCACATCATTATATCCTTTTCAAGTTACAGCAATACAAATAATTTAATTGCTCTTATCTTTCAGATCAGGTGAACATTCATTATCAAAACTTTGCCATAAATCGAGTTATCGAAACAGTCATGTCCCGATTGTATGATGCAAATGCTCTCTTCCAGCACTACAAGCCATGGTCGCTAAACGAACGGGAGTGTCAATGCATACTTCACATTTCTCTCGAAGCTGTTAGATTTTATTATTTTTACTTTATTATTTCGTTCACATCATTCAGCACTATGTAATTGTTATATTATCATCAGGTCAGAGTTGCGTGTCTAGCTCTTCAACCCATTATTCCCAATTTGTCTGACAAAGCGTTGAAAAGGTTAGGAATTGAGGACAATGAAAGATCGTGGTCTGACATAATTCATCCAATCAACATGCAAGGTTTCCATGGGTCAAGGTCGCTGGGTCGGCACACGGGACCTCTGCTCGAGAGGTTGAAGACTTGTGGTGCTGAAAATGTTAATAAAAGACGTGGACCCTGATTGACAAATTTAGAATCATGTTCTGACATTTTTAATAATGAAATTTTTATAATTTCTGTGATTAACATTTACCATTTATGTGTTTGTATGTGTACGACTGACTTTTCATGATAAAATTAGGTTACTTTTTGAATTCATCATTACCAAAAACATATATTCATGCCAATTGTAAGAGGCTGACTCTTCAATAACGTGATATATTTGAGAAGTGGGAATCAATCAATCAACGAATAAGCTTATAAAGCGCTATTTCCGCGATGTTTAACAGCGTTCCTCAGTTAAGAAGAAATGAGAACAAGAGGACGATCGTAAACCGGGGCGCTTATGTTCTATTAATATATCTGATAAGTGCTTAGGAAATAATTTAGATTGAGACTTATACATTAATGTGCAAATTTTAAAAATTGTTCTATATTTTGTAGGCAGCCAGTGCTAGAGAACAAGATATGGAGATATATGAAAAAAAGATAGGGGCACTAGTAATCAGACTTGCAGCAGAGCTAGAAACATCACTTAAAGGATAGAGTATAGAATCAGGAAGACCATAGTAATAACAATAATCAATCCTAGCTAAAACTAATAAGAAACAAGTAGAAGAGTAGGATCGTCAAGAGAAGGCAGCAGTTTTTTTATTCTACGTAGATGAAGGTAAGAACTTTTAGCAATACTATTAATTATCTGAGAAGGAAGATAGGGAGGCATATATCTCTTTCATTGACCTAAGTTAAAAATTGAATTTTTTTAAATTGTTGTATAAATTCAATTTTTATCTTTAAAACATGCTCTCCCTTTAAAAACGCGACGCTTGTACGCTCGACAGAGTTCCCGCATATACGGTTTTATTTCAAAAGTTGTGGATGACTTTGTAATTTGGAAATTATCAAAATGACGAACAAATTTGCAAAGCTCACCGCTTGCGGCTAAAAATCAAAGCTGCAGATTTTTTCAAGGTAATGGTGAAACCAAAAATTTAGGCTTTCTTTGTATTAATTTGGTCTAAGGGAAAAAATAATCCTGTATTCTAAAATGGAGCCTCTGTATAATGTACTTGAATAAATGTGCGTGCGTGCGTGCGAACGTATCTGCCAAATATGACAAGTACGACTACATGTGAAATGTGGCAATAAATTTTCGATGTTTGCGTTAAGAACTTTTGTCGTTAGGTTTATTTAATTAAAAGGAATTTTATTAACGGCGACCAAAAACTTAACATTGACATAACATGAAATTACTTTGTTTTTTCTAATTTCAGTCATAACATTATAAATCACCAACACACGGAAGAAGCTTACAATGAGAAAAAGTTTAAATGTGGCACATATCTATCATCAATTACATAATGATTAATTAGTTTGCGTAAGAAAATTGACATGAAAAGTTTTGGTTTTCAAATTTTTACAGACGTTTTACATTCGTTCCTTCAGCAAACAATATTATAGAAGGTAAAATATAACCAAATTTTTTGCAATAAACGGACAAATTTCAGAATCTTTTAAATTGTAACAAAACTCTAAAAATCCAGGTAAGTTGCAAATTACATTTTACAATTAGGGAAATTTTGAAATAATAAAAAAGAAACCAAGCGACTTCTGTTGTGATGTTGCAAAACAAACGATGCAAATTTGTGCCTCGAGGACAAGAGCGGTGTCGTAGATAGTAAATAATCAGAATATAACTATGTACAACTTTCTCAATACATGTTTAATATGATTCAGATTAAACGAATAAAACAATTTTCGTCCTAAAGCGTTGATATTTACAATCAATAAGTAAACCTTTAATATCCAAAATTAAAATATATAAGCAGTCAGATTTATCATATGTCAATTTGTAACGAAACTCATAGGAATGTATTTTGACAAATGAAAAACAGATCAGTACTAATAAGTTATAGAAACCAAGCTAAACACAGTCTAAACTGTTAAAAGTATCGTACATAATCTATGTTAGCATAATAACTATGCTAAACGCTTAAGAATAGATACAAATATTAATAATAATTTAAGATATAAACAGGTCCCACGTATTCATTGTTCATTATGATCTCAACTAAATATTTCAGCAAAATAAGCATTACTATCTTTATAATGAGAAATTTTTTGCGAAAATATATGTGACTCCGGGTGAATAATAATTTTCCTAGTAGTGTAAATATGAGTGAAACATTTCAACAAATCTCAACAATTTCATGATAAAATCAAATTTGAGTAAGCTTCAGCTGTTAAAATATTTATGATGAACTCAATTCATTTGAAAAGCCTGGACAACTGACACGTTCAAACGCTACCAACACAACCTTATACACAGCTTGAAATGATAAACAGAAGCATTTGAAAGAGAATGCAGCGTGAAAAAAACTTTGTTAAATCATTGAAATGAGAAAAAAATTATAAAAATAACATTACGCCACTATGGCATAAAACATCTTAAATTATTGAGAAAAAAACAAAATAACAGATAGACCATTTAAAACATTAAACTATTGATTTCATAAAATGTGTTGGTTATGAATGGCATGGAGACAGGGCAGGACTCATTGATGCAGCAGTCCATAATAATCAGACGTGGAAACTTTCTTTCACACCTTCTGACTGCCAATTTTTCTTCTGAGGTTTGTAGAGTCCGAAACATGTACACTCACAGAAATCGATGAAATTCTGAATGTAACCTTGACTGAATTTAACAAAGAATTTTATTATTAAATAAATAAATTAGTAATTCATTTACATTTCATTTTAGGCTAATAATAAGACAAGCATGTCTCGTACATTTTAAAACTCTGCCATTTAACAGACCTTTATCAAGACCGTGATAGAGTGGGTATTATAGAAAATGAACTGCCTTATCGTTTTAAAAATTGTAGTAATGTTATTAGTTCTTTGTAAAATTAAAAGCATTTTAAAAGTTTATGTAAATGCTAACACCACTGAAGCGTACGTAAACATGGTACTCCATAAATGTTCATAATATTATTATTGTTACGCGATCCTAATAACAGTACAGGCACATATGATGATACATAATTCGTTATAGTATGTCTGCATGCAAATGTTAAGACCCTTTAACTGATGCTACAAGCTTGCATCATCATGATGACACATTGATGAAAAATGTTAAGAAAGTAAAATAAATAAATTAGTCAAGAAATAAACAAACTGGAAAGGGCTGTCATAGAGGCCTGGAACATCCGTCTTGAAGTGTTCATACCTGCAACAGTGCGGTGGATAGGTACATATTTAAGTTCGCGTTTACATTTAAATAAAACACGTCTAATTACCAAAAATTAAATAAAAAATAAATAAATAAGAGATAATGAACAAATAAATGATATACAAATAAAGTAACTATAAAAGACAGCTCCTGACAGTTACAATATTTCTAACATAAACATAAAGTACTGGAAGCAGCTGGAGAGCTATAAGAAAACAACCAGGTCTAGGTTGAACAAAACGAACAAACGTTAAGAGTATATTCAGAAGTAGTCAAGGGTAAAGTATTGCTGATAAAGAATTGGGCCTGCCCTACAGCGATGCCCACGTAAAAGGGGGCGGCGACGTCATATTGACAGCCCAGAAGCGGCAGATTTTCAAATCCGCCTCTGCTGTTACGCAAACTTCAAGGGCCAATGATACACAAACTCCAGTTAATGATACCAATGGTGGCGATAATTTTACGCTTGTTTTATCTAAGAATAAATATGCACGTGTAAATTCTCCTAATACCAGCCAACAAAATATTAAATCAATTCCTATAAAAAAAAACTACAAATGGTAACAGAGTAGCGGCGCTATCCAAAATATCTGCAAGCAAAGTAATATTGAAAAAACGATTTTTTTCACATCAGTAACGTCACAAGATGCTCTAGTGATGACATAATGGGTCATCTGAAACCAGTAAATTTAGAGGTAATATCGTGCCACTCTGCTCTGAAAAAAAGTAGTAATGAGTCGTCAAATAAAAATGACTTTGCACGTAGTCCACACATAGTCTACCTCATTCAGACTATGTGTGGATAGTAAATTTTCCAAAATTATCAAATCTTTTGACACCTGGCCTGAGGACATTCGTCAGGGATTGACTTTTTAGCATGTAATCAGCGGACAACTCTGTAATAACAGAATCAATAGAAAAGGTGTTGGTACAAGTTTCTTAATCTCCAAAATTGCCATTTAACAGACAATTTTGTAAAATTTTGTATGACAATCTAAAAAATGATAACTTATATACAAATGATTTCTTTGAATGGTCAGGGATAAGAACCAAGTTTAACAATATTTATTATATTGTCTGTATATACAAGCCACCCAATACTAATTTTAACAAATTTATTGAATCACTAAATGATTTACTAAGTAATATTTTAAAATTAAATAGCCATTCTCATTTGCACATTCATGGATATTTCAAGGTGAACCTGACAGTTAATAATGGCACAAAAAATTAGAGCATTATAGAGTAAGAGGTGCGCAGCTAAAATGGTTTAAAACATGACTGACGGAATGTTTTCAATTCGTGAGAATTGGTGATTGTATATGTAGTAGTCTGCCTCAGGAAAGAGGTGTCTTGGGTCCCAAATTGTTGCTAATTTACATTAATGGCCTATTCAATGCCACATCTTCATCCAATTTTTAAAAACTGATTATACAATCATAAAAATGGTCGATAATTTCAAGTTGCTAGGAGAATAAATATATTAAATTAAATTTCGAAGACCACATAACGTATACAGCAAATGAAATAAATCGAAATATGGGGATAAGAATCTAAAATTAAGATAAGATCAAGACTCTCCTACAGAAAGTATTCCAAATATATTATATATCGCTTTAATTTATTTGCACGTTTACTACTGCAATTCAATATGGGGAAATACTTATAAATCATATTTATTAAAATTATTTAATTATCAAAAAAGTTTTTCAAAGTAAATAAATTTAGAAGAAAACTAAACAAAAGACGTTTTAAACAAGCTAAAAATGTCATTAATTTTTTAAATTAATTATTTTAAAACTTGTTGTTTCATTTACAAAGTACATTACAATGTATGAATGTGCGTATAAGTGTGTCATCAGTAAGCTTATGTTCATTTTATTTTAAATGTTGAATTCACTTTTTTTCATATTTATCACAACCTGGTATGAAAAATGCTTATTCTGGTTTCATCACCATTTCAAGGCACATTATTTGTTTGTTCAATTAACATTGGTCATAAAAGTGTTAAACACATTTATTGTCTGCTGTTTTTTTTTACAATCATTTTTATTATTTTTGTGTTTTAAGCTTTGAAGTAGGGATTGATTATGATTTACATAAGATTCATCTTTTTTGGTCCCCTTTTATACACATTGTAGTGAGTAAATAGACGAATAAATATCAAATAATAAATTAATAATATAATAAACAAATGAGTAAAAATGATATGAACAAAACTCTCCAACCTGGAAACATTGATTCTTTCATTTGTTGTTGCAGCCAGCACGACCACCTGTCATTCATTTTTGAAATTCATCATAACAATTCATCGATAATAGTTGTCGTTATCAACATTACAGAAATCAGACACGCCGTCATTCTTCGTCGCCAAGTATGAAGAACTAGTTAGTGAGATAAAACAGTGCGGGTTAATGCATTTGTTGTACGCAGTTGAGGCTGGTGCAAGAGGTGTTGTGGGTTGTTCAGAATACAGCTTTTTGAAGGATTCGGGTTTGGCGGGTAAAAGATGTAGTTGTATGAAGAACATAGAACATACAGATGAACAAGCGTCTTACTGGATATGGTTATGTAGAAAGAACAAAGAATGCGAGTTTAAATAGTTAACGGACAGGTTTGTATGTAACTCACATCGTATGGATATAACTCGCATCGTGATGTGATTATATGTAAACTTTCTGGCAGGCCTACACAGTTTTTGAAAGAGGTGATTTCAAAAGCGAGGCATTGTTCAGCAAGAGACATCCAACTGATTACTGGAAGTGACCTTTACTCGAGAGTGTCAGATAGTTAAAGGACCGAAGTTAACGGAAACTCCTCTCTGAAGAATCTTGCTGAACGCTCGTCATGTTCGAGTTTCTAAATAAATCATTTTTTTAAAACTATCCTCATCCATCAATCAACCATATCAGTATGTCAGCAATATTCACTATTTATATCATCAAAAAATTCTGAAAAAAGCATGCCTTAACAAACAAATATAAGCACACACACATACGCACGCATACATGCAAACAAACACACACATAAAAACACACGCACATAACAAAAAGCACAATAGAACAAACTTGATAGAGCTGACAGACGAGAAGGATTCCAACCCAAAGAAAGTGGAGAAGAGCATTGACTGCAACCCAGGCCACCCACGGCGCACAGAAGCAGGAATTGTACAACGTCCACATCAGTCCATTCACTTTTGTGTCCCAATAACATGTTGACGACATATCTGAGAGGGATGCGTGTGTAAATGTATATTTGTAAAAGACTCTGTGTGTGTGTGTGTTTGTGTGCGTGCGTACGCGTTTTGATAGTTGTGGATCTAAATGTGGCATGATAAAAACTAAAAAATTGACCTATGAGCGCCTGAATACAAATAATATCGCAGTTACGCAGATATGTATATAAGGACCATTCATAATAACAGATTGTTAAAATTCTTCCAAACTAGAATCCTTTCAAAAAAACTTGATGAAAAGAAGAAGCAATCATAATAACTGTTCGTTAACGCAACGCCGAATAAGATAACAACAATTTTATTGTTTTTATTATGACAAAATCAATGATAGTGACAATAAATTTGATGCAACGAAAACAGCAGGCAATGATGAGAATGATGTAACCTCTGTTGCTTGTCATGGCGTTTCGAAAACGCCTTTAACATTGTAATAATAATAATAATAATAATAATGATTGTTATCATTATTACTATTATTATCAATCAATCTTCATTTAGCGTCCAGAGTCCCAGTTTCCCAAGGTAGGACGTTGTTTTCCTTGCCATCAACTTTTTGCGCCAAATAAGACGATCAGTTGTATCCATTTCATTTAAATTTAGAGCTTTCATGTCTTGCTTGATTGTTTGCGACCAGAGTTATTATTATAATAATAATTATTATTAAAAAACAACAATGACCACTAACAGACATATGCGCCATAAATGCACCAGTTGATCATGAGGAAGAGAAAAAAGAGGTATCCAACAAAGTATTTGTGGTTGTTCATTCCTAAAGAAAATTTACAAAGAAATTCTGTTTGCTTTTGTGTATGTATACATGTGTGAAATAACGTGTGCATTCATGACATGTGTATACGTATACACACACATGTATTTCATATGAAAATGTTTCACCCAGTTATTTGAAATGTAATGCTAACTCCATCCATTGCGTAAAAGGGCAATACAATGCAATACAAATTAGAAATAACACTAAAACAAATTAATACAAAAGATGATGAACATACCAGCATGAACCATGAACACACGAACAAACACACACACATAGACGAATACACACACACACACACACACACACACACACACACACACACACACACACAAACGAATACACAGCCAGCCAGCCAACCAACCGATGCAGTTGCCGACCCATGGACAGTGATGATCAAACTTGGCAACGCACTTGTTACATATTGCACAGTGTTTCGATCTGTGTGGTGTGATATGTATGATTTACTTTAATTTAAAATAAAAGCCATCGTTAAATGTTATTTTTGCTTGGTGAAGATTTAATTTTACTATAATACACTATTAAATAAATACAAAATAAACAAAATAATAACAACAATAACCATGCCATTTTATATAGCGACATGGCAAGCGGCTTAGGTGCATTATTATTATTATTATTATTGCAACGAACAAACTATGTATAAATAATTAAATACACGTGAATTAATGCATCACACTTTTTTTGCATGTGATAGGCGGAGATCTCTTTTGATTCGAACCCGGATACTCCATCAACAATGCCAGGCACCTTAACCATTACACTATCGCGCCGCCAAATAATATCAATAACAATAATAATAATAAAAATAATAAAGTTGACGTAAAATGAAAATAACGTAATCGTGAGTAACGGTTGTGGTGGTCTGAAAATATTCTAAACCCAAACATGAAGCACAGACAGACAGACCGTGAGATGAACGAATTCAACAGTACAGAAAATAATTCACAAACCATCCAACCTAGGAAGTATAGTAATTAATTAGGGATGTCATACCTTAGTGGTTTTCTTAGGATGCATGTGTGGCAGAACTGACTGAAGTTCAGTGTCTGTCGTTCGGATAGATCTAATATCGTCTGTATTTTTTAAAACAACGAAATTATTTGTTACACAGTTATAAATGAAATTTAAAAAAGTTACGAATGAACTGACCTTATTTTTATAAATATTTCGTAAAAGTTTTCAGCATACTCAACAAATTTCCTAGTGCAAATGACAACGTTAAATTTCATAAAATATTTCAAGAAATATACAAAAATTGAAGATATTTACGGCTTCAAAATTACCACAAACCCCTTATCACCTATTCAGATAAGAATATTTTACAAAAAATCTACTGAAGACTATGGATAAATGGGTAATTTTTGAATGGTAAACTTAACATGATGATGTTTGAAATAAATAACAACCACAGGTTTGTGTTTAATTAGTTGTTCAGTTTGTATGTTTTTTATTGTTTGTAAAAAATTTTAGTTAAAATCTTATTTGGAAGCAAACTTGATACGGTAAACAAAATCAGCGTTATTATTTCCTATCTATCGCGATAAATTTGGATTTTGATTAGTTTAATATGAAATTTTTAAAAAATCTGTGACCTGACGTTTTTCTTCTATGGATTGTTTGATGTAACCAGGGTCGGTCTTGAAGACGTACCAGAAATTGCGGACGAGATATGCTGATGTTAATAGGAAAAGCATGTGCAGAAGTGCAGAGTCAACATCTGGAAGCCAACGTTTTTAATAACTTATTTCACTTGATATCCACACTTCAAATCACTAAATCACATAACGCTACGTTAGACTGTAAGCACAAAAATTATGAAAAAAATCCTAAAAAATTGAAAATAATACAAATAGACTAACAAGTGAAGAAGAAGAAAATCCACGTGAAGTACATCCAGAACTTAGTGGCAAGATACAATGACAGCATCAACTTGTCCGTGTGGAGATGGTTGTTACCTATGAAAAACCTGGTTGTTTTTTTGAGCATTGCTTTCTATTGATAAATATGAGGTTTGCCAATTTTTTAAAAGGTTTTAAACGCAATCAAATTTTAAAAAATGTTTAAATACAATGCAATTTCTGTTAGGACTATGACAACAGCTTCTCAAACCTATATCCTCACATAATAAAGAAGTTAACAAAAACTAAAGACAATAAAATAAACATTCCTATCAAAATTTCCAACAAAAAGAAAGTGTACAGTTACATAAAGTATTTCTTCATTTACAAGGTAGAAACACACAGCCTTCAAAAAAACATTGCAGGAACATCATTTTGCCCAACACGAAAATTTTAAATTAATTGGGCAAGCATTGCATCTAGCCAAAATGTAAATGTTATAGAGATCGTTCTGAGAGATAATCAGCGATAATGACACTAACTCTTTGACAATTTTCCAAACGTAGAATGTCAATATGAAGAAGAGGAGTTTGAGCCACCAAGAATATGAACATTGAAATGTCAGCCCAATCAGCATAAAGCAGAAAGCAGGTAACAAATAGATCGCTGCTGATCTAACTTTCTGTTGAGTAATTTTTTAAAAATTGAACGTATAAAATTTAGTAACTTTTTTTAAACAATAATTTCATTCAAACAATGACTCCATTTGATGTCAACCAGATCACACTGAATCAATCATGACATCAACCATGACAAAAGTGGTAGCAATTGAAAAATGACTCCTCACAAAAACGCACCACACCAAAGAACAGACATACCACACTACACAACAAACTTGATTGTGCTTGATCTTCATCTTCAATGAAATACTGCTCTCCAGACCAAGTTCAGCAGCTTTTATTTCCAATTTTTCCCTTATTTTTATATCATTCAATCTTTTGGATATGTCCAAAGGTTTCTCACCCTGAATATTTCAAAAAAAAAAAAATTGACTTATCATCAGTCATAATAAGGAGGTTAACAGATTTTTAAAATAAGCACAGTCACAATAAACTGCAACATTCATACCTTCTAACTCCACACATAATATTTATTTTTTAGATCACCCACCAGCAAACAGCCAAAATCAACTTTTCACAACTTGTGGTGTACTAAAAATTCAACTATTCAAATATCTCCAAAATGCAGTCTATATGCCGCACAGCGTACGTTACTCACAGCTCATATTTGAATGACAACAATATTAAATGAACCAAATTTGCGGAATAAACTGAGTTGAGATATGTGGAAGGGATGCAAAAAATCCAAATATATCATAATTTTTAAAAGTTGGCATTAGAAAATTTACTATTCTATAAAAGGGCATAATTGGATTCTTTCTTTCTTTCTTTTCTCATGCCTTATCCTTTCAGGACATTGGCGACCATCGACCTCTACAAAACCCGATCTTTAACACTTTGTAGTAGTTGAAATGTGGTAATAACCAGAGAAAACCATAATTGGATTACACAGTGAAAAAAATTAATCATTTAATAAAATTTCGCAGATCTTATAAAACAACATAATAACACAATTGAAAGATAAATTAGACTATACAAAAAGTTGATATGTGCATACAAAAGCATAATTGAAAGTGCAATTAAAACAAAGAAACAGGAACAAACGTGATATATTAAGATACCAGCAGACTAAATAATACACAAACATACAATTAAAGAAAGATAAATATACAAAACGATAAAATTAAATTAAGGTAATATAAACGCATACGATAATACAATTAAATAAAATAATACAAATGTACAGTTAAAATGATGACAAACAAAAAAAAAACAAAAAGAAACAAGTACATATGCATACACAATATGTGAACACCTGAACATTCGTACAAATAAAATCATACAATGAAAATTACACAAACATTAGACTAAACAAACAGGCAGACAAAGAAGAAACATACGGACAGATAAAAAAACAGACAGACAGACAGAGAAACAGACAGTCAGACAGATAGACAGTGACCAGTCCATACCTTATTGTTGACCATGTATATATCTGACCCTGACTCTAACAAATGTATGATGGCAATATAGTTGCCAGCAATGCAGGCCCAGTGCAGGGCTGTGTTGGCGTTTGAGTTGTCCTTCAGGTTAACGTTGGCTCCAAAGGTCAATAACAATCGGGTTGGGTCGATGCTATTTATTTGTAATTTATTTCTACTGATAATTTATTTCTATTGGCAGGTTAATTTTTTATACTTTTATTATAGTCAATAAACAATAAATTAATATCAAACTGGAATTATATCAAAATTATTATTCATAGGGTTGATTCAATTATTTTTTTTCTACAAATAATAGCACACAATATGACGACCATTCAATAAAATTTACACTTGCATTAAAATAACTAGAAAATATTTCGCAGAAAATATTCAATTGTTGGCATAATTATTCTTAAGGTTAATGTTTAAAAAACATCAAAGGGACTCAGGGCAATACAAATTTACATTCAGATACAATTCTAAATAAGTGGATTAGTGGAATTTTCAGTTTATTGCTAGTTAGAACTTATACTTATATACGAATTGATGAGAATAGCCCAACAACAAATTCAAACAACATAGCTTGCCCAAAAATTAATATATAAACTAAGCCATAGAAATACAAGGAAAAAAATGATAAAACAAGAGAATAATGGTATCCAACTAACTTGCTGACTCTGTATGAGGACCACATGATAGGGGTCATCCCATATTGATCCCTTATATCCACATCTTGGCCTTGTGAAGTATTAATTTATTAGAAATTTATTGAAATATATTTGTGTTGAATGTAATGGTGATAACAAAGAAGTAAATTGTTTGGAATATTTTTGTGAATTATAGTATGTTATTAATAAATAAAAAATATGAACCTTTAGCTATGAGGAAAGCGACAATAGCTGTGTGGCCAAACTGAGCCGCGAGATGTATGCCAGAGCAACCTGATTTTACATGTGACATGTTATTTAATGGGATTGTTACACCGTATTAACAGTTAATAGTAAATGAGCTTTAACAACTACATGAAGTTAGATGTATGGGAATAAGATTTAAATCAATTTCAAACAAGGATGATTAACTTGTTTAGAACAGATTACACAAAGAACTGATAAAGTGTGAAATACATGGTGAATTTAATGGTAACATTTTCTAAACTACAATGTTACTAAATTATATCAACTCCACAAAGAGTAAAATACTAACATTAACGTCAGGATATATTGAGAAAGTAATGACATTCTAATAACATTAACATAAGATATCAGGAGGATGTTAATGTCAGGAGATATTGAGAAAGTAACAACATTCTAATAACATTAACATAAGATATCAGGAGAATGTTAATGTTAGGAGATTTTGAAAAAAATATATATCAACTCCACAAAGAGTGTGTTAATGGTAGTAGTAACATAAAATACTGTTATAATACTCGCTGTCGTAACCGATTTACGATGCGACGGGTTCAAATCTTCGATTGAATAAAATACTCCAAACAGTTATTAGTTATTAAACTTTATTTACAGAAGAAATCAACTAATCGTTTATTTCCAGCAAATTCAAACTAACGCAACAATTAACTTTTAAATTGTTCAAAATCTATCGCTATGACAACGTCAACAAACAAATCAAATATCGCTTTAAATAATTCACCGAATCGCTATCCATAAAATCACGAATTTCACTAATCACGAATCTTCTTGCGACGTGCGCTTATATACTCTTCGCAAGCGTCGTTTCTAGATTCTTCTAAATGGTCCGATTCTAGCATACTCTAGAATGCTCCAGTCACTAGAACATTCTAGAATACGCTAGAATCTAGTGCGTTCGGTAGCACGGTTATAACATTACCCCCTTCTTAGTTCTGTTCGTCCCGAACAGCTTTCGTTCCGGTGTCCGCATGGTACTGAGCCAGTCTATCCAAATGAACGATCTTCATTCTTGCTCTCGGCTTCCGATATTCCTGGATACGGTAGACGACGTCATTCAAGCGGGTGAAGACTTGATAAGGTCCTTCCCACCCTCGCTGGAGCTTTGGAGAACGTCCTTTCTTTTGCTGTGGGTTGTACAGCCAAACTAACTCGTCGACAGCAAAACCGCCACTGCTTCCTTTTAAGTCGTGTCTGGTTTTGGCCGCCTCCGTGTTTTTCATAATTTTAAGGCGTACGTAACGGTGGATATGGTTTAATCGCTGTCGAAGATTATCTACGTATTCTGTTAATGGTTGGTGTGGTTCAGGTGATACGCCATATTTCACATCAGCTGGAGTTCTTAAGGTATTCCCAAACAGAACTTTTGTTGGCGTTTCTCCAGTAGTTGTGTGGATAGCACTCCGGTATGCCATAAGAAACAATGGTATATGACGATCCCAATCCCGTTGATTTTCGTCGACTACTTAGCCAGATGTTCAATCAGGGTTTGGTTAAATCGTTCCACCATACCGTCAGACTGTGGGTGAAGAGGTGTCGTTCGAGTTTTGTTTATACCCAGCAGCTTGCACATTTCACCAAACAGTTGTGACTCAAAATTTCGATCTTGATCTGAGTGGAGTTCCAATGGGACACCATATCGACTAATCCAATTGAGTACAATTTCCTCAGCGACGGTACATGCTTCTTGGTTGGGTATTGGAAACACCTCAGGCCATTTGCTGAAATAGTCCGCTACAACCAGAATGTAACGGTTTCCATAATCTGATACCGGAAAGAGTCCAGCAATATCTATAGCAATCCGTTCAAAGGGAACACCAACATTGTAGATTTGCATTGCTCCTTTAGCCTTCTTTTGGGTCCTTTGACTGAAGCGCATGTGTTACATTTTCGACACCAGCTCTCTACATCTTCTCTAACGTGAAGCCAGTAGAATCCTTCTCGTATTTTGTCAAGGGTCTTGTTCACTCCTAAATGTCCCCCAGAAGGGCCGCCATGCATTTCATCAAGGATTTCGGTCGTGAAGCCAGTAGAATCCTTCTCGTATTTTGTCAAGGGTCTTGTTCACTCCTAAATGTCCCCCAGAAGGGCCGCCATGCATTTCATCAAGGATTTCGGTCGTTCTACTTCTTGGTATTACAACTTGCATGCGGTGTTTTGATCCATCAGCTGATTCCCATTTTCGTTTCAGCAAATCCCCTTCCAAATACAATGAGTCCCACTGAGCCCAATAACCCTTTAACACGGTACTATATTCTGAGATGCTTTGCCAGTCCGGTCGCTTGTCCTCCTTCTTCCATGTGATCAGATGTTGTAGGTCCTCATCCGCAAACTGTGCATCAGCAAGATCCGTCGGTGTCCAACCGTCATCCGCTGATATTGTTGTTGCTCTTATGTCTTCCGATTGTATCTTCTCCTCGTGACGACAGCAATATTTGCATCCTGGTAAACATGGTCGACGTGAGAGAGCATCAGCATTACTATGAGTTGTTCTTTTGCGGTGCACGATCTCGAAGTCGTACATTTGTAAACGCTCCAACCATCGGGCCATCTGTCCTTCAAGATCCTTGAAATTGAGGAGCCATCTTAACGCTGCATGATCAGTTCGAGAAGAGATTTCTGTCCATAAAGGTACTTGTGGAAGTGTTTTGTTGCATTGACTATTGCTAGTAACTCCTTCCTGGTCACACAATAGTTTCGTTCGGGCTTTGTGAATCCTCTGCTATAATACGCTAGCACCTTTTCTTCTCCGTCTATATGCTGTGACAAAACGGCTCCGATTCCGTTGTTACTTGCATCAGTATCTAACACAAACGTCTTGCCACAAACTGGATATGCTAGCAAAGGAGCATCACATAGTTCAACTTTTAACTTTTCAAATGCTGAGTCGCATAGGGTATTCCAGTTAAAAACTCGGTCCTTCTCGGTAAGTTGGTGGAGAGGTCTGCAAAATCCTTTACAAAACGTTGATAGTACGTTGCCAATCCCAGAAAACTGCGCAATTCATTTTTATCCTTTGGAGTTGGCCAGTCTTTTACAATTTCTATCTTGCTGGGATCGGTTCGAACTCCATCTGAAGATACCACATGTCCCAAATAGTTAACTTCTTTAAAAAATAACCTGCACTTTTTAACGTTCAGCTTTAAATTTGCCACCCGAAGTCTTGTGAAGATCTCCCGTAAGTTTTCGACGTGTTGATCAAATGTTCTTCCTAGAACAATTATGTCGTCTAAATAGACAAGACAGGTTTTCCAGTTAAGACCTTGCAATACACATTCCATCAGTCGTTCGAATGTAGCTGGAGCATTGCACAATCCAAATGGCATGACGGTGAATTGCCACAACCCCGATCCGATAGAAAACGCTGTCTTTTCGTGATCGTTCTTGTCGATTTCTACTTGCCAGTATCCGCTTTTCAAATCAAGCGTAGAGAACCAACTTTAGCCAGATAGGGTGTCCATGATGTCATCAATCCTCGGTAACGGATAGCTGTCCTTTTTAGTCACATCATTTAACTTCCTATAATCAACGCAAAAACGGGTAGTGCCGGCCTTCTTCTTTACCAAAACAACTGGCAAAATCCAGGGACTTGATGACGGTTCGATGATGCCTTGATTCTGCATTGTCGTTATCATTTCGTTTACTTCTGTTTGTTTTGCTAGAGGAAGACGTCGTGATACTTGTCGGATCGGTTTCGAATCCTGAGTATCAATTCGGTGAGTTACCAGAGCTGTTTTACCTTGATCACTGGCACCGGTTGAAAACACGTCTGCAAAATCAGCAATCAACGCCTCGGCTTTTAGACGGTCTTCTTGATACAAATTAAGTTCATCCAGATTTTTGGTAAGTTCTTTGAGTCTACCTTTGTCAGTTGATAGAACCTTTTCCTGTTGCTCCATATCTAATGATTTCACCAAATTTATTGATTGGCAATTACCTATTTCCTCGCCTTTTTTAATTTTAATAGTGTGTTTAGCGGTATTCATTATTCTGACAAGAATAAGATCATTTTTGTTCGCTTCTACCAGGCATTTTCCAATGACCGCGTTCTGTACATTTGTCGTTGAGGTTGGCTCCATCAAATAGAACTGGTGGCCCCCAGGATCGCAATTCAACTTGCCCCATACGATGTTTTCAGATGATTGAGGTAGTTCTTTGTCACAATCGACTGTCACTCGAATGCATTTTTCGTCGCTATCCCCCATTATCACTTCTGTATTTCTCCATCTAAGAATGCGTTTTTCTAGGTCAATTTTGAACCCATATTTTGTCAGAAAGTCGACACCTATTATGCATTCGTCGATGATATCCGCGACTAAGAATGAACCTTCGAATAACAAGTCGCCTAGCTGAACAGTACGGAGAATCTTTCCATAGACTGGTGCTGTTCCTCCGGTAGCTGTTCGAAGGATGTATTTGTTAGAAGTCTCTTTCTTCAGATTGGGTACCAAATCAGATCTTAAAATCGATTTTGTTGCTCCGGTGTCGACTGTAATTACACATTCTCGTTGATCAACTTTTCCGTTCAGCCATAGGTCGTTTCGATTTCGATGTAGTCTGGAAACGTTAATTACGGTACTGGGGGGCGTCAATTCTACTAGCCAACCTCTGCCCCACAAAGTTGGCTCTTATTAGCTTTTCCGCCTCTTCTAACGAAGGGGCCGATCGTGATACAGGATCATCTTCTCTTCTTTTGCGCCATCTTGTCGCGCAATTTCGGCAGTAGTTATCTTTTAGGCGGTGTTTACAATCACGACGTAGATGGCCTTTTTCACCACAAATCCAGCATTGGGGTACACCATGCTGTTGGGGTTCGCGTTTCACAACCACCTTCTGGTTAGAAGGGGCCGATCGTGATACAGGATCATCTTCTCTTCTTTTGCGCTATATTGTCGCGCAATTTCGGCAGTAGTTATCTTTTAGGCGGTGTTACAATCACGACGTAGATGGCCTTTTTCACCACAAATCCAGCATTGGGGTACACCATGCTGTTGGGGTTCGCGTTTCACAACCACCTTCTGAAAAGAGCATTCTTCATGTACTTGGCGTAGACGTACGTCACTTTTTGATGCTTACTTTGCCGATTCAAAAGTGAGACTGTGCGCAACGGCATCCTTGAGATTTCGTTTATCTGACAAGAGAAGGGATTGCTTGAGTTCCGAATCACGAAGGGCTTTGATAAACGTATCCAGGGCAGTTTCGTCTCTATGCTCGGGGTCTGATGTCGGATACGACAGCAATGTCAACCGTTCCATATCTTGTGCCAGCTGCTGAATGGATTCACCAGATCGTTGCGTTCTGTTTCTAAGCTGAGACCGATAAATCTGTTTCATGTGTTCTTCACCATAACGTAAATCCAACGCGCTAACCAGAACTTCATAGTTGAAATGGTTCTCCGCCGGAATCGTCTGAAGAACCTCTGCTGCTGAACCTCGCAGGGCCAGTATCAGTGCTGTTGCTCGTTCTTTTCCGTTCCAACAGTTACTAGTTGCCGCTGCTTCGAACTGGGTTTTATAAACGTTCCAGGACATCTCTCCGTCAAATGCTGGTACCTTCAAAGTTCTTCCGGATGCGTGATCTAACGGCATGGCCATTTTTTTGGATTGCTCCAATTCTCGCTTCAATTTGTCTATCTTGTGATCTACCTCAATGGTCTGACGATCAAGTTTCTGCTCGATCATTTCTATTCTTGTTGACTGTTCTTCAATCTGTTCTGCCACTTCCAATTTTACGTGTTTTAACTCCTCTGTCTGTCGTTCGGGCTGTTCCTTGATCTGTTGTTTTAACTCTTCTGTCTGTCGTTCGGACTGTTCTTTGATCTGTTGTTTTAACTCTTCTGTCTGTCGTTCGGACTGTTGTTCGGACTGTTCTTTGATCTGTTGTTTTATTTCAGTTGACATACTAAGCAGACGTTCCATCATTTTAGCGGTTGTAAACGTGCCTGTGCTAATTTCATTGTCTTCGTCAGCACCATCAAACTTGAATTCGTCTGGGTTCTTACCTTCGTCAATGAGAGCTTCTCTCAGACGTGCTACTAGTACTTCTTTGTTGCCACTTGTGACAAGACTTCGTTTCTGTAGTTCTTCTCGTAGCTGAACTTCGTTCAAACCACACAGTTTTTACATCGTGTTCTTTTTCTATGAGTAGTAATTCGCTAGTCGAAGATCACACTTCTGACACCAATGTTATAATACTCGCTGTCGTAACCGATTTACGATGCGACGGGTTCAAATCTTCGATTGAATAAAATACTCCAAACAGTTATTAGTTAACAGAAGAAATCAACTAATCGTTTATTTCCAGCAAATTCAAACTAACGCAACAATTAACTTTTAAATTGTTCAAAATCTATCGCTATGACAACGTCAACAAACAAATCAAATATGCTTTAAATAATTCACAATCGCTATCCACAAAATTACAAAATCACGAATTTCACTAATCACGAATCTTCTTGCGACGTGCGCTTATATACTCTTCGCAAGCGTCGTTTCTAGATTCTTCTAGATGGTCCGATTCTAGCATACTCTAGAATGCTCCAGTCACTAGAACATTCTAGAATACGCTAGAATCTAGTGTGTTCGGTAGCACGGTTATAACAATACTCTAATTAATGTCAGGAGATATTGAAAAAATAATGACATTCTAATAACATTAACATAAGATATCAGGAGGATGTTAATGTCAAGAGATTTTGAAAAAAATAACAAAATCAAGTGAAGGCAAGCAAGGCAAACCTTCTCCATCAAACAACGATGGATCTGCACCGTGCGACATCAGCAATACAACCATTGCAAGGTGGCCCTGTCTGGAAGGATGGTGTCATCATTTTCAACATCTTACCACCATTTATTTAGTCATTCAATTATTTATTCGCTTACTTATTTATTATTTATAATTATCATTCAATATTGTGTAAGTTTGTCTTTAATTTCGTTTTCATTTGTTATCAGTTTTAGTGGCCATCAACTTGCGATTTGGTATTACATAAAAACTGACCATGTTTACATATTAATGAAAATTTAAAAAAAATATTGATGTTATAGTCATTTGTTTATATAATCTGATAATATCCTTGAAAAAAATAATTCAAATTATTTTTTTATTGACTAGGCCAAATTTTTTGTTGAGAATGATGTTTTTGTAACTACCTGACTGCCCAGTGCAGTGGCGTGGAGTTGAGGTCCCCTCCGAATCTATCCACTATGGCTCCTTTAGATATCAAGTACCTTTAATTAACGCAATTAATTTTTTAAATTCAATTAATTTAAATTGTAGTTCCTTGTAAACTGATGTGGAAAGTAGAATGCTGTTGGTTGAATAGAAGCATTTGATTTAGTAGAGATTGAATGAAAAAAAAAATATGGTTAGGTGTTGGTCAATCTATGAACTAAGCAAGGATCATGATATTATTTAAGAAACGACATAACATGAAATAACATGAACATAATTTATAAGTTTGGTAAAATCAAAAACTGTATTATCTTATGATAAATATTTAATTGGATAACCAATGTTAAAAAAGCAACTTGTTAATATTGAAATTACAACTTAAATCTAAAAATTAAAAAGAATTATTAAGATATTTAGTAAGCCAAACCAACTTGACAATTTCTGATCTGTTATTGATTGCTGCCCAATGCAAAATTGAAACATTCTCATGATCCATTTGGTTGACATTGTGACCCCGCTCAACGAGGTACACAATCCTATCATAAATACCATACTGAGCTGCCCTAACAATGTCAAAGTTGTCTGTGCTACTGTTTGAAATGCTGGCAACAGGTGGTGAGGCTTTTTCTATTGGGTCTCTTTCGTCTGAATAATCTTCTCTTTTCTTTAATAATGTTTAAAAATTAAAATGACATCAGATAGAAATAAAGTTTATTCATTTTCTTCACCAAAGATTTTAAAATCCATTGTTTATAATTTTTATTACTTCATAAAAAAGACTAAAATAGAATTTATATTTTACTTTCATAATAATTATAATGAATATCAATATATTATTACAGATAGAGAGAAGAAAAATTTAATAAATAAATATTGTAAATATATAAATATAATAAATATACAAATGATATTTAGTTAAATTTTAAAACATTTAATTCTTAATTTTAAAAATATTAAAAATCTAAGCAGTAAATTATTTATTTATTTTTATATGTCCTAAGAAGCCAACCCAACCCAACCTACCCCTATGATAAACGCATCAGCAGGCCCACAAGTGACTTCTTCACTCATCTTGCTACTTGTGCTTCTCTTCTACTTTAAAAACAAGAAAGTAGACCAAAAAACTAAAAATGCAACTATAGTTAAAAAAGGAATCACATCAAATCAGTTTGATTATGCACCATTCAGGCATTTATTTATTTATAATATAAATTTTATATACTTTTATAGTTTATTATTTAACTGTCTTTTTTTTCCAGCAATTAGTTTAGTATTGTTTAGAGAGTAATTTTATTTGCCTATTCTAATCTAATCTAATCCTAAAATGTCTTTTTAAATTAAATTAAAATATTAATTTTAAATTTACTTTTTAAAAAGAAATGTTTATCTACCTACATCTAGCGTCTAGCCAATCAACTTGCTGTGGTGAAGCAACTAAATCTCTATAAGACTACAACGGACGACTTTCGAAACATTTCGCGTGACTTTCTTTCAAAATGACAAAAATTTTAATTTTCGTCAAATCAAACTTAAATCTCGGGAGATAATTAAAAAAAAGTAAGGTGCAACTAGGCGCCGCACACACGACGAATGTTTGGCTGATAGGAGCTAACAAGCAGATTGACTGATTTTGTTTTGCACAAATGTTTGAAGTTTGCCACAAACCATGCACCTTAACTGCGAAAAAGATTAAATTTGTGTTACATTTTGTAAGTTTGACTAGAAAAGTAAAGTTAATTTAGAAGTTAAACTATAGTATTCGTAATTGTTATTCATCATACACTTAGAATTTAAAACGTCGTTTTTGTTTTAGGAAAAACATGTAATATGAAAATACATTAAAGTAAAATTAGTTCAAATTCTATGACCAAAAGCATAAATCTATGATAGGAAAAAATTTAAGCTGAATGAAGTTGACAAGAAACCGCACATGTGTTTACCACATCATAAAGAGCTATGGAAATAATGAAAATGTATGAAATGGGTAGAATTTTCATTATAAAATAAGCTATAGAAAAGCATTTCACATTTGATTGATATTGATCTGCTCTGCAGTGTTTAGTGCATACGATAACAGAGACAGACTGAGATGGTGCAGGTCGCATATCAAAAAAGGCAAAAGTATAAAGTATAGATGAAAATATAAAACGTGTTAATCATTTAAACTATATATAAAAATAAAAAAAGTCGAAACCGCAATGTTATAGAAATAATATAGAAAAAGGGACTAAAGATTTTAGAAATAATATTCTATAAAATAGATGTTGGAATTCTTTCGGAAAAAGAAACTAAAAGATAAAGTTGCATGGCAAGATGGTGGAATAATCAAATTAACTGGTGCCGTTGTTGCGAAGAAATCCCAGCATTACGTGTGATGCGTCAATTTTCCTCTTAAAAATAAATAAGAGTAAATCAACATCACAATAATAACAACAATATAAAATAACGAATTAACATTTAATAAAGCTTCTTGAAAAACAAAATATATTTCTGATGAAATCAAAATTATGACTTTTTTTAGCATAATTGCATATCGCCAAACGACAGGTTAAAACATTCTGCTAGGTCACTGCATTACAATAATAAAGAACAGTGGTGTACTTCTGTCATTGGTGTGGTTTTGCAATCACATGAATATTACAAATGCTTGACTTGTTACTATCGGCCTGGAAGCATAATTATATTGTTGTAATCCTGAACAGACGTTACAATCAACACAATGTTATAACTTCAAAGATCTCTATATTTCTAACGCCAGTGTCGTAGCTTCCAACGATCGTCAAGTGTTCGTTATTCCGTAGGTTTTAGATCCATGGTGCAGGGCTTGGTATGTTGTCTGCAACCACTGAACAAAGTTTTATGCTGAAATTGTATGAAGAGGTCTGATATTCTATGTCCATTAACAAATGTTGAAAATTATTATGATGATAAAAGGATTATTTTTTTAATATTTTAACTTGTGTTTTATATCAAAAGACACCCAAACTATCATAAATGTTCGATAGATACACACATATATTATATATTTATTTGCGAATTGTATATACCTACATGTATTGGATGTAAGTGTATTTTTTACGTAGCTATATATTATACACTAGTGTAACCAGCCATATATCTATATGTGTAATGTATGTATGCTTGTGTGTGTGTGTGTGTGTGTGTGTGTGTGTGTGTGTGTGTGTGTGTGTGTGTGTGTGTGTGTAATTGAATTGACTGTAGAACAGAAATATCGCGACCAATTAGCAAATGTGAAGTGCGTGCGTGTTCACTCATGCGTACACGGTTTATTTACACTATTAAGCTTCTTGTATGTGTACTTGTATAAAGATTATACTATGGAATTCTTTGAATTGTATAACAGTATTTCTAACATTGGAATTAATTAAAATGGTTAAATTTCGTTCAAAATATGTTACGAAAGTTCTTGTTTTTTGTTTTCTGTTATTCTTTTTTTACTTAATTTTAAAAATATTTTATTTACACAATAAAAATCACTTAGTTTTAATTCATCACAACCGAGATCGTGATCGGTTGTTTAAAGGTACAAAAAGTCATCTCATATCAAAGATTCACAAAAATGAAAAATTTAAAAAGATAAATTTGAAAGAAAGGTTTTGTCGAACGTTTGATATTGGTGGATCGATGTTCAATGAGCGAGGAAAATATGAACAACACAAACACAAAGTTACATCATGTTTGATTCACTCGTTTTCTCCACAACTGGAATACGAAGCATCCAGAAGGTTCCTCGATCCAGCTCGAGGCAACATCTATTATGCCAACAGTCCCGCTATACTATGGCACAACAACGAAATAGTGTTAGTTTCAAGAATTTGGCTAGATAGAGAAAAGTATGAAGACAAGAAAAATTGGCCAGCCAATCAGTTTGCAGACAACTGGTTGTTCTCACAGAGGTTTGATTCGAAGATGCGTCCGGTTTCCAATGGAACAATATTAGGAATACCCACTCCCAAACAATGGTGGGTAGGTGACGGGCCCATTGAACCCCGTTTGTTTAAATGTAAGAACAGACTGTTCATCTCCTTCAACACCGCAATGGCTTTCGGACAGGATAACACGATGGACTACACAGTTTTGTGGGATTTAGAAAAAAATTTACCGATAGTTCCGGAGATACTTGGAGGTTCTCCAATGATAAATGCAACTGAAAAAAACGACATGCCACGCGACAAACACTGGATGGCGCTGGTGATCGACGATGAACTTTTTTTCGTTCACAATTTGGACCCACTGCGCGTTTTAAAATGCGATTTAGATGGCCACTGCAGGTTCGTACACAGGGAAAGTGGGCCAAGTGGTTTCATATTCAGTGACGCTCATTCGCATCTTCGAGGAGGCACGCCATTCGTTTTGTACGAATATCCATACTACGCAAGCATATCCCACACAACCATGTACAAAGATAAAAATAATCACCGCTTTTACACAGCACAAATCGTCATCATCAGAGTCAACCCGTACCGAGTTGTCTACGTTAGTGACCCAATACTATTGCACAAGAAACTTTTCAAGATGTCTCCAATGATACGAAAACGATTTATTGACGAAGGTTTCATGTTTCCCGTGGGCTTAATTATAGAAGATAAAGATTCGATCGCCATTGGAGCCCACATTAACGATTTCAACAGTATTATAGTTAGGTTAAAAGGTATCAAATCCCTTATAAAAAGTGTAATATTCCGAGATGAAACAATGCAAGCCGTGCACGGACCACCGCCAGGATATTTGAATGGATATATTCACGATTTATTAGAAAATTTTACAAAAGTTGAACTTGTACATCAAGTGGTTTAGAAGTTTCAATAAAAAAACGTATCAGACGTTGTTAGTCTTTTGTTAAAATAAAGTATTCCATAAAATTATATATAAAATACACAAAAAATTTGAAATAAATTTATCGACCAAAATAATTTACAAGCAACGGCGGCAAAATCAATCATCAATCAGACAATTCATCAATTCAATGCAAAAATATTGTGACTAGCAAAAATAATATTCATCATTCGTTACTTTAGATAGCAAACTATTTTAAGATAATTTCATATCATATACACGAAAATAGGAAATTATAAATCACCGAAAAGCAGGAACCGATAAACATGCAACGCGCAGCACACACACACACACAAAACAATTACAAAAACACGACTATGCACACTCTAAAACTTAATAGGTGGCATATTTTCTAGTCCACAACCTGGCAATTTTATCAAAAGTTAAAAAATCTTGTCTGTACAACTTTCCAATTTTCGGCTCCATGCAAACGAAAGAATATGGATCAGTGAGAAGTGATTGAATACTGATTAAGACCTTTACGATTGTTAATGCTAAGCTCCAGTTGTCGTGGAGTGAGTCCAACCCCACGTCACCATGACAACTTATATTGGGGTGAAATATTTTTGTTAAAAAGTGAACGTAAGGGGGCTTCAACGGATAGCTGAAAAATAAATAAAAAATAATAATTCAATCACATTCTTAACGGCAATAAATTTAGGCGTAATAAATTGTTTGTACAAAAGTTTAGGAGTATATATATGGAAACACTAAAAATGAAAAACACTAAAACATATCTTGACAAAGAGCAACAAACTACAGACACAACTAAACAAACCTGGGTGGTATTTGAAGGTGCAGGAAAAAAATGCCCCCCTCATAGGGACTTCCACGAGGACCCGCAATTGAAGCCTGCCAGTTGAAGTAAAGGTGGTCAAGAGGTTGAACGTCAATGCCATCCAAAGGATCCGCACGAAGATTTTTTCTCTCCTGTACCAGGCGAGAGTAACGAAATGACAGACCAGATGGAGTTGGCAATGACTACAAAAATTTAAAAAGTTTTATTTATATGATGTGCGTTCAAGTGTAGTTTAGATATTAATATTTATTTGAGCAAAAAAACTAGTAGCTTGATCACATGTAAAACATACCTTGGGAATATGGCCATCTAAGCAGTATAAGCAGGTGGTCCCTTGAAATCTGAATAGAAATTTAATGAGCACAATTTTGAAGGATTAACAAGAAGATGATGTATAATAATAAATTATGAAGGAATATGAAAAAGAACAACGTACAGCTTCGAATAAACGTTCTTCCAGCTATTAATTTTATGTTTTGCTTTGAACAATGGCCATCTCCTGTGCACCATGTTCATCCACTTCTCTTCTGTGACATCATCATCAATAATTTCCTGCCATCTTTTGCAGACGCTTCGGGCATTCCACAGAGCTATGTCATCCAAATAAGCAAACACTTCAAACAAAACTGTAAAAATTATAAATAGGAGGAATGAATATTTATGATAATAAGATTCATTTATCAAACTCGTTTTAAATATTGTGTTCCTAATTTATACAGCTATTGATAATTTGAATTATATCATATCAAAAGCTCAAAATTATTATCTTAATTAAGCTATCAATTTTCAAGTAGCATAATGATCGACAGAGAAATAAAACTGGATGTCGATATTACAAATTGTCAGTCTGACAGTCTATCTTTGGATGATAAATTTTCACTTACTTAATCAGTTAATAATTTATTTATTGCTTAGTTGTGATTATCCTTAAAAAATATTTTAGAGGCATTTATAAGCTGGTAGCATTTTCATGAAATACATCAATTAGTAATCATTAACAGGAAATCATGACTTGTGCGACAAATCGGAGTCAAAGAAATATTCAAAACTGTTATATAAATAAAAAGTTTCATGCAGAATTATCAATGTAAGTAAGAAAATTAAAAATGAACTAAGAAAGCCAAACAAACCTTCAGTTGGTAAGGAGTCGACAAGACCAGGTGGCGTAGTTTCAAGTGAAAAGTTACGTGCATTTGATAAGTTGTGCAACCTTTCTTCTAATTGGTTAGAATTGTGCAAGTTATTGTTGCTGCTGTTACCGTTGTAATTGGTCGAAAATATCACAGATGTTGAATCCCATTGCGCTGGGTAGAAATCAGATTCCGTTGTTGGCTCCTCGTTCCCAGAATCATATGAGTCTGATTTCTGATAAATTCCATTTTGACTTCAATCATTTATTTCCAACTTCATATTTTCAATTAAATTCAGTGATCGCGTGTTTTTTGTTTAAATATCTAAAAATTCACTAAATATTTTCAAATAATCATCGTTTAAGATAATTAATTTAAATTAGTTGCATTTCTGATTCTGATAAATTCCATTTTGATTTCAATCAATTATTTCCAATTTCATATTTTCAATTAAATTCAGTGATCGCGTGTTTTTTGTTTAAATATAAATATCTAAAAATTTCACTAAATATTTTGAAATAATTATCGTTTAAGATAATTAAATTAAATTTGTTGCAAACTAACTTCACTCGTATGAACTTCAGTGGCAAGATTGAATTGTGGATATAGGAACAAATGGCAGGTGGTGCAGAGAGGTTGGCCGTAATTGGGACCATAGTATCCGTTGCATGTCACGCACGAGACAGGCTATAAAAAAGGCAGGATTAGATAACAAATTCAATTTTCAGACATAATAACAAACTATATGTTTTATTTTAAAATAAATGAATAAATTTAAAATGTTAATTCGTTTCAAAATTTCATTTTATGATACTATAACACAAATTATTTTATATATTATATTAGCATGTCATTGAAATTAATAAATACCCATTGTGCACTCAAAAGTTTTCAAATACAAGATTTGATGCCATGTATTTATATATGCGATATCGGATATATATATATATATACATATATTTGTGTATAATAACAATAATTAATTGCATACCATTTAAAATATAAAAGTTTTGGATGAATAAATATAAAATTATAATTTAAAATTCTAAAAAATAAAATAAAATAATAAATAAAATAAGGCATTTCCGCACATAATACTAACTTAACTAAAAAATTCTTGGACTAAACTTTTAAATTAAATTAAGGCTTAAGCCAAATTAATATTTTAATACGAACAAATAATAAATAAAGTAATAGTAAATAATTAAATAAAACTTACGTGAGCCAAGGCATATTCGTTCATCAGATGATCTCCAATTGACAAATCTTTCAATCTCAATTCCATTGCTGCAGTTTATTACTTACGACGTGATCCAAACTAATCATTCTTCTATGGTCCGACTGAATTTAAACAAGCAAATTAAAAAAAATAAATAGAAGGAAGGAAACTGATCAACACCGCCTTAGACTCCAACAACACAAAATTTCTAAACCTCATCGCAAGATCGTAAAAAGTTTTTTGCAACGTCTTTGAATGCTCCCACAAAATATTGTTCAAATAAAAGTTGCAAATTACTTATGGAATACCAACGCTCTACAAAATAAAAGCACATTGTCGGCTTATTCTAATTATATGGTCGTATGGTCATCATAGGCTTATTCTAATTCAGTGGCGTCACTAAGGTTGGTGTCACCCGGTGCGGTAACTCATGGTGTCACCCCTCTCATGACACCCCTTAGACATACAGCATTCTTAGCAAAATTTATAAACACGAACAAGTTAAATGTGCTCGGCCGCGGCGCTTAATAATTCGGACGTCGAATTTGAATGGTATAAACGTCGAATACAAAAATGATTTGAACGAAAAAAAATTTTATTCATAATACATTTCTGGGCGCTGGGCGGGTTAGGCTGAATTAATGATAAGAATAATTTCATGGAGGGACATAAAAACATATACAGTGATATTTTGGTGTCACCCCCTGTGAGGGTGTCACCCGGTGCGGTCCGCACCCCCCGCACCCCTCTAGTGACGCCACTGTTTTAATTATATGGTTGATAAGATATTTGAATGATTTAATGCAAAATGGACTTTAGGAATGCAGTTGTTTTTTAAATGTCCTACATTTGTTGTAGTATAATTTAATTTTAGTAGTATGGTTGAAAGTATAGAAACGCTTGCCAAGCACGACGATTTCAAATCTGCTCGGCTCTACGTACACAAGATAAATGATACTAAATATATTATTGTTATAACCACTGGAATGAACAAATTGCGCTAAATTGTTATTTTGAAAATAATACAAAGTGACGGAAAACCATAGCAGCATTGGAAAAAATGTTGAAATACTTGGACGCGAATGTTTGTTGACGCTATAACTACGGCAGTTTTTTGAGAAATAATTAAATAAGTTTTGAAGAAAAATTACAGCTTTTCGATTAGACATCTACTAAGAATTGCGCAACAGCACCTGAGACCACGTGTTTTTAAGTCTTTTTTAGTGCAGAGATAGTAACTACAAAATTTGATAATGATATAATGTCTGAAATATGGTTGTCGAGAGCGAGACTCAAATATTGACCAAAAATCGATTAATTTGATTGTTTAAGATTAGCAATACAGCAAAATTCATATGGAAAAATTTGCAGTGTCAACAACAGTTTTTTTGTTCTGACAAGTAGCTAGTATATATTAATAAGCAGACAAAAAATTTAAATGAGTTTTATGCTACCTTAATGATCACATCCTCAATATGGATTTTCATGTATATTCAAAAATGCAAGCAGGAGTGTTGGAACTGTATGGAAAACATTGAAGTTGAGAATTTTTTTTATTTTAAATAAGTTCATCGACGCCAGTAACGAAGTGAGTCGTACTCGTTGAAGGCTTATTTATACAAAAAGATTGAAAATTTATTGGATTACCAGTTAGGATACTTTTTCGTTCGATTCCGAGTAGTTTGCACATGAAAGTCAATTTTTTGTTAGCTCTTTTCGCGTTTTGCGATAAATTGGACGTCACAATTTTTGAATTAAAAAAATGTTGTAAGGAATTTTTAAGAAACAATCTCTGTCGAAAAATATAAATCGATTCAAAAAGAACTGAAAAAGAGATCGAATATACCGAAACATTTGATTACTAAAATGAAATCGAATTTCACATCACTAACTGAAAGCCTCAAATTTGTTGAATTTAGGCTTACTGTTGACGCTTAAATGTTCTTATGTGAAAATGCAGCTTGTTACCGTTCAAATATTTTTCAAACGATTTGCTTATTTTCCAAATGCTACGTATAAATTTTAAATGATGTTCCGAACTAAAATTTTTTTCTAAGTTAAACTAAAAGTAATAAGTATCATCCCAAACGTCTTATGAAATACTTTCTTGAGAGCCTGTGACAGCCCCGCATACGCATTTAATTAATAATATGACTTACAAGATCTAACAAAATTAATATGAACGATCAAAAAGTACTAAATGTAATTTCTAAATGTAATTTTTAAATCTACTTATGTTTATATAAACCATTCCACCAAACAACATCCTAATTTTGCGGACATGTGTGAGTTTGTAAAAATTAAAAATGCAATTTTTCATTCACAACAACGGTGGCCTGTTTTACAATTGCTTCAATGAACTACTTGGATTGTTTAATCCTTTTGAACATCACTTTTGCATCTTTGGTAACAGGACTGGCTGTTTGTCTGAACCCGTTAGGTTAGGATTTAAACGAAAGTCAAATAATTTTTTAAATTTCAATTTTCTATTTATTAGAATTTTTCAATTTAATTTCAATGGTTCGCAAAATTTCATCAACCAAAGTTGGGTAACGTAAAAAGTAGGGGTACGAGGTATAACAATTTAAATTTCTACAAATAAACCTCAATGATTAACTAACTTTTTTCTCGTTAAACATTTTAGATTGCAAATAATTTGTATGTATAAAAACAAATAATACTTAATGATTTTTATTAATTTATAACTAATTGGAAAAATCCCAACGAATTTGAAAGCAGGATTTGAAATAAACAATGCCAACATGTGGATACGATTAGAAGAAATCTACCAGCCAGCCAATTCATTCAACTACAAATTAAGATTTAAAGTTATAGACAAATTCTGGATATCGGATGAATATGAAACATTTAAACTAAATTAGTTTTTAAACTTTTCGATAATTTTCAAATGAATTTTTACCATATATTAAAGATATTTTTGATAAGACTTCTACATGCACTAAACGTGTCAGGTTACAGTAGTGATAATAAGGATATTTTGAATCAGCTTTTCGGTGGGAAACAAAATATAAACAAAATGGCGTACCTTTTTCAACTCCTGGTAGAGAAAAAACTCCGGAATCTGACAGATACATTCTTCCTTATTTTCTGGAAATTGGTTCAACAGAAATTGTTTCTTTCAAAACGTCAATGGTTCCAAATGAAAAACCTGTATATAGGATAATTATTAAGTTGAATTGATGAACCTATAAAAGAAAAAACATTCCGATTCAACAACTAAATGTGGAATATTTTAAAATCTAATACTCTTTTTTGCAATATACAATTTTAGTATATTAGATTTTCCTTCACATTATACTTTTATTTTAACAAACACCAAATACGATGCAAATTCCCCAATATAGTTGCATCATATACCTAATTATGACAATCAATTAACACACATACATATACGGACAAACACACATACACGCATACAGTTACTTTCCTCATATACAAGGGTCATGAAAGCAAATTAAGTAGACGCACATGCAAAGGTCATTTCTGACACACGAATAATTATACAGACGCACATTGACAAAGGTTTTTCGTAATCCAAAGGTTGGCCACTGCAAATGATCTAACATATGATCAACTACCGCTATAACTTCTATAAAAGGAAGAGCAGTTCAGAACACAAAAATAGAGAGAAAAGTGATAATATTTCTCAATATTATTTTTAACAATAAATCATTTGTACTTGGAAATAAAAAATTTTACAACAAGAAGTGGGTGTTGAATCGATTTTCAAATTGTTTTAATAAATAAACGTTTCTAATTGTCACAAGTAACCTATGAGAAATATTTTTTGAGTCATCAGGTTAAATTACAACCAATTTTGGAATACTCACGCACGCATGTACGTTCGCAGGCATACACACATATATAAATAAAGGTCAAAGGTTATTCTCTTTTATTCTCTATAAATGACACACACACCAGCATACGTGAATACGTGTGAAAATCTCAATAACACAGTATACAGTACATGGAAAGAGGAAATCTTTTGCATTAGAATCAGGTCACTGCAAAACAGGACCAGATATTAATCTTTAAAGTAAAACTTCTTATGAATATTAATATTAAATAACACGTTGTGTTTTGCTTTTGAATCTACTTCAGCACTAACTTGCGATCATTCATATTACATGAATGTTCCGCTAAACGTTCTCATCATGATTCTTTCACTGATAATAATATCATTGATACAAATATCAGTTGCAACACGTTCCATTAAATCTAATAATGGTGATTCAGCTAAACCACACTGTTTCATTTCACTTTAAACAAGATAGATCCGAATGAAACTCAATCTCAAGCACATGAGGCCAGTCTATCTAATAACGGTTTTCTTTTATAAAAGTTATCAAATTTTGTATTTTTTCAGATTAAATTTTTTTTTCTGTAGATTAGATTTGTGGCGGTTCCTCAATATTTGCATAGCCTTACTAAATGGTTTGATCGATCAACAGTCATTCAAAAATCACTTTATTTTTTGTAGTGCAGTTTATATATTATTCACGTGCATGTTCTGAACACGCTGCTTAAATAAATTAATACACGCAAATTAATTAAATTAATTCAATTTTGAACACATTAACAGTGCCGATCGTGGCATCATCAGCATCAGATAAATCATCAAAATCAGGATTTCAATTGAATGATATGATTATCATTATCAACAAGACCATCCCCTCAAAACCAGTGTCTGCAGTTTCGAACAGAAGATAAAACAAAGGAAATGATCGTAGCAGCAGCCTGAAGGAACCTGATGACGGCAAAAAGGACATAAATTTGGTTATTACGAAAGCAACCACAGCGCGGACGAGAGAAACAGAAATTAATGAAGATAACACACACACACATATATATATATATATATATATATATATATATATATATATATATATATATATATATATATATATATGTTGGGTATATGTATATATGTCTATTGTCTATATGTGCAGTTCAGGTGTGCAGTGCACGTATGTCGATATGTGCACATATGGATACGTGTACCTGTATATACTATAACCAATAACCTATTGTTATTTATGATTTCATATAAGTTTCTCCATTTTACTTTTTACGTACAGGTATGCATGTACGTACATACGTATTATGTATATGAATTGTATGTAAAGTTTTGTAATGTGTTTTATAACAATGAGATAGGTCCATTCCAACGTTAAGAAATTACAAAACAATTGCAAAACTACCAACTTGAACAATTAATTAAAACTAAATTAGGTTTTTTATATTTATGTTATCATTAACCACACATTATTTTTAGCTATCATCTACACTACACTGAGCCAATGTTATCTACACTTTTTGATTACTAAAAAAAGTTGAAATACATATGATTAGATTACTTGGAGTTTTAAAAAATTATAAATCTACCTGGCAATTTGAAAAGTTTCATACGTAAGAAACAATAGTCACGTGAAACTTTAATCTTACATATTTATTACAAGTTTAAGAATTTAAAAAAGTTGAAAATTTATATTTAATCTTATCGGGTTTTCAAAAATTTGATAAAAACGACAAAAATGTTGAGGGTCTTTTTGGGACTGTCCATAAAGAATGTCACGCTTTGAGAGATGACAGTATTACAAAAAATTTGTGACACTGCGATATAAGATGGGACAAGGGAGGTTTAAAAGTTTCTTTTCACTTCTTCAGTTTCTTTAGTGACTGTATAAAAATGTTGCTACAATTTTTTTATTGAACAAAGGTGATAAAATATATATATGTCTTCTTTGATGCAATTTTTCATTTTAATCAAAAAATTATAGATGTATTTATTTAAGATTCAACCACATTTACTAATTATTATATGGGACAATACGCAATTCGTTTGGCGCCTTTATAGGGTGCATTCAGCATCTTTGTTTTTAGTTATCGGTCCAAAACAATTTCTCAACACGTGATAACTTGGAAGGAATATCCGGATTGTAAATAACGATTGTTTTTTAATTTATTCGAACGCGAAAGAATCACGAAAATAAAATTAGTTTTCGTTTTAAAAATATGACTTGTGTTAAAAGTTGTTTTAATATATCATCCAGGGATAGGTGTCTCTTTCCACCGGTAATAAACGTTCATTTAATTAATTTTTTTTTAATATTTTTTATTTATTAAAATGTTAATACGATAATTAAAACATTTGTAAGTCAACTTTTTTTCATGTAATTTAACTGTGATTACATATTAATTAAAGAATTACTTGATGAAAAACATAGTTTCATTTTGTACATACCTATATCGATATCAATATCCGTAGTGGCCTAGGTTCATCAAAAAGGCAATCGACTCGTATTATTTATATTTTTTTATTTGCAATTAAATTAATTTTTTAAAATAATTTTTTATTCAAATAACTTTTTAAAATAGTTTAATAGTAGTGGTATCACACAACTAGAATAAATATAACTGCCTTCGCTCACTTTCAACGGTCGAACAAGGAGCTTACTTCCGGAGGGGAGTTGGAGGTTGATTTTTTTATCGTTCCAGTCAAAAGTTACGATCGTATATTTACTAATTACGGAATATTGCTTTTATTTAAAATGTTAAAATTTTATTTGTTTTTAAATTGTTATTCAATTTGGTAATTAGTTACTTTTATTTTGTATAAATTTAAAAAAAACCAAATCGAAATTACCGAAAATATTTAAAAGTTAAAAAAATTGAGATTCTTTGCATATCCCTGCTTCAAGCCATAAGAAAGTGTTGTATATTGGTAAATAGGCCTCCCCGTGGGTGGTATCCACTAAAAAAACCGTAAATCGGAGATGCTAAATCTCTTTTTAATTTAACCTATGCAATCCTAATTTTTCTTATGATGCTCTACAAAAATGTAGATTCAACGCTGTTAGACAATTCTACTTTTCTATACAAATTATTCGTAACATGATAACTGTCAAGAGAGCAGAAGGGTCAAAGGGTAAGCTCAGCCGGTAAAAGTTCGATGCCTCGCGCTGCCATTACATGATGGCCTGGTTTGAATACTGTTTGTACGAAAGACCATTTCCCGCGTGTTCAGCACAGAAAATCTAATTTGATTAACTAGGGTATTTTTCATTAAGGATAGTAAAAGTGTTGATGTATTTCTAGTGAGGTTCGCTAAGTGCCACTACAGAGTTTGGGACCTTACAGTACGTACTTTCTTAATATAACTTGCCATGCTTGAAGTAACGTTTCTTGACGGATTTTAACTGTAACATAACCACATAACAAAATCCACAATTTGTAAAATAATTTTTCATTTTGAGCGCTGAAATTTCATAATGGCTGAAAAATACTCATTCAAAGCTTAGTTGTAACACTAATTCATCTTCGTTAAGTCGGACGAAAGACCAATATATTTGATATGTTAACACCAAAAAATTCCAATTAAAAGGATAACGCACAAGCTTATTTACATTTACACAGTACTTACTTTCTGATTTTAAAATTCTAGCATTTAAGCTAGGTTTTTAATTACTAGCACAAATAATATAATTAATCAATTATAATTGAAATAAACTTTAATTGAGTTAAAGCTAAATAAAATTTAATTAAAATGGGCATATATTGTGATAGAACTAATTAGTAACCAGACAACGCAATAACCCTAACTGCCAAAAACCATTGAAATTTGAATTGAATAAAATGAAAATCAGAAAGTAAACATTTTGGACAAAAAATAATGAAATAAAAATTTTTATAAATAACTATAATTAGTCAAAGTAAATGGAGCAACATAACCGATCAACTTTGGAAGATTTTATTAGCCGAACAAATTTTTAATGGATATTTGGTTAAAGTTAAAGAGAATGCAATAAAATTGAAGAAAGTTAAAATCAAACAAAAAGAAGTACAATAAGATTTATACATATACATCGATAGACCAATTATTACAATGAGGTAATAAAACGGATGGCCAATTTAACTGGCCTTAATTACTAGGTGTGCTAGCCTTCATCTAACAAAGAAACCAACTCAGAAGAATACCTGAGCATTTGAGTTGGTATGTTGAATTGGGTATATATATGTATCAAAAAATCATGTTAACAAAATTTTCAAATATCTTATATTCGTCCCACATTTACTTGAAAAATATTTGTCATTATAACTGATGAATAGAATTTTAAAGTCTTCATTTCTTTTCTGAGTTAAAGATATATTTTGAAACCAGTCGTTATGGAAATCAGCAAAATCATTGAAGCGATAAGAAACACAAGAAACGGAGATGCACATCAAGCTTCTCCAACAGATGGAACGGTAGCAAAGGAATCTTCAGTTGATCTTCCCCACGAAGATTCACTCAATACTTTAATTAAGAAACCTGCAACAAACACTTTAGAAGAACCGGTTTCAAGTTCTGCACGGTTGACAGCTTTGGAATCAAGTTCTCAACCACGTTATGCCTCAGCCGATTTGAGTTTTGAGAGCGTTGCCCCAAAAACAAGCTGTGGATTTTTTTCTTATTTCAAGAAAATTTTAACGAATAAACACAGAAGAAAAAAGCAAAAATCAGAATCTGCGTACAGAACACTTATTTCTGTATTTGTTGCCAATTTTTTCACAAAATCATCACAGAAAGTTTTATTGGATCCTATAGTAAAGCTCTAATAACCATTGTTGAGTTGAGGGAAGACCGTATAATTTGAAAAAGTAAAATCAAACAATTAAAAGAATTTTGCAAAAGATTCCTTTTATTTGCATCGATGAAACAATTAGAGCAATGCGTTAATAAAACGTTGGGCCAGTAAAACTGGTTTTAATTACAGGCTATGCGTTGTTTTTATCTAACAAGAATATCTAACAAAAAGAATACTTGAATATTTGATTTGGATCGGATTTTAGGTATATATATGTAACAAAAAATCATGTTAATTGAAATTTTATAAATATTTAACGTACTTATATTAAACATTGGACTTTTCTGTAGCTTGCTTCTAAAATATCGTCTTAATATAACTTGCCGGAAGAGTATTGTCAACATCGCAAATACATACTGTTTTAAGGTTGTTATTTTTTTGACAGTAAGTTGAAGATATATTTTGAAATCAATCATTATGGAGCTGGGCAAAAGCATTAAAGCGATAATAAACACGAGAAACCAAGATGTTCTTCACGGTTCTGTAGCAAATGGAATAGAAACAAAGGAATCTTCAGTTGACCATCCGCACAAACCAGTTTTGAAATCAAGTTGTCCACCAAATGATTTGAGTTTTGAGAGCGTTGCCCCAAAAACAAGCTGTGGATTTTTTTCTTATTTCAAAAACATTTTAACGACTAAACACAGAAGAAAACTGCAAAAATTAGAATCTGCGTACAGAACACTTATTTCTGTATTTGTTGCCAATTTTTTCACAAAATCATCACAGAAAGTGAAATCCGATGAGATGTCAATCAACGATTTCCAGGGACTGAAAACGATAGGACAAGGGAGCTTTGGAACTGTGAAAATTGGCGAATTGAAAAAGACCAAAGAAATCTTGGCAATTAAGATTCTCAAGAAACAACAAATTTATGAACTGAACTTGATAGAGAACACGGTGAACGAAAAAAATTTCTTCCGCTCAATAGATCATCCATTTATCGTAAGCGCAAAATACCATTTCTGGGACAACATGCATCTCTACATTGTGATGGATTATTGTGCTGGTGGTGAACTCTACACAAGGCTACAACTCAATAAAAAATTTGACGAAAACACAGTGCGATTTTACGGAGCTCAAATTTTTTCAGCTTTGGACTTTCTCCACAATATTGGCATAATATATCGAGATTTGAAGCCTGAAAATGTTCTCATTGATTCGACAGGCTACCTCAAACTAACTGACTTTGGAATATCAAAAATGTCAGACTGGACCAACACTTTCATTGGAACGCCTTTGTACACAGCACCAGAAATGTTTGATGAAGGTTACAATTGCTCAATAGATTGGTGGGCTTTTGGTCTTTTGCTGTTTGAAATGAGAAGTGGGTTTGTGCCATTTGCTGGAGAATCGGAAGATGAAGTGTACGACAAGATTTTAAATGTTGAAGTAAATGTACCTGAAAATTTTAGCCCAAAATTGGCAGACTTAATTAAACGTCTGTTAGTGAAAGATCCATCAAATCGAATAGGATGTCTGCAAAATGGATCTGATGACATCAGGAACCATGCGTGGTTCTCAAAAATGAACTGGATGAAATTATTGAAGAAGCAGATTACTCCAGCGTACGTCCCCTCGTTGAAGCACCCCACGGATACATCGAACTTTCAAGCATGCCCAGAAGTGAATGCTGAGAGGAGCTCTAAATGTCTCTACTTTGAAGAATTCAATGATTTCTACTGATTCTTTTTGTTGATATTGTTTTTAAATTTCTCGCTCATAAATGCATGCGGTTATCAAATGCCAGTCTTTTTATAGTTTGATTGTGTTTTTTTAACAAATGACCGTTTTGCTGTTTTGATTCGTTGAAACTTTTTTTTTAAATAATCATTAAACAAACAAATTATAAAAATATACATTATTACCGGTGCTTAAAATATTCAAGCATAATTAAAAATAATAATAGATAGTTTGTACATTATCGTAACATGAATTTGCTAACTAGAAAATTTAACAATACACACCCAAATATACAAATATAACTTTTAAATCTAAATTATAAAGTAACATGTAAGCGGCTCTGCATTTGACTGCATTATAGAGAGTAAACAAAAAATAGAACGTCAAATCAGCAAGTCTCATCTGGTGTTGAGCTAAGATCTTATTAATGCATTTCATAGTGATCTGAAGATAACATACACGGGTGACTTCGATTTTGCCACTCCGGTAATATTTTAGACGTATCATAAACAAGAAGTACTTATACTATTAGAACTGACAACAATTTTGACATCTTTTTTATTTGTTGAAATTACTGGACCTTTGGATGACGATTAGGTTTTAAGGAAGAACCGTAGATATTAATAGATAGATATAATATTCTCTTGACCACACTTAGTGTATGTTATGATTCGTTGAAACTTTTTTTTTAAATAATCATTAAACAAACAAATTATAAAAATATACATTATTACCGGTGCTTAAAATATTCAAGCATAATTAAAAATAATAATAGATAGTTTGTACATTATCGTAACATGAATTTGCTAACTAGAAAATTTAACAATACACACCCAAATATACAAATATTCTTAAATGCAGTTATTAAAAATATTTTTAGTTTGTTAGCATTCAATTTTTGCCTATATCACAGTTTTTGTTTAATTTTTTAAAATTAATTTCACATTAATAATTAAACAATTTCATCATTAAAGGCAGTTTATCATTTTTGGTGTTTAAAATATTCAAAATTTCATTTCAAGAATAATAAGCATTATCTAAATAAATATGATTGTGTTAAAGAGACAGAAGTATTCCTAAATTTTAGGGGAAGATGCCATAAGATGGGACACTTAAGAGCTTAACTGAGATTATATGGAAGCCATGAATATTTAAAAAATTCGAACAACTATTTTACGAAATATTTTTATTATATTTCAAAATAACATACGTTTAACAAAGTTAAAAAATTTATTAATTTAAAAAATATAGGTCTCAAAAAAGTCTCTAAATCGTCCCATCTTAGGCATATCACGCTGTAAGATGAGACAGTTGTTAAAAATTGTTCAATATGATATTTTGTTACAATGAAATGTCTGAAATAAGATAAACCCTATTATTTACATTTAAGAAAAAAAATAAAATTAATTGCAACATTTCGCACACAAAAATTTTAAATCATCAAGCACACCCGATTGTTCAGCACATGTTTCATGCATCCAAACGTTGCATTGACAACATTTTATCCAATCTGTTTTTTTGTTAGGGTCACTAAATAATTTTCTACAATATCCACATGGAGTGGCATCTTCTTCTTCAGACAATTTAATTTTTTTGGAGTTTCTTCTTTTAATACTTATTTTTTTTATTTCTTGACAGGTAGACTTTGTGACTTTTGATTCCTGGTTTTCCAAATTTTTTTTTGTAAGGTGAAGAGGTCAAAAGGGTGGCTTCCATAGAACGCCTTACTCCTTTTTCTCTCGCTTGTTTTTTCGGAAAAGGACAGATTTCTGTTAGTGATATTCGACGTTTTACTACTGGAGTAACTATGGGAACTTTTTGATAATTGGATTTCATTCAAGTTCATTCAATTGATTAAAAGAAATATTTTGAGATGAATTCGCATTGGGCATAGGAGTTTCGGTGGTCAAAGCTGCATGAAAATCACTGTCTTCAAATATATCTGGGTTAAATGGCCATAACATGTTGTGCAATAGCATAATGTCCCACCTTATGCAATATTATTGTCTTCAACTTAAGAGTTTTTTTTATTTTACTATCGGTTAGCAATCAGGAATTTGTAAGATATTAATCTAGAGACATTCTTCTTAATTATATTTAAAAAACAAAATTTTTTTTTGAAAACTCACTTTTTAATCGGTTTTTAAAATCTTTCGCAAAATATTAACGAAATTAGAAAAAATTGAAAATATTTAATCAAAAATCAACCGCGATTAACAATAAAAATATTTTGCGTTACCTAGATAGAAAAGTAAGCAACTGACATTTTAATAGTTTATTCAAAGCCAAAAATTGCGAAATAAATTAAAAAACTGCAATGTCCCATCTTAGAAAGCGTCCCATCTTATGGCATCTTCCCTTATATAAATCAATCATTGATTTTTTTAAAGAATGTTAATAAATAATAATAAAATTTGATGAAGATATGGATTATGTAGTTATTATCTGACGCTTAATCAAACATGAAATTACTAATTAATAATTTTATAAACCCTGTGAGTTCGTTTTAGAATGCGCTATGTTTTTAAAGAATGAGTTAATTGAAAAATCAGGGATACCAAAATAACTGAATGAATATACATTTTAAAATATAGCGATAGGTTAATATAAAAACGTAACGTAATGTAACGTAGCGCGTCGTAACGTAACATAACATAATGTCCTTATCAAAATTAAATATGTTCAAAAACAAACAAAATATTCTACACAATCGAAAACAGGAACAGAAATTAGAAAAAAACATTTCATGTTAAATAAAATAATAAAAAAGAAATAAATAAGCAAAATAAAAAAAAACAATAAAATAAATAAATGACGTAAATATAATAATATACATAATGTTGTAGCTTGCAAAATCTTCAATCAAGTTATTCGTTTTATCGTAGGTTCACTGGTTTCTGATAGGTAAATAAAATTGCTTTTTTAAACTCAGTCTTGTTTAATCGTTTATTTGAATGCCAACAGTAATCGAAACACTAAACTAATAAAAGTAACTATAAATCACAATTACAACTTTGCATCAAACCTCGCTGGAAACCTCATTCAAAAACCTGCTTATCCACGAATCCGTTTTTCTTCTGTTGTTCTTAATAATTTTACTTCTAACTCCTCTACTCTTACTTTTCTGTTACCTTAATGTTCTATCCTTGGCCCTCTTCTATTTATACTCTATAATTATAAACTACTTTGTATTATTAATTATTTTTCTTTTACTAGTCACCTATATGGTGATGATTCTTATATTTATACTTTTTTTCTATACTAAATTGTTTTAATATATCTAAACGCTCTATTACTATTCCTTCTATTATCTTACCTGATTCTAAAATTTTTAATGTTTCTCACAAGTTTCGTAGTCTTGGCTTTATCTTTGGTTCTAGCATGTCACTTTCTTTTCAGATTAATAGTATTGCTAGAAGTCATTACTTTCATCTTCGTAGAATAAAAAAACGTTTGCCTTTCTTGACGATCCTACTTTTCTCCTTCTTGTTACTTCTTTAGTCTTATCTAGAATTGATTATTTTAACTCGCTCTACTATGGTTTTTCTGATTCTACTCTCTATCCTTAACCCATGATGGTTCATTTCAAATGTCTGGAGGAGAATAGAAAGAATCATCGGAGGTGTTGAGCATCTAATGTGGGTGAACCCAGTGGTGGAGGCTTGATTGCCGAAGAGGAATTAGCATTTAATAAAGCATTTAAAGCATGTCGAGCGTCTGCTATGGGTGAACCCCATGGTGGAAGCTTACTTGCCGAAATAGAATTAAGTAACAGAATTCTCAGAAGCATGTCGAGCAGATGCCGTGGTTGATCCCTGTGACGGGGCTCAATTTTCCGAGGAAAAATAAGTAACATAAGCAGTAATTGCGTTTGCTGGTGCATGCGCGAGATGTGACGTCGAGTGATGGCGAGTTGGATATGGCTGACAGGGTGCAAGTTTCAACTTTGGAAAAAGTAGAAACTAGCCGGGAAAAAGTTGATCTACAAATGAAAATGTTATATATTACTTATTCTTAATGCTTTGAAATGGAGGAACTGGGCTGGTGCGTCGGGGTGCCTGGACTGAGATTTTTCCGACCGATGGTATCGGTTTTGAGTTATATAAACAAAATTTATATCAAAATTCACCAATAAACTAAAAATAAAAAACTTTTACTGAAAAAGTTTATTAAATAAAGGTCAATGTCAACAAGGCACATCATAGACCATTGTGGGAGACCATCTGAAATGCCGTTAAAGTTAACCAATAAAAAAATAAAAAAAGTTAAAGCTTTTAACTCTGCTGCTCGTCTAGTTGCTCGAATGCTCGTGTCCCTTTCTTCTCTCATATATCTTCATATCTTGCTCTCTTGCACTGGCTACCTATAATATATATAATAATTTTTAAAATTTTTACATTTAGGTATGTATATATGTCTCAATCTAAAGTATATCCTAAGTACTTATCAGATATATTTATTGAACCTAAACGCCCCGGTTACGATCGTTTTCTTGTTCTCACTACTTTTTAACTCGTTTTAAACACTCTTTTGCTAAAACTGCATTTGATTTTTCTGGTCCTTTTTCCTGGAATTCTCTTCCTCCTACTATGACTACTTCTCCATTACTTACGGAATTCAGAACGGATCTCAAGTCCCACCTGTTGCGAAATTAATTGAGGAGCGCTGTTGTACATCAAGGAAATAGCGCTTTATAATTTAATTGATTGATTGATTGATTGATTGATAGATAGATAGATAGATAGATAGATAGATAGATAGATAGATAGATAGATTGATTGATTGATTGATTGATTGATTGATTGATTGATTAAATACTATATCATATATATACACACACAAATATACACATATTCATACACAAATGTACACGAATTGTAAACAAACGTACATATAATATACATATAATAAATATAATTTAATATACTGCAAATATAAAATAGAGTAAGTTGACATTAAAAAAAAACAAACAATATTTTTGAGATGCATTTTTTAAACGAATTTACAGAATAATATACATTGCGAAACGTTCACCATTTCGGTAAGTGATTAATGCTGAATAATTAGTATATTAAAAAAATTCTTTCCATAAAAATAGTAGTAATTTTGAGTTTAAATATAGCCGAATAATTAAGTTAAAAAGTTGTGAAAATAAATAGAGTAAAAAACCGTGTTGATAAAATGTTACCAATGGTTCCAATGATAATCGGATGTGGTTTAGATTTTGAATCACTAGAGCCTATTTTTGAATCTTTATCTGTGCCATGTCACCACAATTATCATCAGCGAAAAAATTATACACAATGGCCACAAATAAATATACCAACGGTCAAATTTTTATAACATAGAAGTGTCTTGAATAGATATAGAATCACCAGTGGTGGCGCTGTAGCCCAGGTAACTTTAAATACATCATCACGAACTCCATCATTTTACCAGCATCGTCGTCGACTTCACCCGCCGATATCTCGAAAACTTCAAATGATAAGAAAGAAAATATTGGTGAACTACAAGAATATCGTGAACGTGCCAACTACTACAGATTAATTGCGAGTTGCAACCTAACTATCTATGAATTTATGTAAATTCTCCTTAAATTCGTCGATGAACTAAAAAGTTACTTTATAAAAACTAAAACTAATTGAAAGGTACTTTTTAAAACAAATTAAAACAATTATAATATGTCTATAAGATATTTGCCTACACAATCGTTTAACCCACCAAAATATATGTTCAAGATTTTAAAATCAAACAAAATTAGAGTTGGAATGAATGTGATTTTTGCATTTGTGATTTTATTGAGCTAAAATTGTAAGGTTTAAATTTAATTTATCAACTTTTGGATCAATAATTCACAATGAGCACTGGCAAGTTGTATCAATTTTAGTAATTAATTTAATGATTGATGACCGGCAAGAAGGAACTTTGATCTTTTATAGAATGACCGATGAAATTAAATGCCATCGTATAAAAATGGGTGTAATGTAGTGAGCTGTTTAGATTAATTCAGAAAATTCTTTCAACAAATTATTTTCTTTTGGAAATTTTAATCCGAAAATCCATCCAATCACAGAAGAATAATGGATGTTAGTGATCAATTTGTAATTATAGATGAAATCGAAGGCATGAATTTCAGATGCTTTAGAATTCCAATGGACAACCCAAAAAGTTACAAGTATATGTTGAAGCAAGATATCATCTTTCTTGTAGAAAATGATGATGTACAGGTTGATGATAGATGTGAGATTTGCTTCGATTCTTTGAATGAGTTGTCTGATATGGGCTATCTACGAGACTGCAAGCACAGATTTCACCTGCACTGTCTAAAAACCCTTTACCTGTCCACAGCCGTTATAAAGTGCCCTTACTGCAAGATAGTTTATAATCTGCAGTTTGGTGATTGTGGTTATAGTTACTTGTTCGTAAAATTATGCGCAAATAATGTGGGTTTAGAATTTAATTTAGTTGAATATACATTATTTATAGATTTGAATAACGACGATGATGGACAATGCATCAAGCATTTGTTGATAAAAGCGTTTCAACGACAGCTATTAAACCAAGAATTGTTAGAATCCTTTTGGGACAACGATTTTTCTAGAGAATTTATTGAATTTAAATTAAGAGATTTAAACGTCTTTCCAAACGAACTAACTAATAACTTAGACGATGATTGCTGGGATGACGAGTTGCCAAATCAAATCTAATAAAGAAGATGGCAGTGAAGATGAAAAAGAGTTGAAACTAAAGACCGTGTTGAATTAAAAATACTTAACTGAATTTTTAAAAAATCTGGCATGAAACTAAAAATAAACTTTATTTATGGTTTGGTTGGTAAATATTTTTCATTTTATTTCAACATATTTACTTTTTGTTAATTTAATAATTTTAAATGTTTTTGACTCCATTGAAAAAAGGAATTTATATTTATATAAAAGATATTTGAAATTGTGTTTGCAATAAACATTAGTAATTATGATTAATATTGATGATAAACCTAAGAAAAGAAAATTGTAACACCAGAGTTAGTTATGAAAAAAGGTAATAATCTATTTAAACGAATAAAATTGTTAAAACAAATATAGAAATATATAAAATAAAAAATATTGGAAATTGGTGAAAATAAATTTGAGATTATAATAAAATAAGAAAAAAATATTTTGTATACAAACATCACATTTTTTGTTGAAAAAGTATTATATATTTATATATACGATTGGAAATCTGTTGAATCTAATTATCAATATTTTCAGTACAATATATGATAGACAATACCCTAATCCTATCACTTCAGAGAACAGACGCCCCATCGCAAAAATATTTATCAAACTTCACCGTGCATTTTTACTTAGTCAGTGAAACCATGACCAAAAAATTTTTGAAAAAGAGAGGTTTTTCATTCAAACACACAGCAGCGCAGTTTTTGTTGCCGTAATCGCTCAGTTATATAATTTATATGAGAGAGCGTGTCAACGAATTTGACATTCAAGCAACGTGTGCTGCTATACGGTGTAGATTTATTTTTTTATTCATAAATTTTTCTTAAATAGTTTAGATTCTTGAAGGCATAACCTTTGGTTTATGTTTGCTTATTTATAAAAATCGCCTATATTGCTTTCTACTTACTCCCCCGATGAAACATTTGAAATTTAGACTCGAGCTGCCACACAGTCACTTATCTTTTAAAATATTTTAAAACATATTTTTCACGCATTCAAGTCCTCACCTCATCCACATTCAGTGGTGGATTTAGGGGGGGGGGGCGGTGGGGCACGGATTCCCTGTTGTCAGTATTATTTTTTTAAAGTCCGCAAAATTAGCTGCTTTAACAAACAAGCACTGCCTTAGGTAGAAAATTGACCAAAATTGCAAAAGTAATGATGAGCAAAAAAAAATGTCGCCAACGCAATTTTGGCTAGGCTACCGAAAAATTCGGTCCCCGTCAAAGTTGTCCAGATGCGCCACTATCCAAATTTATTTGTCCAAACATTTATTTTAATTTCGAGTGTTATTCTTTCCTTGGATCTACTAGAAATATTTTCCAAGAACACGTTTTCAATTTCGCACACTTTTTTTTATCAAACCAGCTAAGAAAAGGTAATAATAGCAAATTTAATATTTGGCAAAACATTTCAAACATTATTATACAACAATCTCACGACATATTTCCGACATAAAAAAAGGTAATTTTTGACTCAATTTGTAAATGTTTGTAATTTCTGTTGCTTCACAAGTGAACAAATTGCATTAAAATGTCGAATAAATAAAAAATACAACTGCAATAAACGCGAATATGAAATACAAAAATGGAATTACTTAAGATAAATCTCAAATACATTTAGAGTATAATATACGGCATAAAAAACAATATGACAATATGCTTGTACCATGACAAAAATTGTGAAGATCTAATTCAATGAACCCTAGCAAAACAATTATTGTGTAGAAGGGTTCTGATATGAAACGCTGGAATCTTGTTGGGTGATGAAATCGCGTGGAGGGTCGCCATTGAAACTTCTGTATCCCGCTTCAAAATGTAAATTTCAAAATTGTAAACTAAACGACTCACGAAAGATATTTTATTAATAACGAAACCATTTAAGCACTAACCGAGACGATCGTACTTTCTGAGGACTCCCAGAGTGAATGGTAGGAGGAAGAAGTACAAGAGGAAACACACGCCAGTAAATCCAACCATAAGATAAACCATGATCCTCTGGAAATATATGCCCACCTCGGGACAATGTGTTAGTGAATCTGATCTGTCGGGAGAAACAATTGCTAACATCGAAATGGGTAATCTGGTATTGAAAATTTGTTATAGTTTATATTCATGCATTTATGTATTGAAATAATCCTCAACAAATGTTTACAAAAGAGTTGAAAATAACTGAAAAAGACAGTGACTGACGAAAGATGGCAGTGTGGTTCGAGGAGTTGAATGAGCATGAGAGTCACTCCAGATGATAACTTATCCCCGAAACTCATTACACCATAGACAAAGGCACTGCTTGACTGATATGCATTTTAAATTATTTAACTCATGTAAATTGAGTTAGACTTGTAGTATGTGATGGTGAAATGTACTCACAAAAACAACTTGATAATGAAAATTACTTACCTCATTTATAAACACCAACAAAAATTCCAACAATTAACACTAAAGACTCATTATTATTAATCATTCATTCATCATCAGAGCTGTATTTCATTCTACATTGTGATAGCCAACAATCAACGTCACCACATTCTTGCTATAAGATAAATGCAATAATATTAACCTTAATTAGATCTAGATCAAATTTTTATAACACAAACTTTTATAACACAAACAAACAACCATAGAAACAACAACAGCAGCAGCAGTAAAAACCACCACGAGACAACTAACAGTTTGCTCTCCAATGACGTCAGCCACCATAGACAGAGCAGTGACCAGCAAGGTTGTACTGCCAACACCGATAATGACCGCCGAACCAAAGACCTGCTTGGATGAGTTGTAATCGAGGAAGGCCATCCAGAGTAAGGCCATGCCCATTACGATGCTGCCCAATAGGAAAGTTGGCTGAAGAAGATTTTTTAAATTTAATCAGCTAATATTTCAAATTTTACTGCCATGTTACAGATGTGATCTCTATGATGTTGTTAATGATGCAATGCTCAAATTTAATTAACATTAATAATAATAATGATTTAAATTAATATTTGATAAATATCAGTTTATTTGTTGTTATCAAAGTTACCAAAGTTCAACTAATATGGAAGTTTTTGGCATTTAAAGAATAAAAGTTTGTTTATTTTAAAGTGAAAAACTTTTCTGAAAAAATTTAAAATCTGTCAAATAATTTTCATTTATTTTATTAAAATTACAAATAAAATAATATTGTAAAAACAAAAATAAATAAACAAAAAATAAATAAATAATTTTCAATCTTGAAATAATGCCTGCCTTTTAGAAAAAAATTTGCATAACAGTACAGTAACTTTACATTTTAAAATGAATTTTAGGTTAAAACTATTAAATCCAATTTGTTAATAAACAGATATTATGTTTAGTGAATGGGCTTACAAATGCGAATCACCTACCAAACAAAAACCATAAACAAGATGCATTTATAACTCAACTAAAGGCTATAGACTAAACTAAATTCAAAGTGGCTGCCATGTAAATGAGGTACACGCAATAATGTCACATGTGTGATTGTGTGTCTACGATGTCATGAATGTACTGTGTATGATGTTAATGATGTAATGTGAAATGATGTCATGACGTCACAGATATAATGTCAAATGATGCCAGTGAGCTGAAGCACATGAACATATGTCGCTAATTAACGCATACTAATTCTCGATGGTTTAGATTCATGTGATTAGTTTTTTTTTTAATTTTTATTATTCTTTAGTATTCTTCAGCACATTATACAACAAACATAATTGCACTATATGCCACACCGACCACAAACTTGGCCATGTTGTAAACATGTCTCTAAATTAAATAAGTCAATGACAGGAATGTTAAAATAATGCAATAATTTTGAATAGATCAACAAAGCAGTGAAGCAAGTTAAAGAGTCAAATATTTACTAAAGAGAAATTTAAACTTTAAATTTTGAAAAAAAAAATTATAATAGAGTGAGTGAATGAATGAACAAATGAGTGAATGAATAAATAAAAAAAACACAAACTTTCCTGCCAAACACTTTGTTCAGTGGCCTCATGAGTAATGAGGTTATGAAGCCCGACACGAAGACAACGAGGGGGATGATGGCAGCATATTGCTGTTGTTTAAGTCATTGTCAAGTAACATAAAGTAACATATCGCATATTAATTAACATAAATTAATAAACTTTACAAAGTTTAGATTTTAAAATGAAATATTTTTCGAAAACAAATATTTTAAATTTTACATTTAGACCATATGGCACAAAACATTCATGAACAATTTTGTTTTAATTGATTATAGTGAAATGAAGAAACGTGCCATCCTCTTAATCGTCATCATCATCATCATCTTCATCACCAACACTATTATCATCGTCATCATTATTAAAGCTAGCGTTGTCATCATCATTATCATCATCACAATCTTCATCATCATCATCAACACTATTACCACCGTCATCATTTTCATCAACATCATCATTACAACCGACATTTTCATCATCATTATTTCATCGTAGCAATCATCATGATGAATCACATTACTTTAGTCAGATGGAGGGAGTCGATGATGTAAAACGGCCAGTAGGTTTGTGAGACATTTGAAATGAGGCGGGCAAACATGTAACAAATGCCAACCTGACAGGTTGATGATTTATAACGTAATTACAGTTAAAATCCATTTTCATATCATCAACGTCCAACCACCAATCATTAAATAAAATAATTAGAGAAAAATACACATTTCATAAAGTACACAATACAAAAACAAACATGCAAACATCATTCAACAAATTAAACACATACATCAAAACATCCACACCACATCACATCACATACAAGATAAAACTGGGGTTCCTTCAACCAATCTGCCCACTCCATCTTCGGCTGGTCATCGACACGTTGAATGAGGACTTGATTCTCATATTGGTCCCGTAAGTCACCTGGCTCCTTCGTGAAAATGTGGAAGAAGATCGTGCATGTCACTCCGATTGCCACCACTGCAAACATCAGTATCTTAAGTGAAGCATGAAATAATTTCATGTTTAACAAGAATGCTTGTTTTAATTTAACAACAAATCTAGAAAAAACAGCTCTGAACAGCTCAATTTAATGGCTTAATTTAAAATTTTGCAAGAGAACAATGATACCAGGGACTGTGAACAATAGTAGCGTGAAAAGTGAATAATGATACCACAAAAAGTGAGTAATGATACCAGGAAAAGTGAAAAATGATACCATGAATAGAGAAGTGTCCTGTTGACTCCACTGCTCATTCGAATCCCTATGAAACAAACTCCATGCAATACCATACACTAACACATTGGCAAACAAGGTCATGGCATTTCTTCAAATAATAACAAGAGTAATAAATACATATAATGAAAATAATAATTGAAAATGGAGATAAATAAAAAAAACCCAAAGCCTAAAACTAAATCGACCTGTAAGAGTTGAGACCAACTCGTTCTGATTCATCTGGTGTCAGTTCAGTGACAAGTGTCATGTGGGCGATTTGTACAGCAGCCCATCCAAACTGAAATAGAATGACAAATGGTGAGTAGTAAATGAACTTAGCCCAATCTTCTGCATTTGCTCCCCCAAAGCATGGCAGGAATAAAAATGTGAAAGAACAGGTTACAAATATTGTGCCTGAAATAAAAAAAATGTTTGCAAATCTTAAATCACAAATGAGACAATCATGACAATCATAAAAAATAAAAATATATATAATATATATATAATATATAATAATATAAATAAAATTTATCTTACCTAGCAAATGCCAACTTTTTCTCTTGCTATAGCCACAGAGTCCATTCGCAGCATCCGATTCGTAACCCAGGAAGGGCGTGCTCACAGCATCAACAACTTGTCCCAGTAGGAGAAGGTATCCCGCCATTTCATTTGATAGACCAATAATATCCGTCAAGAAAATTAATAAGTAAGTGAACCACATCGTTGAGCACAAATCATTGTAAAAATGTCCTAAACTGAATGACAACTTTTGGCAGAGACTCAAACTGGTAGTCATAGTCCGATCCATTTTTTTATTAATTTATTTATCAGAAAATTTATCAAAAGTTACAAAGAAAAAGTGTTTGATATTTATAACATACTTAATCGTTACTGGTTGGTCAATGATGAAAGAAAAACAACAATTAATTTCTAGCAGACGGTCATCACATGATTCCTGAGCACAATTAAATCGCAATTTGAATATTGTTTCTTTAAAAGTTAAACTAAGTATAACACGAGCGTGAACGTGAATGTTAACAAAAGTTTACAAAATCTTTTATGTTTTATTTATCATATATGATATGGCTTATATTATCGAACCACAGTATGATGCTTTGTTAACTTTTAATATATTGTGTATATATATATGTGATATATTATATACAAATATGTACTTAAGTTTTCTTTATATATTTGAATCATAGCTTTGAGCTTCCATAAAATTTCAAACTTGAATTGTTTGATGGTATTATGGTATCTCTTCCATTATACGTTCTACTCATGGATATAAATCCATGGTTCTACTTGAAGCAAAAGAAGCAATGACGTCACGCATCTATTATACTTAATGTAGGGAGACATCCAGTTTGTAAACGATTACAGCGTAAAAATTTGAGGTGCATTTTTTTCAGCCTCCAACTTAAAAAATGGGGCTGAAATTGAGTGTAAAATTAAAGTTCCATTAGTGCCGTGTTTATTTTTGTTAGTGCTGGTCCTCTGTATGGAGTACAATTGGGGGGGCTCAGGAAATGCTAGCTACCCTAAAAACCGCTAGAGATTTAAAATTAACAGTATTGTTAGACAATTTTTTAGTGCCATAAAAATTTTTTAGTGCTGATCCTCCCAAAAAGATATGGGTGGGGAGATTCAGGAAATGCCAAAAGATGTGTGGCTGGGGGGGCATGGAAAAAGGTAGCTCTTCCAAATGTCACTAGAGTCTTAAAATCTGCACTATCGTTAACAATTTGTTAGCGTTTTTAGTGTTGCAATTTTTTTCATCAGTGCTGGTCTCCAATGGCTTAAGTTCGAATAATGTTTGCTAGCTTGTCTCGAGCCCCACAGCTGTACTCCAAACAGGAAAACGGCGTTAACAAAAATAACCGGCATTAACGGAGCACCAACTCCACACTCAATTTTAGCCTTATGTTTTAAATTGAGGAGTTGATAAAATGCATCTAAAAATTTTATTACATTGTTTACATGGGATAAAAAAAACGAGTAAATAAATGAAAAATAAATGAGTAAATAGCTTTGTTAGTCCATTAATATTTTTATTTAGTTTGCCGAACATGTAACGCTATGCTAACGTAGCCACCGTAAAATGTGATCAAACCGAACTCAGTCCAAAAAGTTGCCTTGATAGGTTTGTTAGTTTGTATCTTGTGATCTGAGCATGCTATGTAGTTGTTATTGTATGTTACGTGTGTATGTATATATAATTTATAATACTATTATGATTTTTATTTTTTCAATTTCTAAATTTCTAACTTCAATGCTGTCTTTTTTGTAACTAGCTATCTAGTTGTATTTAAATATAAAATAAAATTATATACTAGCTGGAAGATTATTAGAAATGTCTTTTTTATATAGTATTTTTTTATTATAACTGTAAGTAATTTACTGGCATAGTTAAAGTTAAATTAAAAAAATTTACTAGCATCTAAGTTTATTTTTTAATTGCATGCTAACAACCTTTTATTTTAATGTAAGTTATGTGATTTTTTTGTATTTATTATATTTATAACATTATAATTTATGTGTTTTTTCTATCTAAATGTGCATCTAACTGTAGATCATTGAAAGTGTTTTGGTGACTGTGCTTGCTGGATGAGCTCCTCATTGAACTTGATCAAAGCCATCCTACCTATTTTATATCGCATTTATTAGCAATTTTTTTCTATTAGGCTCCATAGGTTGTTGTAAATAGATGCAGACATTGACTGAAACTGTGCCAAATTTTGTTTTTTTATTATTGCTGATTGTGCATCACAAAACTTATAAAAGTGAAACTGAATCAACTGTATGTTTTTCAAGATATTGAAAGGAATAACACTCTGACATCATGCACATTACATTCTTGACATCATACACATTACATTCCTGGCATCATACACATTACATTCATTCTTAGTTTAAAAATCCTCAACCAGCCATTAAAATGAATCTTAATGTTATAGAATAAAAACATCTGCTTGTGCTATTAAACATCATTTTTGAAGCATTATTTAACCTGGAAACAAATCAAGCAGTGATGCATGGAAGCATGTCAATGCACTGACTTTGCTCCATTTGCTCCATTAGTCATGCTGTTAATTCCTAAACTATAAATAATAATATTACAAATTTGTCAACAAATTTTTATTTCGTTCTATACTTTATTATTTACTGTTGTAAAATAAAACTCTATTTTTTATTTTTTCAGACTAGATCCTTCAGTAGAAGATGAGTTACCAAGTTTTACCAAAAAGTCATTTTCGAAGTTCACTTGCAAGGGTGATTTATTCAAAGATGCTGGAAGACCAATATGATTCATGCCATGGTCATTCAAATGTGGGATTAGTTCAATTTTTCTATTCACGTTTTATTGTTACCTCTAATGATTTTTATGAATAAACGTTATTGTTTGTTTACTTTTAGAAGTATTTATTGCTAATTAATTAAAAAACTTTCCATCGATTGATTTATTTAGTGGTATGAATTGAATCTCAATGAAATTGACGGCAACCTTAGTCACTTGTTCCACCAATTATATGAAGATGAGGAAACAAAAAAATTTTTGGAGGCCTGTAGAGAAAAGTCTGATTGGATCGTCACTCAACTTTTTCATTCCTTCTTCAAATTCATTTTCTCATTTTTCATGACAAGCACTACTGTGAATGGGTATGTTGGGTCAGTCAGTGAACCTTATTTGTTTGATGGTTTACAGTGTTCCTAGCGTTTCTTCGTTTATTTTATTTGCATGTAGTGTGCTGAGGAACAAAACTGTTTAACTGGTTCTCCATTATTTGTTTGCACAGGCTGCTGAATAGAGGCTCAATGTTTGTGATGTCATCAACTCAGTTCAAGTCTTTCATGAATATCTCAGATGACAAAATATTTGATAACTTGCTTGATATGGGTTTGCCTTACTGGATGATTTTTGTTGATCGTTATTATTAATTGTCTATGTAGTTATATTAAATACATGTCTATGTAGTTATATTAAATACACGATTCAAAATAACTAGAGACTTGATTACGTTGTGTTCAATGTAGGAGCGGGTGATGGTGCTGTGACAGAAAAGTTGTCCCGTCACTACAGAAACATATACGTCACAGAAAAATCGTCTACGATGGTATGGCGACTCAAAAGTCGGGGTTATCAGGTTCTTGATGCAGATAGCTGGTACAAAGAGAGCAGTGTTAAGTTCGACACGATTGCCTGCTTGAACCTGCTGGATCGATGTGACCGACCTCTTGACCTGCTCGAAACCATTCATTCCAAGTTGGTTGCCGGCACAGGCAGGTTGCTACTCGCATTCGTTCTTCCATTTAGCCATTACGTCGAATTCGGTTTGTCAGGTGTTTTCTTAATTTCAATTTTATTTTTAGCTTTTTCAAAAGACACTACATTTTTTAAATGTTTTCTGTTAATCATCAGGTGCCACGAAGGATCACAAGCCTCAACAGGTTTTGAACATTCCTCGAGGAACTTTGGAACAACAACTGTCGGGCCTTATACACAACGTTCTCGTGCCGGCTGGTTACGAGGTTGAAAAGTTTTCAAAGGTACCCTACCTGTGCGAAGGTGATTTGCAACATTCCTATTATGTTTTGCAAGATGTTATACTCCTACTCAAATCAGTGAAACATCAATAAATTTAGAAAACTTCATTTTTATCAAACTTTTATTTATTAAAATTTTTATTACTGATCAGCCAATCAGCAACTCTTATATTAACATCGTATTTGATAATTTTATTTGTATAAAGAAAATATTGTTTTGTTATTAAATCAACAGCTCATAACATGATGCAAAATGTAAAAAATAAATCACCGTTAACTGAAAAATAAGCGGATGAAAAATTGTGATAAAATTAATGAATGTAAGCCACTTGTTCATTCAATTAGTAAGAATACATCTTGTAGAAGGATTATTATAACTATGCTATTATTGCTTTCAGAGGTTGTTCACTCTTTAATATATTGTTTGTCATCATGCTAACAGATACAACTATAAGATAAAATTACAACTGTTAAGCTTGAACGTATTAAATATGAATCGCAACATTGATTATTACAATCAAATGTATCACAGAAGACCTCCACTAAGAAACGCTCATTAATTTAAAGGAACTGTACATAGAAATTTAACTCGTTTCGATAGTCACACATTTACACCGAACTTTCAAGACAATCATCATTTTCCTCATCGCTTTCATTATCTTTTAAAATTGGATGAGCTTGGTTGCCTGTGACGAGTGATTTGTTGATGTCGACGGAGAACTGAATTTTCGCGTCATCTTCGGATGATGGAGGAGGAGGGCGGGATGGAAGTTGCGGAGGAGATTCTTCAACCTCCATCTCATCACCTTCAGTCATTTCAACATCAGCCATCTCGTTGTTATTTTTATCAACGTTGAGCTCCAATGAATTTTCTTTCTTGTCCTATTAGGTAAAGTTAAAAGAATTGATCATAATTATAAATTTAGTAAAAAATAATGAAACGAAGAAAGGCAAAATTGCTACTGATGAACGTGCACGATGCATCGAATGTTACGATGTAAATATTTTGTACATCATCGTTTTATTCTAAGTGTTAAGCAGCTAACATACCTGTTTGAGTCAAAATATTGACACGATAATTGAAATTAAGTTAACGGGTACCTGATTAAGGCCAGAACACATCTTTTGGTCAAAGTCGCCCCTGCTCCACTTTGCATCATTCACGTTTGTCGGCGTGCCAAAATCAATTTCGCAGAATGACAGGCCTTCCTTTTTAATTTAATAATATTTAAGTAGTTACACATCTGTGTATTTTAACGTATGATATTTATTCGTTTGCTAAAAACTTTTTAGTTAATTAATAAAAGCATGTAATGCTTTAAAAAAGTTTATTATTGTTGTGTCTACATAATGAATAAAACATTTCTGAATAATTGGTCTAAAAGAGATACGGGTATCAGATGAAGAGGTCATTAAAACATATGTTTATCACGTTGACATATTTATATAAATGCAACCTTACTGGTTAACTGATCTCAACGCACAAGTTGCAATCAATACTGAAAGCACACCATCAATAGTTTCTTATGAAGTTCCGTGGTAGTCCGAAAGTCTACTGTATTCACTACCAATTTATTTGTTCTTAGCTTACGAGTGCATGTTATATAATTTTTTAGTTCGCCTCTCTCTTTGGCTTCCTCAGCTTTTGATTTTTTTCTCAACAACTACCAGTTTACTTCAAGTTTATGTAAAAATCCTGTAACCTAAGCAGCATTGAATAAAATGTTTGCGGCAACGCTGTGCAATATTTGAAGGGGTAAACATACTGGGGACAAATTTATTCAGGGCAACTGCGTACTTTTTAATTTTTTGCTCGTCACCTTTTACGACGTCAAAAAGTTATTTTTCGACCCCAAAAATACGAGAAAAATTGACCAAATCGAACGATAAAAATTCATTTTTGTGCAAAAAAATACAACAAACATTTATCAGCATTTGCGTATTTTTCGTAAAATTGGAATGGCCACGAAAAGTTTTATTTAAAAAAAACCTGATTAATATCTTTATTTGCTTAAATCACATATAAACATAATGTGGTAGTCCAAAGTCCATAATGACCTCTTTAATGAAGATGTAAAATGTACCTTCAATAAGTCAGATGAATTGAAATCAAAAATTTACTGCAAACGGCAAAATATTATGCCAAGAAAAAGTTTTAAAGACAAACAAAATCTCATTGGTAGATTGAAGCTGAATGAAAGGCCAACGCCTGCGAAAACGACTCCACCGCTCCGACTCCTGTTTGTTGTATTTTCTTGCACAAAAATGAATTTTTACCGTTCGATTTGGTCAATTTTTCTCGTATCTTTGGGGTTGGAAAATAACTTTTTGACGTCGTAAAAGGTGACGAGCGAAAAATTAAAAAGTACGTAGTTGCATTGAATAAACGATATTTTCGTATTTTCGATCTAAGTCACATATGAACTAAATGAATTGTTTTGAAATAAATGAAGATAAAAATTACCTTGATTGAAAATATAGATGGTGGTCTTCTTCTAATGTGTTTAGACAATTCCGATTTTGACCTACTTGCAGAGACATCCAGTTTTTGTACTTTTGAATTTTTGTCCCAATCAATCCCTTCCTCTTCCAGTTGATTCTCAAGAGATTTCGTCCTGGGTCTCAAAGGTGTACCATCTGTTAAGCAAAATACTTGAAATTAACAAAAACATAATACTTTTCAAAGCAATGATAAAATTGTTTACCAGGAGTTGGAAGAACTTTTGGCAAAGTTGCAATATTTATGCCGATCTTTTCAATTTTTTTCTGATTATTTTCTTGCAGTGATGTTCTTGCTGCTGGTTTTGGAAGAACCTGCGGTGGAGTCGTTTTTGCAGGCGTTGGCTTGCTTGGCCTTTCATTCAGCTTCAAACTACCAATGAGATTTTGTTTGTCTTTAAAACTTTTTCTTGGCATAACATCATCAGCTGCCTCGTCTGAAGCATCTTCTTGAGCAATATTTTCGTTTGTATTGTTAATCGTCTGTGAATTTGATTTCAAGTCTTTATTTTTCTCATAAACAGTTACGACGGGTTTGTTTGTTTCTTCACAATTAATTGAAATTTTTGATTTCAATTCATCTGGCTTATTGAAGGTACATTTTACATCTTCATCTTTTTTACTTCCTTTAAATTCACTAATGGTGTCGTTGCTTTTTGAAATTGGTGTGTCGAAACCTTTCAATTCATCTGGCATCATAGAATTCAACATTTGGAAAACTTCATTGACGTAAGTTTTTGGATCATTTTGAGGTGCAGCTCTTTCAAACTGATTTTCTTGTCGCGAAAAATTTCCCAATGAAAGATCTTTTTCGAAACTTTCGTTAGATTTTAAATGAGATAAATATTGAACATTATCTTCATTGATAGGCAAAGATGTTAATTTTTCTTCTCCGTCATAATATTCTTTCTTCATTTTAATATCTAAATTTTTAGCATCAATTTTCACATTTTCATTTGCTCTTGTTTTATCAATGTTAAAATTTTTTAAAGAATTATCTAAAGATCCTTGGAAATTTTTGTTTATATCTTTTGTATGAACAACTTCCATTGATTCATCTTCATTGTTGTTTGAGAAAAATTGTTTTCTAGCTTCTGAAAGTTTTTTTGTATTCTCTGAAAAATTTGTTTTTTGTATTTCATTAAAATTTTCTCTAGTTGAGTTATTTTTAATACTTTTAGATGGCAGTATAAAGTCTTCTTTTATTTTTGAATTTGATGTAAGTTCTTTTGACAAATCGATGCCATCATTAACAACAAAAACGTCAGCAGATTTGTTAGTGTCTGATGAAAAATTCAATGAGTGAGTACCTGATGTATCACGAGATTTAACATTTGCAGTCCACTGAACACCAGATAAATTGCTTTTGGAATTTGGTTTTTCAATTATATTAATTTCGGCTAGTCTGGTGTTCAAGGATTTATTAACTGGTTCATCTGATTCATGTTCAATATTTGCGGATGAATTTTTGACAGATTTGGCTTTGGAAATTAGAACATCAGCGGTTAAATTTGGTTCCGAAAAGTCTTCATATTTTTCACTTAATTCAACTAGTTTCGAAGATCTTAAAAGTGGTTTATCATCTTTTTTGTCGGGAGATATAATCATATTTTCAAAAATGTCCATGGATATTCGTTCAATACCTTTATCTTTATCCCCTTTAGTCAAATCAAAAACTTCTACGTTAGCTGATTTTTTTCTTAATATCGATTTTGTTTCATCGTTATCATCATTTTTTTTCTGTTTTTCATCTGATTTTTCTGTTATTGATGAATGTGATTTATACTTAGAACTAACGTCTTGTGTAAACTGGTACTCCTTCTTTTCTTTAGGAGCTTCCATAACATGCTCTTCTATCAAATATTCTTTATCATTGGCGATCGCAATTTTTTTTTCTTTATACGACATGCTCTCCAAAACTCCTGGACCCAAACTCATCCTATTTTTTGAGTAGTTACTCGAATCGGATTTTTTTCTCAACATTTCCACATTCTGATTCTCAGTTATCTTTCTTCTTGGAATTACTTGTGGCTGGACTTGTGTACTGGAGGCATTTTCAAAGAAAGATTTGATGTTGCGAAATTTGGAAATGCTGGCTTTTTCTGGAGATGAAGTAACTTTTTCTTTTACATCAAAAATCTCAGATTTTGTCATCAAGTCAGGCTCTCTTTTTATTTTTGAGAAGTGGTCATAATTTGAAAACGGTCTTCTTGCTGCGGAAGTTGTTTTGGAAATTTTCTCATCCGGTTTCTCAGTGATCCGTTTACTTTCAGCATCTGATTTATTGTTACAATCAAACGTATTAATAGAAAATGTGTTTGCTGTAGATATCTTTTTTGTATTGCTTTGGGCCTCAAATTCATCTTCGTAATATTTTGGTTTAAAAGTTTCTTTGAGCTTTGTAGTGCTGCTGTTTTTAGGCTCTTCATTCGAGTACTTTGTACTGATAAACTCGTTTTCAGGCAGTTGTTGTGTTTGTTGGTGACGTATTTCATCATTGCCACTTCCGATTTTAACTTGTGTCACAAATGATTTTTCGTCAATCAAATTTGGCGATTTCGATAGAACGACTCCAAATTCAGGCCTGTGTTTGTATGTTTGTAGATAGAAAACAAATTAGATTATTGGATATACTCAAAAATTTGGGTAAAAGTTCTGAATAGAACAAATGATATTTCGGATTCTAATCGGACACATTAACAAGCCATTATGAAGCGATAATAAAACGAAATGGTTTACTAACGATTCTTCTGAAAATTCAGAATTAGACCTAACAGTTGATTTTCTTTTACTTTTCCACTGATCTAAGTTCTGTTCATTTCAACAAATTTAGCGTATAAAATTTTTATGAAACATGACGTTAAATACACCAAAAAAGGATTAATCATGTATTATCTGATTAAACAAAGATTTGAATAAAAATATTAAACAAATCAAAAGTTGAAGAAAAATTTGTCAAAATACCATGAAAGCAATGCCGAAAATAAAAATAGTTTTTGCCGAAATGAACTAACACTTTCCCAGGCAGATTCATCATATTTGCTGTAGTCCTCCTTCTTAGCCTGTTTTTGTTTCGTTGTGACTTCCAAGAGTTTTTGAGCTTCCATTGCTAATGGATTGGCGTGAATTTTGACTAAATTGAGAGGGTCGTAATTGAGGGACTTGTCTTCAGGCTTCAGTCCATGCTGTCTCGTGGGAGGTAGTTGTTTGTTGCTGGATGTCATTGTTGTCTGTTTTTGGTATAATAATTAATTAAACAAATGCAATTTGTAAATATATTTTGTGTGTGTGTATTTGTATATATGTATGTATATTATTATTATTATATTTTTATATGTTATATATATCATCGGCAAAGAACAGACATGCTTATATCTAAAAATGTCGCTTCCGTATATAAGTTGTATGATAAAATTTGTTTGTTTGTACATGACAATTAAAAAATGCGTAATGTGGTAACTTAACACGCTTTTATGTTCAGTCGTTAAAGCAAGCAACATGAATAAATAGATTTTTTGAAGCATATATGAATATGCATGAGTTAGAAATACTTTTTTTAATAATGTTACCATTGTTTCTATAATTGTGAATGATCTAGGTAAAAGTGTTAATGCAGCAAGTTGTTCGCTTTCGAGATATAATAATTCAAAAACAAATGTTTACAAGCAAATGATCAAAATGAAAATTTCAAAATTGTCTTAAGATCTAATTAGGTATAATTAGAACAACATGTTGGCTTGTTTCTAACTGATGAGGCCATCCTTCAAACGTCCTCACTCATTCATTTGTCTTTTTTAGTTATAACTTTAGCTAAAACACAGACGCACATTCAGACGCTCACATACTCACACAAACTAAAAAAGCACATACACATTTATAGACGCACATAAAATTGCACAATGGTTTATAATTATTTAAGCTTTCATACAAACATGCATATAAATAGGGAGATGGAAACAAATGGAAAATATTAAATTACAGGCAGTTGATAATGGAACACACGAATGAATAGCGATACTCTGTTGGCGTTTAAAATGAATTAAGTTAGCAAATTGACTTAACTACTAGGAGCCACAAATCAAAAATATTTTTATACTTTGACCTATTTCGAACGCAAACCAAATCCTCATCAATAGGCACGATTGTATAATGCCTACTTATAAAACGCCGTCGAGCATTTTTGATATAATGCTATAGAAATGTCGATAAATTATATTAGAATATTTTTTCAAGATATTAACATATTGACTAGTAGAGATTAAAAATTCACATTTAAACTATAATTTTTTGTAATTTGCAAAGTTTCAAATCATTTAAATTTAACTTAAAGTATTTAAGATATTTTGCAACACTTCATATAATGTGTATCAAGATGGCTGGAAAACGTCATCTTCTTAATGGAAATTAAAAAGACCTTCTAACAACAATTGCGTATTGAAAACTAAGTTGAGAACTAACACAGTGTAATATTAATACTATTTATAAAATAAAAATATTTGAAATAAGAAACCTTCATGAAAAATTGTTGTATTTGCAAACAGTAATTGTTCAAAATAAATTCTCTCACATGGCAGTGCAAACATGTAGTGGGCTTTAGTTCTATTAAATTTTCATATTACATTTAGTTTTAACATGCAGTCGACCAAATGATCCATCACGAGTAACACCATTGTTGAGTCCATCAGCTTGCATCATTGTGATCAACTTGCTTCATTATATTATTGTTGTTGTTGTTGAGATGCGCTGTTAACGGCGTTTCAGCACATTCTGGCTATCTTCACGCCTGTATCTTCTTTTATTTCATTTCTTCATTCTTTCCCTCATTCATTCTTTCGGTTTAATATTGTTAAATTTAAATTTTTTTAATTTGTTCAATTTTTGTAATATATCCTATTAAATTATTTATATTCTCCCGATTTAAAAAAATTTCCTGCATATTTGCTGGTATATTGAATTCTGATCTGGGTTGGTTGTATTTTTTGCACTCTATGATTATATGGAAAATTGTGAGCTGTGTTCTACATATTTCGCACCTTGGAGGAGTCTTTTTTTCAAGGATCCATATATGTGTCAATCTGGTGTGGCCAATTTTAATTCTATTTATCGCTGTCTGGAATCGCCTTCCCTTCTATTCCTATGTGGCTCGGTATCCACACAAATTTTATCTTGTTGTTATTTATTGTCATATGTGTATTTATAGAGTTTTGAATTTGTGTCATTAGTGGGTTGTTGGCTTTATGATTTTCTATTGCCATCAAACTGGATAGCGAGTCAGCAAAAATCATGTATTCTTTGTTGGTCTCATTTATGGTATGATTGAGGGCCATTTTTATTGCTGTTAACTCTGCTGTAAATATTGTTGCATAGGTTGGTAGATGTTGGAATAATGTTTCCTTTGTGGTGGGGATGACAACTGCTGATGATGTAGAATTTCCCATTTTTGATCCATCTGTATATATTGCTATGCTTTTGGGGCTTTTGTCTATTATTTCATGGTATATGATTTTGCATAAATTTGGGTTTTTGTAGATTTCGTTTATTGAGAGGTCTATTTCAGGTGTTTTCCTAGCCCAGGGTGCCACTTCTGCCTCTATTTCCCGCATTATTTTTATTTCCCCTATTTTTTCTAAATGCTTTTCAACTCTTTTATTTACTGTAGGGATTGCTTTTGTTGGTTTTCTAGTCGAGTTATTTGATGTTAACATGATATGTTTGTAGGCCGGATTATTGATTTGGGTTTAGATCTTCAAGAGGTAATTTAGTGTCAATTTTAATTGTCTTAGATGTCTTGGCGCTTCTCCCGCCAGGACATGCATACTTTCTGCTGGCGATGTGCGAAAGGCCCCAAGACATCTTCTTAATGCTTCGTTAATAATAGACTCTATGGTTTTAATATAGGAGTTTCTTGTTGCTCCATATGTCTGGCAACCATAATCTAAAATGGCTCTTATCGTAGCTATATAAATTATTAGAAGATTGTTTTGATCTGCACCCCAATTCTAGTGTGATATTGTTTTAATTAAATTTAGGGCTTTTTGACATTTTATTTTAATTTTGGTGATGTGAGAGATAAAGTTTAATCTATTATCGAATGTAACTCCCAGAAATTTATATTCTTCTTTAAATTTTATTTCATTATTTTGGAATACTATTCTTGGGTATTCTTTTCTTCTTTTTCTGGAGAAAATAAGGCCATATGTTTTGGTTTTTGAGAAATTTATCCCATTTGTTGTTGACCACTTATCAATGTCTTCCAATATTTTATTTGTTTTTTTCCATATTGTTTATTTGTTTGTCTTTGATGGTTATTGCCAGGTCGTCCATGTATAAACATGTCAATATACTTTTTGGAAGTATGTGGTTGATTATGTTGATGTTTAGGCAAAAAAGGATTGGAGATAAGATGCTTCCTTGGGGTATGCCCATTTCCAAATGTCATTATATTAAATAACAAAGATCTTTCTATCATTATTGATTGCTTGTACAGATTGCTTAATTGAGCACTTCCACCCCATAAAATGTTTGAGCCACAGACAAAACTATCATAATTTATTTAAGTAATTGAAATTTTATGTAATAGCTTGTGTGAGGTACGCAGAAGTTCCGCCCCGAGCCACGAACTAACATCGGACAAATTACAGAAGAACGTAAAAACTGACAACTTGAAAATAAAGCGATATCAACATTTTACACTATTCGGAAATAATTTTGAAAACTATAAGAAAAACAAATAAGGTGTTCACTTGTTTAGATTAAGTATAATTTACACCTGCATATAGCTGATGACGATAATGTTAGCTTATTTGAGATTCCTTAATACACAGTGCTTTTGTATAGTTGTAAAATGTTTAAAGAGGAATGTAAACAACTCTATGGTTAAGCGTTGCATTAATAATAATATTAATATCAAAACGTTATTATATGTACACTGTACAGTATAATATTCTGTACATACACACACATCACATCACAAACACAGATATATTTTATTTAATTAATTGAAACAAGAAACGTATTAGAATAACATTTCGTTACATGAGATGTTAACATTAAAAATTAAAAAAATATATATGCATATAAATTTGTCATTGTCTGAAGGCACATCCAAATTCTATAAAATCTACAGAATGAATCATTTCATGATATTTCACTGACTGACCGACCGATCGACCGACCGACTTACTCATCTCTGTAAAGAAGAAATCAGCCAGATTTTCGATGTGACTATATTTTACTAAAACGGACGAATTGTTTTTTTTAGTTACATACGTCAAAATATTTTAATATTTACTTGAAATACAAAGCTATAAACATTAACAATACATTTTTTTTTCTATTTTGCAAATATCCACATGTTTAATACATTTGGACAAATTTTTCTAAGATAGATTGCTGATTCAAATTAGACACGAACTTACTACAACGTGATCCTTTCTACGTTTCTAATGGTAAAGGTCTTTTTCTATGAATCATAACATTTGATAATTAAAACTACAATACAAGAATTTTCATTGATGTACATTGTCATAGTGTGGCACGATATAGCGTAGCGTGTTTCATTTTAATTTAAAAAAATAACAATGCAAGTGCATTTCTTAGTCTGCTGAGCTTCCACAGAAACATCTGCATATGTATATAAGTGTGTAATGTATTCACATATAAATATTACATATCAATATTTATATTACGCAGTTTATAAAGGATTAAAATCTTATACTTAAATTTTCTGTCACTTGAAAATATTGCACCAATATTAACGAGAGATTGTAAGATGAGCTAGCTAGAGCATATATCCAAAAGATTACAAGTTAGTGTAATTAGAACACTTGAATAAATAATATTAGAACACTTCAAGTTTTACGCCATCAATTAGTTCCCCATCCTCTGTAAATGTTTTTAGAGCTGCGTAGTGTTAAATTATGCACACGCACTGGCAGACATCAGTAACGTCAAAAACGTTTAACATTATTTACAATCCAACTGAATTTTTAAACTTAAGCTTAGTGCAATCCGAACCATGAAACGTCGTTAAAATGCTATTAACTTTGGAAATTTTCAAACTAATGTTAAAATTTTATTTAACTTTGATACTAATGGTTCGATTTGACGGAAATCGTCTGCGATTTCACATAGGAAAAATAAATTACAGAGTATTGGGTGATAAATAATGGATGGCGCTGTTATCACGGAGAACTTTTCTAATTAAATCAGTCAATAGTGACAA